AAAAAAAAAACTTTTCGAGTTAATAATAATAAAAAAGTGATGCAAATTGTGTCCCTGGATTGGTGGAATTTATTTTGTGTTATTGTCTCTGCGCTCGCTCACCTGTGTGCCTCCACGTTTCAGCGGAGGAAGCTTTTTACAGCTGCACCCGGGGGACAAATATTTCAGTAACACTTTATTTTACGGGTGTTTGGACTTTTTTTTTACTCATTTCCTGTAAATTCTGAATATTCTTCCAGAAAGAAGCTGGTATGTGACGAGTACATATTACATTACATCATAAGTGGTCAAATTATTGGACGTTTTTAACGGCGGGTGTGTGCAGTCGTTGTTTAACTATTGCTCTTCACCCTTGTGAGATGAAGAGGAAGATGAAGATGAACCCTCACGGATCCAGAGTGAATAGTTTGTACGGTTCTTTCTTCAGATCTTATTGGTCTCTCATTAAACTCACCAAACTCTTCTGTTCAACCTGTAAACACTTTTCTAAATTTAAAAATAAGTTGGTGCCAAATTTTAAACGTCCTGAGGATTGTCGACACGAAGCGGAACATCTTCCCTCCTTTAATTCCTTCTTTCTTTTCTGTACTCTTGTTTCTGTCCGCTCCTCTTTGACCTTTAACCTTTTTCTTTGATTGGACACTTGTGAAGAAATCTGAGCCGAACTACTCTTCACATCACTAAAGTGCATTTAGCTGCTAATCCTCGTTTCCTTTCCTCCACATTTGACTCCTAAATGAGTTTTTTTTGTTCCTTCTTTATTAAAAATATAATCCCACCGTGTTCAGACGCGAGAAGAAAACTAATATGAAACTGTTAATCGCCATGTTATTTATTTTTTATTGTGCCAGTTGTGTTTAATTCACCCCCTGGTCGACACACACATTGAGTGCGTTCTTTAAAGAAGAGGCCAAAAAAAAAAAAAATCCGGCAGCTGCCCCTTTTTTTCCAGCACATTCAGGCCGATGTTCACTTTGCTCTCATAAATAATCCCGCCGAGCGCTTCACGTGCTTCTTGAGCCGAACACTGTGTTACAACTCCTGAGGAATTCGACTGAGGAGGAGGAGGAGGAGGAGGAGGAGGAGGAAGGTTGGGGGCTAAAAAAAAAAGGCCATTTGGGTAAATCTGCTCCAAACTCCTAAATGGGGAGATTAGTTCCCCCTCACGCTCCAGTTGGCCTCCTCAATGGATGCGTCCCAATCCGCTGGGAGTTTCCTAGATACTCCTCGTCTCATAAGGGATCATTTATCTTCCTCTTGAAATCAATTAGTGATCCGGAGCGCGAGGCTGCAGGAAACAAAGCCGCTTCCCGATGAATCTTCTGTTGGTTTATTTATTTTTACGACCGATTGGAGGTTATTTTCCAAGCCGATCGACAACATGCGCGCTCCCCTCTCCCCCCCTCGGGGGCGCGCTCCCCCCCCTCCCCCCTCCCGCCTGAGTGGCAGGCTTCTCCTCGCGGGCGTGACCGCCCTCAAAGTAGGATCTGGAAGCAGCCTCTTCATCTCCTCTGGTCGTTTTTCGGGAGCCCGAACGTTTAGTATGCGCTTGTAAAGGAATGCCAGATGCAAAAGATGAAGAAGATGAAGAAGATGAAGAAGAGGCCGCGGAGTCTCCGCGGAACGAACGGGGACATCTTGCGTGAGGTTGTGGGGGGGGGGTCACTGGGATTTCCCGCGGACGACTCGCGCCGTGAACGCACCGCGCGCGGGCGGGTCATTTATGTCCACGCGTAAACACACACACACAAAGTACACAAACACGCACACGTCAAAGCTGAGGCATGTGAAAAGATTAATCATCTATTTCGATGACTTTTAAGACTCCAGTCTCCGTCTAGTGGGGTCAAAGGTCATGTTTGGACTTGTTGTTTACTGACTGCGATAATGTTACTAATGTAAAGCAGTGCTACTAACTATGTTTACTGGACTGAAGGACCCACTTGAAGTACATCTGGAAGGATTTTGATTAATCGATGCAAAAGGAAAGATGTCTTTATTCTGACTTCTGGCTTTAGCTCATTTTGATGAATAATCCCATCTGGAACGAGTTTTCTTTACTGTTGATTTACTGCAAATACATTTTGCCTGCAACACTTTGGTACCTTTTGAGTAAACAGAGTATTTTTAGATTGTGGCATCGCCTCTTTTACCTAAAAAGAATCCCCAGTCATGAGTAAACTGAGCTTCACGAGTTCTCCCAACCGAAATCTACTGAAACGACCTCTGACGTCTTTCTGGGTGATTCAATTCGATCGATTCACGCAGAAAGGGGAGAGTTATTCTGAACGGTTTCAGTCGGCGTTTGTTGGCGAATCGGCGGGCGGTGCGGAGGCGCGCTCTGGCCGCGGACTCCCTCCGGAGACCTCCCGATGTTTCCTGTCGAGCAGTCAGTCAGTTTGGGTGTTTGGGTTTGTGTCTGCGTGCAGGCTCTCAGCAGGAAAGAATGCAGCCAAGACGTTCCGATGGAGACGAATGGGTCCCGGGGAGCCTCCGCGGGCTCCGGTGCCCAGGAGATGACCCTCTCTGGCTGCAGGCGGCCCGGCCCGCTGAGGTAACCGGGTTTATCCAAACAAACTCCTAATGTGGACTCCAGTCGCGAGCGCCGAGTCGAGCAGACCCCTCCGAAATTCCCGAGGAGACATTAATCCGCCTCCTCCAGGTCTGGACCCGCGACCCGCCGGCCCATCAATACTGTGCATTAAAACAACAGCCGCAGTGAGCTCACCCGCCTCCTCGCCGAACCCTCTCCGCCGGCCTCCGGGGCCTCCGGGGCCTCCGGGGCCTCCGGGGCCCTGGGATCCGGGAGGGCCGACGCAAAGTTGGGTAATTTATCGCCTTTAATTAAATGCTTGTTTCAGGAGGGATACGATGTGTTTCCCCGTGTGCCGGGGGGGGCGAAGGGGGGGTGTTCGGTGTCGGACAGAGGATCCAGAGACTCGGGGAGGATCATGGTTACCTCGTGGGAGGAAGTGGAGGAGGAGCGGCGGGGGAGACGAGGGAGGGGTCAGTTTACCTCCACGGGGGAGCTGCACCTGGTGGACAGGAAGTGGACGTCGTTGATGAGAGACAGTCGTCATCTGCTCACCTGGAGGTGCAGGTAAACAGGCCCTCTAAAGACGCACAGCGGGTTGTTTAAAGGGTTATTGTCAGTATAAGGGGGTAGTGGTAGTAGTAGTAGTAGTAGTAGTGGTAGTAGTAGTAGTAGTAGTACCCCTTTCATCACGTCGAGGTCATATTAGCAAAAAGTTTAAAAAGAAGCTAATTACCTGCTAAGCTGTGTGATAACTTTAAATAAATACAATATATACAATAAATACACACTAATACCATAAAAATGCACGAAGAAAACAACTGAGGGTATTAAAAAGAATATTATTAATGCTATTTTTTAAATAACTTGAATAAATGAACTAAAAATGTAAATGCCAGAAATGTAACGATCTTTTGATGTTTCCAGTTTTAGACAAAGTTAGAAACACAAACTTCATCAGCCGGTCCGGAGCTTTCTGCGGAATTAAAAGATCTTTATTGTTGGTAAGAGTTTCGTCCACAAGGTCAAAGCTGATCGGATCAAATCAATCAAATCGAATAATGATTCTGGAGGATTCCACGTGTGTTTCTTGGATCAGCTGTAAAATACAAAAAGTGAGAACATGAAGCTATTATATAATATAATGTATTAATACAGGAGTTAAAACGTAATACACATTAAGGCAGCAAGGGTTTTAATCCAGAAACATGACACAGGATAGTGAAACAGTGACAGGGAGCCTTTGACACTGTGAGTAATTCCATTCATCATAAATCTGCGTATAATATTTAAACGTAATCAGGAATTTGAATGCAGTATTTTGAAATATGAAGTAAAGAATCCAAACTTTTCCTCCGTATCTAAATCACTTTTGAATAAATAAGCAGTCGGACATCAAAGTGATTGAAGTTCTGGGAGAAAGCCCGGTTCTAAAGTCACCATCCGTCTCACCGGCGATCCTTCATGTCTGGCTGACGGCAGGTCCGAGGTCACAGTCGTTCCTCCCGCTCAGAACTAATGACTGCCGGCGACGGGCAATCTGCGAGGAGAGCGTGTATCAATCAGGCTGATGAGAGTTCGCCTGCAGCGGCTCACACACTCACATTCACTTCAATTAGCTTAGCTCGTTAGCGCGGGGTGGGGGGGGGGCGGGGGGCCGCGGCCTAAACACGTTTCATTTTTCAATAAACACCACATTCGACATCAAGACGCCAGGCTGAGGAAGGGTGAGGCCTTCTGAGCGCTGGGAGAAGTATTATGAGAAAGTACTGCATTACTGAAGTAGAAGTACTGCATTAAAACCTTACTGAAGTAGAAGTACTGCATGAAAAACCTTACTGAAGTAGAAGTACTGCATTAAAAACATTACTGAAGTACAAGTACTGCATGAAAAACATTACTGAAGTAGAAGTACTGCATTAATACCTTACTGAAGTAGAAGTACTGCATTAAAACCTTACTGAAGTAGAAGTACTGCATTAATACCTTACTGAAGTAGAAGTACTGCATGAAAAACCTTACTGAAGTACAAGTACTGCATGAAAAACATTACTGAAGTAAAAGTATTGCATTAAAAATCTTACTGAGGTAAAAGTACTGCATTAAAACCTTACTGAAGTCAAAATATTATTATTTATCTTGAGAAGAAATGTCTCGACACATAAAGAACCATCGGACACATCTGGAGACGATAAAGATTTATAATCAGAACCAGCACCTAAGTGACAAAATGTCAATGCAGCGCGGGTTTGTGTGCTTTTGGGGGTCGGGGAGGTTGGCCGTGACCTTGGTTGATGACATCATCAGTGTGTGTGTGGATTAAAGGGGGGGGGGGGGGGGGGGGGGGGCGATCCATCATGGCAGCCGAGCGTGGAGCAACAGGAGCTCACGTAAACACGGCCTCAGGGACGGAGGATCAAAGTTCTGGTTCCTTTCAAATAACCAGAGGTGGAATTTAACTATGGAAGTATATTTACTTAAATGCAAAGTATTTGTACTTTATTTAAGTCTTTTCTTTTCATTGAACTTTGTACTTCTACTCCACTACAAAGTGTAAGTTTCTTTATAGATTAAAGAGAATAAAACACAGTGATTTTATTTGATGAGTCTATATGAGACTATATTTAAAATATGTAATAATAATTATTGGACATTTTTACACACTGTATGTACATTTCCCTAACTATACGTACATAATTAACATGAATTAACTTTTTCATGCAGGGTTTTTACTTGTCAGGAGCTTCCTGCACCTACAAAACATTATCTGATAGAAGAAGAACAGAATTCCTAAAACAACCACCTGTTTTTTAAGTCACGTTTCATTTAAAAGCAGATTGTCTCAAAGCGCCGCTGCACAAAATGTCCGAACTGTTCCTTTAAAAGGTGCAGATACTTATAATCCAACTTCTGAGTGTAGATGGACTTCAAACCAAAGCAGAGAACAACCCGTTTTCAATAAACTGTCCTTCATCCCTCTTCAGAGTCCAAGAAGTTAAAGACCATGAACGTTCCACTTCCCCCCCGTGGCCTCACATACCCTCACCTCCCCCTCAACTTCAACACCCGCCCGTCTATAAAAAGTTCAGCCCCGAAGTGATCCGGCCCGTACAGTCTGACGGCCCGGGGCTCGGGGGTCAAAGCGGGGTCCCGGCGTGGCGAAAGCACACGGCCAGCGGATCGCACGCCGGCTCCCAGCGGCCCAGTGAAAGTCCATGAAGCCAAAGAGGGTTCTGCTGGTGGACGACGCGGGCCACGTAGTACCGCCACCAGGGGACGAGTGACGGGTTCTGTTGCTCTGCTGCACGCTCACAGGGGGGGTTTGTCAGCGTCCCGTTGATGCCTCCCGATGGTCTAAAGGAGGGGTGGGGGAAGCGTGCCCTTCACTGCCGAGGTTTCTGCGGATGTTGACGATTAGTTGGTCAGTCACAAAATCAAATTGTGTGTAACGATGAACCGCGAAGGGTCCGACAGAACCGGCCTTTCCCCCCCCCCGCAGGCCGCTGTTCCTTCCCCAAGCGGAACTGAGACGATAGAAGTCTATTTTTCTATAGACGGCATGCGTGTAACGAGCGGGAAACGATGCGGTTTTTCAAAAGGAAACGCACAAAAAGATGAGGAATAACGTTTGGGAAGACACCGTTGGTGAGGAGGGAGGAGAATGAGTCAAACTGCTGCTACATACAGAGTGTCTAATATTATACACATCTGCTCTCGTTCAGAAGCCCATATGCTTCATATTGGAGATGAGGGACTTTCATCACGTCGTATGAAATGTTATTGAAACTTTGGTCAGTTTCCCTGGGAAAGTTTCGTTACTTTGTTAGTTTGTTGCTTTGTTAGCTTGTTGCTTTGTTACTTTGTTAGTTTGTTGCTTCGTTACTTTCTTGGTTTGTTACTTTGTTGCTTTGTTAGCTTGTTACTTTGTTAGCTTGTTGCTTTGTTACTTTGTTAGTTTGTTGCTTCGTTACTTTCTTGGTTTGTTACTTTGTTAGCTTGTTACTTTGTTAGCTTGTTGCTTTGTTACTTCGTTAGTTTGTTGCTTCGTTACTTTCTTGGTTTGTTACTTTGTTGCTTTGTTAGCTTGTTACTTTGTTAGCTTGTTGCTTTGTTACTTCGTTAGTTTGTTGCTTCGTTACTTTCTTGGTTTGTTACTTTGTTGCTTTGTTAGCTTGTTACTTTGTTAGCTTGTTACTTTGTTACTTCGTTAGTTTGTTGCTTTGTTACTTCGTTAGTTTGTTGCTTCGTTACTTTCTTGGTTTGTTACTTTGTTGCTTTGTTAGCTTGTTACTTTGTTAGCTTGTTGCTTTGTTAGCTTGTTACTTTGTTGCTTTGTTACTTTGTTAGCTTGTTACTTTGTTGCTTTGTTAGCTTGTTACTTTGTTAGCTTGTTACTTTGTTAGCTTGTTACTTTGTTGCTTTGTTACTTCGCTGCTACGTCTTTTCAAAATTATTTTTTGTCTCCTCAGGAAACTGAATTTTGCTCAACGATGTAAAAAGATGGCTGTCTGATTGACCCCCTCCCCGCCGCGTGGGCTTCGTCCACCATCTTTGGCGTAACATACAGAACGCCTCCCTGCGGATACGACGAGGACAGCTTGTCAGAGACGTCTTTCTTTCCGCCGTCTCCTTCCTCAGAAGGAGCACGAACCCCTGAAACTCAAAAGCGTTTCCCCGTCAGCTCCTCACGCCGCTCTCGCCCTCCTCCCCGAAGGCAAAGAGCGGGGACACCGTGTGACGCGAATTACCACGGGCCCGTCGGTGGCCATAAACGCAGCATCGAGTTCTCCCCAAACAGACGGCGGCCTGCGCGCTGACGCGGGGCCTTTGCGGGCGACGTCTTGGACGCCCCTCAGATGGATGTGACGGAGCCACTTATCTCGGAGTTTATAGGCCGGTAATGAAACAGTAACCGGAGTCGTTTGCGCGCTTTAAAGTGGGTGTTGAAGTGGAAATGTGCAGCGAGGCTTGGTGGAGCATTAAGGCCTGAAGTGCGGCGAGCTGTAAACTGTGTACTCTGGACTCTCCCCGGGAATCCTGCCTCTCACAGCCCGCCGCGGGCGGAGGAAAACGTCGGCCCCCGGCGGGCTCGGAGGGGAGAAAGACGCGCCGGGCGCGCGACGTCACGTCTGCCGGACTTGGCTTCGGTCTGCAGAGCTCGTTTGGGTTTCGCTTCCCTCTGCTCCGTGCGAGCTAAATATAAACCGCGCTGCGTCCTTCCAACTGAGCCACATCTGCATTGCTTTACACGCCCCATCTTTGAGTTTTTAACGACTCTTCATGGAACGATATCTGTTTAAATTCCTCAAAGCAGATATCATTCCAGCAGCTTTAAAGGAAACTACGGCCCCTGATCTGTAGTCCGATCCCAAAGTTTCCACCCAATTGTCTTGTTCTTGCCTCATTTTCAGCCCAAACATTTCGTCAGGGACAAAGAGCTGAAACACACTGACAGTTTCTTGGCGGCTGAAAAAAAAACACAAAATCTATCCAGAGGGAAAGAAAAACAAACAGCCTCTCCGAGTCAATCAGCTTAATGAAGGCGATTAGGTTGATGTTCTTAATGAGACGAAGCCTCTTAGGGAGAGCCGTGTTACTACTGTCGAGATATAAACAGATCCTTGGCTCAAATAAAAGTACTACTACAGAACTGTTACAAACTGTGCATTATTTGTATTTTCTATTCTCACTTATTTAGCTGTGACTATTTATCGATTGTTATGGAGTGATGAAGTTTTCACAACTCTTTTGCAGAGTATTTCCACAGGTCTGCAGACGTCGTCCTGTTGCCACGCTCTGACTTTTGAACAGGTTTGAGTTCAGCGGTGTACAGATGATGTACCCCCCCCCTCCACGCCGACCCCCCCGAGGCTCTCTGGCACTTCTAAGCAGACACTGATTGATTGGTGAGATTAGGGAGCAGCATATCTGACACGACTCTGATCCGCCAGCCTGAAAGTGCTCAGAGCTTTTTTTTCTACCGAGAGTCCCGGATCGCATTTCAAAGACGGGACGATGTGTGCTGATTCATCCTGATTCAGAGGGAAAAAAGGCCATGAATTAAATGCATGAATACGCCTCTGTTTGGCTGAACTGAAGCAGCTGAACAGGTGCAGCGGGTCGACGGTTATTTTAAAACGCGTTGTATTTGTAAACGATATAAAAACAGAGAAAGTCTTCTGAAGGAGGGAGAATGGAAACGACACAGGAGACATCTGGCCGGGTTCCTGGGTCCAACCAAAAGGTAGGGTTGGATAGTGTAGTATAGAAGTATAAAGCCGGTCAGTATTTGTTTACATCCTTTCGGTCATCATTTCAATAAACAGCGTGATCTTTTGTCTGACCTTTAAACCAAGTCGCTCGAATATATTTTCAATTCAGAAACATCGGCATTTAACGTATCACGTGGTTAGCAAAAATGTACATTTCTGATATTTTTCGGGTGGACCATGTAAACCACACACAAGTGTTTTTAAGTGTCAACATTATTACTTTACTTTGCAAATTCTACTACTTTATATTTCTCCATTTCAGAGCAATAGCATCAACATATACTTTAATTACCAAAGTAAAAGCACATTTTAGATTTGTATAAAATGACTTGAGTCTTTTGGATTAAAATCACACCTTTAATGTTTATCTATTGTAAGTACTTGTATCCAACTGTTTAGTTTAACCTATAATTAGTTCGTAAAGCCAAATGTTAATTTTGATATTAGTAATCTCAATCAGCAAAATCACTCAAATATCAATTGGCCATAAAGTAGCCTACAGTAAATGTACTTAGTTATATTCCACCGCTGATATTGATTTATTTGTAATTAGATTACTTCATACAACTTTACTGGGAATTAAGTTTAACAAAAAGCACTATTAAACTAATGTTTTAAAAATAAAACCTGGAGGTAAACGTCGTGACGCGACTCTGCGTGCGCAGTGTCCGCGCAGCTTTGTTGCTCGTGAACGCGCCCTCGAAAGGCACCCTGGGAACGACAAGATGGCGGGACGTTCAAAAACACCGCCGAGTGGCCGAATTCGCAACAAAATAAACTGTAAATAACTGCGCGCCGCTCGGCGTTAAACCGCCAGCAGTCGACCGACACGCCGGTAGCGGCCGGTGACCATGAACCGGGGCCGTGGGACGGTGGACCCGCCGGTGGGTCGGACGGGCTCCCCGCTGCAGCGAGACACGGGCCCGTCGAAGACGAACCGACTGAGGAGAAGTTTCAGGGAGACAGCGAAGGAGGGCGACTCTCCGAGGAGCCAACAGCCGGGTCAGAACCTCCTTTCCTGTAGTTTTGACGGGTCCGGAAGACGCGGCCTTCTTAACTTGTCTCCTGTGGCGGCCAACGTCCCGCCGAACTACACGGGGAAGTGCCTCCGTTTTAAGTCTCCTTCTAAATAAAAGCGATAACTTGAGTCTAATAACGTGGCTAAATTTCCGTATTACAAAGTAGAAGTTTCAGTCTTCCATTCGGCATCTAAGAGGTTCATGGCTGTACATTTTTAAACACTAAACAAATGATTTCCCTCCATGTTTTTTTCCCCGAAGTCGTCATCAACCAAAACAAGGCTCACGTGACAGTTGAAGAGCTTGTGAAATAAAAGTTAAAGATGAATTCAATCCCGAGAAGATGCCGTTACCTAAAGATAACAACCCATCATTAAGCTAATTAATGTATGCATGTTTTCCATTTTTAACAAAACTACATTCACTATTCAAACGGTGTCATGGCCCTTCTTACCATCAGCTGACCTTTGACCTCTCTGACTGCTGTTAACACAAACCCACCGGGCAGCAAATCTTGGCGTTTGTTTAATCAGGTTTTAAATCGATGATTTGTGTTTCTTCTCCTGCAGAGTTTAAGACCCCGACCAGGGTCCCGAGGTCCAGAGCCGGCAGTGGTTTCACCGCCGAGTCTCCAAACAACGACTCTGACTTTCAGCAGGACATCATCTGGGACGCCACCTCTCCGTCACCCAGCAGACTCGGTAAACCCAGAGCGCCGCCGTTTGGAATGTTGCAGTTGCACGTCCATCGTTTTGGTTGAGGGATTACCTTTAGGAAGCAGGAAAGACCTTATCGTTATCAACCGAACATCTTGAGTCATTTCTGTCGGAGGATTTTAGGACATTAAGTTAAGAAAAAGCCTGATCTAGAGCTGCACGCTGACTCTGTATTCCTTTGCAGGTAAAAGAGGCATGAAACAGAAGCCTCCTGGAGCTGTGGACATCTCAGACATTGTTAGCAGGATCGCTCCAAAGGTCAGCAGCGTTTACATTCTCACTTTATTAAGGGTTTATAATGGTTTTACCGACCGTGACTCTGCTCTGAAACATTGCATTCATTCATTACTGGTTGTGCCTCTGAAGTACGGCAGGCCGACGGTTGCAGAGCCGACTTTACAGCAGTGGATCGGAGACAGCGCCGCCATTCCCTGCACGCCTGACGTTCAAGTCCCCAGACCCAAGAAGAAGTCCCCGCGGTAGGTTCAGCAGAGGCAGCCGATACCAATTAGTTCTCTGTTTGGTTGTAACTAAGCTACAGGTCTTCACCTTCATCGACCCCTTAGAAGTCTACGGGCTAAACATGGCGTTGGTAAGAGATGGTCCTAGTGGGTGTGTTCAGACCGACAGACTCGTTGTGTCTCGCTTCAGGCCGAACGGCGTGGACGACCTGCTGAAGCTGGCCAAGCAGTTCGACTTCAACATGTTTCATCAGGATGAAGAAGAAGCGGAGGACATGCACCAGCAGAGTCTGGAGCTCCTGTCGGAGGACATCTTCAACAACGATCGAAGCAACGCTTCGCCGGCGCTTCCTTCAAACCGCCCGCCGGCCGCGACCGAGAAGCAGCTCCACCCGGACCAGCACATGGAGGACGATTTGGATTTTCTGTTCGACGGACCCACCCAGCGCTTTAGCGGAAATCTAAGTCAGCTGACGCAAGTTAAACCGCCCAAAGAGGCTCCTGGGAAACCAGAGGATTCCTCACACGGTCCCGCCGCCGGCGTGTCCGGGGCGGGCGCCAAAGTCGCTTTGGCAAAAGACGAGTTTGAGGACGACTGGGAAAACGACGACTTGTTGAACGACTCTTTGGTGCTGGAGATGACGCAAAATCCACAGAAGTTCTGCGCCCCGCAGCACTGCTCGACCCAGAAAGCCGCGGGTCACATGGCGCATGAGAGTCCGGCGAGCGCCGTCGTTCGGTCACCGGTTTCTAACGGTCACAGCAGGAGACAAAGGACGACTTTCAAACTGGAATCTAATCCTGGATTTTCTCTCGGAGGAATCCAGAAAAACGGGATGGTGGATTTTGGCCCAAAACAGTCCGTTAAAGATGCCGAGCAGAGCGGGCGTTGCCCCGGTAACGGTGTTTCCGTTGAGGCGGGATCTCGTTCCTGGCAGACACCAAACCCGGTGACGTCGGATCCACGGCAAACAGAGATTCATCGAAGGGCTTCTGTCGCCAGGTACGACGCGGCAGCATCGAAGGCATCGTCCACGACGATGGGCCGAAGCTTTCCGACAAAACCCGCGCCGGTGGCGTCCACAGGCGCCTCTGACCTACCACACAAGGACCTAGAAGAGCTCTTCTCGTCCGACCCGGTTTGGGATGACGAGGCCGACGACGACCTGCTGTGTGAAATTTGCGAAGTCGTGGAGAACCGACTCCAGGGCGCCGAGGGGGCTCCTCCCCCTGGGGGTCACGTGACAACCCAGAGAGCGTCTTTGCCGCCGTCCAACGGGAGCCAGCAGCCGGCATATCGCCAACCTTTTGACCCAAAAAGACAAACGCCGGGACTAGCGGCCGTCGGTTCGTGGACCGCTGGCTCCGCCTCCAACACCGCTGCAGGTGCGCGGGTGACGGATTCCTCGCAAACAAAGGGCCCCTCGGCAACAGCGTGCGGCTCGGCCTGGACCTTCAAGAAGCCGGGGGGCCCGGTTGCCACGGTGACCGTTAAAGGTGAGAGCACAAGGCCAATATCCTGTGGACAATTCTCAAAATTCTTTTTCGCAGAAGAATGTGGTCTAACCGGAGGACGTTTTGTTTTCAGATTTAACCGTCCGCCTCCCGTCTGCAGCCGGTGGAAGTTGTTCAGCAGCGGAGATCGAGAGGAAGAAGCAGCAGGCGATGGAGAGGAGACGACAGCGAATGCAGGCCGCCCAAAACCTCCGAGCTGCCACCTGACGGCGGCAGACCGGCTCACCTGTCTGTCTCCCCTCACCCACCTGGGAAGGGAGACTGCTGCAAGCTTCTAGCTCTGTTCGTTAGCAGGATACTGATTTCTGATTCCTTTTCTCCAAAATGTCTTCTTAGAAATATACACTTTATTGCCCGCGTAATGTAATTTTATACTTATGTCGCATTTCTCGTCCACAAAGTTTAATTTTTAAACGTTTTAGATGGTCATAGTCAGCATTTAGATTTTTTCCAGCATGTTGGCTTAGCACAATGTTTGTGTGTACAGTGTAGTGCAGTCGGGCTGTGGTTAGCGTAGCTTAGCACAAAGAATGGAAGCGGATCCTAATGGCTAGCATGGTTCCTTCTAAAAGATGTCAGACAACAACTCAAAAGCTCACTGATCCGAGGTCGGCAGTTTCCCGCCTTCTGTCTTTAAACTGGGCGATGCTAAGCTAAGCTAGCCACGTCCTAAGTCTGGTTCTGTACTCAAAATATTAAATTTTAACTTTTTCTTTACAATATCATATGATCAAATAATATTGTAATACAAAGGTTGCAAAGTATACTTCACATAGACTTCAAATATTTTTCTGATATTGTTGCAATGACGTCATTTAAAATGCACCAGCTTTGGCTCTTAATTAGTGTGATCTATATTCTAAGGAATCTTATTTAATCCCAGAAATCAAATGGCTTTTCAGCACATTAACACATCTTTCTATGCATAATTCATTGAGTTGGGGGCTAATAACAGGAGATTGCTAGCATGAAGTTAAAAAAATCAGTCTTTGTGCTAAGCTAGGCTAACCGCATCCCGCACGGCTCATGTAACATTTTTTTGTCCAATTTATTTCCTCATTTTCATCATGAGTCGCCGCGTCTGTTTTACTCGTTTATTTTCTGTGCAGCACTTTTATATATAATAAAGGTTTTATTGTGATCTTTTCTCACTAGTTTTGTTGGATGTGATCAAGTCAGACCTGCACTCTTTATTTATTATTTTGTGATTAGGAAAGACAATTTCATTTGTATTGTACATTTCAACAAGAAAATTCAAAGAGCTTCACGTGAAACCATTTGAAAACCTACAAACATAAAGCAAAGAGATTTTTAAAAAAAAGCTACAAACAAAAGAAAAAAAATGAAGATTTTAAACTAAAAATGTGTAGTGTAGTTAGGACTGCTGTAATGCAGAAATGGTCGATCAAAGGTGGCAGCAAACTAAAGTCTTTAATCTGGATGTAAAGGATCTCAGGGCCTTTGAGACGTTGTTGCACATATGTGGAGCAGAACAACGCTGCTTCTCCATGTTTAGTTTTGGGTCATTTGCAGAACCACAATAACGCACATAATTTGAGGTAATGGAAGCATGTAGATGTTTAACAGAAAGGGCCCCAGTATTGAACCTTGGGGAACACCAACACAAGTACGATTCAAACCAATAAGGTACTGTGCCAGAGTCCACCCCCCCAGTTGATCAGTCTATCCAGTGGTACGTCATGGTCGACCGTGTGAAATGCCACAATGAGATCCAGTAACACAAAGACTCAAATTCTGCCATTGTCTGTTTAAGTGGATGTCAATTCGTTTTTTAAACACAAGCTGAGTCATTTTAAAATGGTTTTAATGTTTTGTCTACTGATTCCTATGGAAAGCAACAGCAGCTCCCCCACATTTAATCACTGTAGGACGTCTTTAGTTTCATTTTGTTTCAAGTCTAGTATTTAAAAACCTAGAGGTATTAAACGTAGAATGTAGCTTTTAATGTGTTTTACATGACTATTGTTACTGATTTAACGTTGTCGTTCATGCAGGTGGAGCCAAGTTAACCATTTAGAGTACAACATGAACTTTAAATGCAAGGGGGTTAAAAAAGTGTAGAAAAAAGTTTTTTGCTAGAATGTAGCGTAACAAAAGCATAAAAGGAGGCCACATCAGGAACGGTGCAGCGACACAGTACAACGTGCACTAAATCAGTTCCAGGGGCAGGAGGCCTCGAGAGTATCGCTCTCTTCATTAGCCGCCTGGCAGCTGTCCGATGGAGCCGATACTCCGCCAGGTAAACCGAGCCTCGTTATCAGCAGACAGGTGTGTAACTGTAGGCCCCAAAAAATCATGTAATCTGCCTGGGTTTAATCACGCCGCCTTTGTCCCGGGATGTACTCCGGGATTCACCTGCTCCGTCCAAAGTTTGTCTCTGCCAAGAAGACAATTGAGCTTCTGTTTGTCAACCAGCGGTTTGTTATTGAGAAAAGAACAACCGTAAATCACCTAAAGCCACCTGATGAATGTAATGAAATCAAAGCAAAAGGAGAAAGAAAGAAGAACAAGTACTTCAAATGTGAAAACTACCCACAGTGCACTGCGGTGGACCTCTGCTGCCCTCTAGTGTCCAGAGAGGTTTAATGTAGCTGTAATGGAATCAACGAGAAGAGCAACAGCCACATTTTGAGAAATAGCATTTAAAAAGGACAATTTAATGCGCCAACACAGCACTGTGTGTGTGTGTGTTTATGGCAGATCCTTTTACCGGCAGCAGAGGATACTTATCTGCAGGTGAAACGAGGTTACCTGAGAGTTACCCTGAACTCTGGATGACCCCCCCACCTGTGCTCCATTAATTAGTCACAGAGCCGGTGACAGGTGAGGAGACAGGTAGGGGTCCCTCCAGCTGAAATAGAGCTTCCTCTCGTCATCACCATGGCAACACATTTTAAAGAGGGGGTCATTTAAAAGCCCAAAATAGAGGCAATTAAAGTTGGAGTATCGTGTGCCACAAAAAGAAAAGTCAATTAGAATGTAATACGGAATTTCCTGGTAAATTCCATTAAAAGTTGTGGTTTAGTTTGACAAGCTAGTTTTTGTTCAGCGCCGTTACTAGAACACCACATATATTACAAAGACTAGAAAATGTTTGAACATTTAAGGAAATCAAAGTAATTTCTGAAGAAAGCAGAAGTTCACAGCGTCTGTAACAACTTTCAAACTGTTTATTTCTCATTTTCCATGAATGAAGTTTCAGTGATGCAGCAAAGATGAAAACAGGAGTGAAAATCTAAGACTGAATCCACGTTGCCTCCATGAAAAACATCCCTTTAAACCAACAGCCGACATTTCAGAACAGACCTCAAATGAAACAAGCAGGATACCAAAATAAAAAAATAAAGTGAAGAAAACAAACCGTGTTTTATCCCTAAAACAAAACGAGTGGCAGGCGACTAAAAAACATTTAAGATTACAGTTTTTTTCTCCATGTTTAAACCTTTATTGGCAACACCAACGTGCTTGAAATGTTCATGTTTTATTTATCACCATTATTTATATGTAAACACAACACGGTCTCACCGAATTTCATGAAATGAGCCAAAACTGTGAAACGCTAAATCAATGAAATACAATACAAACGATGTTAAGATTACTTATCCTCACCATGAAATACATTATCTGATAATAACACAACCCTGACACCATTTCCACACCTTTAAATTAGGAAACTATTACAGCTAAATTAAGTTTTTTTCTCTTTTTTTTAAGGGCTAAAGTTCCATTGAAGTAAATAATTTTTTTTATGACTTCTAACTATTGAACATGCACCAAAAACGGTAGATTTTATCATATTATTGTATAAAAATTCAAATATGCAAGTGGTCAAACCAGTAATACGTGTACTAGCATGCGCAGAGTAGATTATTTGCATTCGCAAGACGTTTCACTCATTTCATTCAATTTTGAGGCCAGCTTTGAAAAAAGAGCTTTAAGAAAGCTTGAAAAGCTTTTAATAAAATCTGATCTACATGCAAAGAGCGGCGGGCAGAAGAAGAAGAAGAAGAAGAGGCGATCAGATCACACGTCATGCAAACACATCACAAGTCCTTTCAGGTAGAAAAGTCTCCCTGCAGAGCGCCGAACACCGAGCTGCAGCTTTCAGACCCCCCCCCCCCCCTCCTCTCTCGCCCCCCTGCAGGAGGTCGGGGGGGCGAGAGACGTGAGCGCGTTGAAGATGCGTCGGCGCTGCAGGACGCCTCCGCCGATGATATTTATAGAATATGTACTTCCTTCTGTACAGACGTTACTCAGACGAGTTCTTTATCATTGCAACCGTGTAAATACTTCATGAGAGAAAGACGAGTTTATTCATGGTTACTTTTTGGAATTTTTTTTCTTCCTTTTTTTTTTTTTTAAACGCAGAGAAAATATGAAAACCGTTGTTTTTCGCGGCTAAACTCTGGTTTTATTCCATAAAGCTTTTTATTTGTTAAGATTTCTACAGTAAATCTACAAAGGTTTTTTTAAGCATCCGGTCAGACCCCCCACCCGTCCCCGATTCCCCCCCCGGCAGGTCGGGAGTTATTGTAAATTCCGGGAAACCTCGTCTGAGTCGTTACGACAACTTGAAGCTTAACAACACAAAAGTGTTAAAAAATAAATGAAGAAAGCAAACAAACTGAGCGGTGGTTTGAAACGTGGCCGATGTCCCTCGTTTGAGAGCTTTACGTGTAAATAGTGATGCAATACTCAGTAAGATAAATGCATTCCATAATACGTTACATCTCAGACATAAAGACACAGACTTTTACCTGGAATTCAACTGCATGTCAATAAGTTGTTGGCACTTCATGCTGCGTTTGTGTTGTTCTGAAATCAAGTAACGCCACCGCTAACGAACCCCCCCCCCCCCACTCTGAGATAGACCTCCCATCCCGAAAACCATGACACCAAAGAAATAAATATAAAAACACCCCGCATACCTTTTTGAGAAAAAAAAAAAAAGAAACCGTAAAACATACACAACACATACACACCTAAAGACACATGGACACGCACACACACACGCACACGCACACGCTTCCCTCCACCAAACTGAAACCGGCGCTCTGCGCTCACAGAGCCGTCCGTCGGCTGTTACGGGGCGATGAGTCACAGAGAGTTCCTGATCGATAATACTTGGTGGAAGTTTGGCTTCAGAAGGCTCAGGAAGGAGTGTGGGGGGGAGGGAGGGAGGAGGGGAGGAGGGGGGGTGAGGAGGGGACTTTTCACAGAGAAAATACTTTCGTTGAGCATTTTTTTGTTGTTGGACGATGACTTCAAGCAGATCTTCAGCGAATGGAGGAAGGGAAAAACAAATCAAGGTTTTCAGACGTCCACCACCATCTTTTTGTGAATGTCTAATCCACCAACGACCTGCGGGGGACAAGGGGGGTGGGGGGGGGGTCATCCAGGTGTCCTCATCATCCTCATCATGACGTAATATCTCATTGAGTTCAGCTCCCTCAGCACCATGTGTGTGTCAAGAGCAAGAGAGGAAGTACTTTTACTAAAGTACAGCTTGGAGGTACGTTTACTCTACTTGAGTATTTACTACATACCTGTGGAGTGTTTAGTTTTTTTTTTCCAAACTATATTATTTCTAGGGCTGTCAATAGATTTAAAACAATTAATCGCACATTTTGAAATTCATTAATCTCGATTAATGGCGATTAATGAATGTTGATTTTGTTACAATGTTGTTTTTAATGTTTGTAAGACTAAATCTAATAAATAATCAGAAGAAGTAATCATTTTAGAAAATATGTATTTTAGACTGTTTCATTTTTCATTTTAAATACAAAACTACACAGTTGATCCTCATCGAGGTCACCAGGTTGTGTTTGAAGTGCCAATAATCTCCCCACATTGTTTTCAGACCGCGGCCCTTCAGGGACACGGTGGTGGTCCTCTGCAGACTGCGTGGGGGACGTCAGACGTTGAGATGGAAGTAGCATAGCCGCTAGCTTAGCATAGCGGTGCTTTAAGTGGTCCGTTTGCCACTCACCCCCCCCCTTCTCTTTGACACGTGACGTGATTCCTCTGCACAGTGCTGAACGTCGCGCATCTTCATGCAACTGACTTCAGCCAGCGGCCGTTTCGTTTTTGCGGTAAAACAAACGTGTAAATATTTTGTTGTATTATGTCTACTTCTCCGTCACCCGAAGGTACCTGAATGGAGTTCTATAGCCTGTAACCCTGAATTGAGTGGGTTAGGGGTGGGAATAAGGTTTTAAATCGCAATCTGTAATGTGTGAATCCTCTTCCGTGCCTGTGACAATCTCTAAAACATATTTACAAAAAAATATAAATATTTAAAAAATGATATATATATATATTATATATAAAATTGCATAGATTGATGAGTTTGTTGACGCCCTAATTATTTCTTTTAATGACATACTAAATAATTAATAACAAATTCTGCACTACACAAAAGCTATTGTCATTTTTGTGTCACTTTTGTGTCACTTTTGTTCGCACTGAAGGACCAAAGAACACGTTCACCTTCATCTGCTTGAGATCGTCTCCGTCGGTCTAAATGAAGGTAAAAAAAACTCACCGCACAGAACTCCTCGAAGGATATCCGCCCGTCTCCGTCCTTGTCGGCGTTGATGATGGTTTTGTCGACGATCTGCTGCAGCTGCGTGTCCTTCAGGTTGTTGCCCACCATCATCTTGAGGACCTGGAAGAGCTCCCCGTTGGAGATGTAGCCGTCTTTGTCCATGTCGTAGATCCTGAAGGCGACTGGCGAGAGAGAGAGAGGGAGAGAGGGAGAGGGGGGACAGCAGAGATGAAATGCTATTTATGGCATTTCTTTCTACAATTGAAAGACCTTTTCAAGGTCACAGCAGTACAGTATTGTGACCATGAAACAGGAAGTTGTTCCCATTCAAACAAACTGACTGGTGATTTGTGTTTGTCAGAGCGATCTTCTCCCCGCGATACAAAAACAACATTTATTTACATCTTAGACTTTCTTCAACCATAAGTGAGACCATCCAGAAATAGAGACATCAGAACTGTAACAGATTAAGCTTCTGGGGCAGAAGTTTCTTAACCGTTGAACGCGTAAAGTGTAAAATGAGTTATGAAACGATGATGATGATGAAGAAGAGACGTTGAGACGTTGGACACTTACAACGCAGCTTCTGCTCTTTGTCGCCTTTGACGCTGAACTGGGAGACGCCTTCGATGAACTCTGCCGGAGGACGGAAAGACACAGTCACTCAAAGACAATGAGAGTACTGATAAGAAAACCCGTTACTACACAATAAAAGAAAAAAAAAAAAACTTTAGCGCTCAGAGGTCTTAGAAATAAACGTTTCCGAGTGAAATCACCTTTGAAGTCGACTTCCCCGTTTCCGTCCGTGTCGAATATGTCGATGACTCGCTGCACCAGGGGGTTCTGCTGCAGCTCCGGTAAGGACATGAACTCCTCCACACTCAGGGACCCGGAGTTATCTAGGTCGAGTTTCTTAAATCGCTTTCCTAGCCTCTTAATCTCATCAGCATCAACTGGGGAAAAACAGAGGGGGGGTGAGGGGGGGGAGACAGACTTATTTGCAGAAGCTGAAGGAGAGAAAAGGTTTCCACACTATTCTGACAAGGTCTTCGGTTCGGTTCCTTTTTATGAGGCGACGTGGAGCTCATGTGACCTCCATGCTGCACGTAGAAACCATTCCTCCCAGTTCAACGGCACCCAAAGGACCTACCTGCTCGCTGGTTCCTACTGGCCATGGTGGTGCAGAGCTACTGGTCGAGCCTCGTGCCACCGGACCTCCTCTAAGCCCTAATACGGGTCATGTGACAGCGCTTTCAACACTAATCACTCTGCCGATAACCATACGTGGGGGGGGGGGGCTTATTGTGTTGGTAACCTGGAGGTTCATGGAGATAATGTTCACCGCCCCTTTTTATTATTTAACATAATGAAATTCAGCAACAAGTAGAGTTTAGAAAGTGATGACAGTCAGGAAACCTAATAATTAAGGGTCAAAAAAGTAAAAAAATATAAAAATAGGAACAATAACTCTTTCCTACTTTCATCCATGAGAACGGTCACAACACTCATAGTTTTAACCTCATGTAACGACACGTCAACACTAACAGCACAATGACAAACTATTGCATCTCTAAAAACGGAACAGGAAAACCGTTGAGGATTAAAGATTTTCAGTTCTTCCACTTGACTCCCTGCTGCACTGCAGCCTCACAAAGGCCCCCATGTGGATCATCCAGTCCTGTTATCACCCTCAGTGGCCACCAGGTGGCGCTCCACACCAGGACCCGACAGCACGGCTCGGTTCTGTCCGGTTGATGTTACTCAGTGTTTGAAGAAAAATAAGGCTTGCGAGTAAACAACTCATGACATGACCGAGATAATTCCCCTTACGTGTATGTGAGTATTAAAGGATGGATATTCAGTAACACACTTTAAATACAGCTGAACAAGATGAACATCGGGCGATGCAGCCTTTGAGTAAACAGTCATCTTTGCTGATATGAACCATAAACAAATGTTACATGTTCCAGTAGGAGGCGGAGCTAAACAGGGGCGGAGCCACATGGAGGGGTGGAGCTATACTGGGGGCGGCGCTACACGGAGGGGCGGAGCCTCTACGTCACTCTCCAGAGATGAAAGTTCGTTGGTCAGAGAGGCAGACGCGCTGCAGTGAAGACAAGTCTCCGTGTTTCTCTGAGAGAAAAGTCAAAGTGACGTCATCAGGTGTTCCTCAGCAACACAGCAGAGTCTCTTCAGAACACTGGTGAGTACAGCTGGTCACATTTACACCTTCAACAAGCAGGAAGAACACACAACTTGTACTTTACTCAGGCAGGAAGTTCCTCTCTGTTCACTTCCTACTTGATAGAATGTTAACAATAAAACCACGTGTGTTTATCCACAGTCCCACGATACAGTAACTCAGTCTAACAGCTTCAAACTGTCCAGGACTTCAGTCACTTGGAGCTGAATCTCTGTGCTTTAAACTTTAGTGTCTCTCTGTTTCCTGATCCCTTCCTCTGTTTCCTCTTGGTTGATCAAGTTAAACGTGTTCCTCAGTGAACCTGCTGGAGGCTTTTAGTGTGAGTCATCTAAATGAGACGCTACGTGTTTGTCACCAAGTAAGCAGAGCGTTGTTAGCGTGCTGCTCTTTATTCACAGCATGTGGACACATTCTGGACTGGTTTCAAGATAAAACTATTCATGAAAACTATTTTAAATAAAACGTTTTTCTTCTCTTCCACAACATGTGTAGACATGGCTTCTGCAAACTATGGTCCATCTGAAGATCAGTTCCTGTGCTCCATCTGTCTGGATGTGTTCACTGATCCAGTCACCACACCATGTGGGCACAACTTCTGCATAAACTGCATCAATGAACACTGGAACACCAGCGACCAGAACCGGTGTCCAATGTGTAAGAAGGACTTCATCACCAGACCTGATTTGAGGGTCAACACCTTCATCTCTGAGATGGTTGTTCAGTTCAGACAGTCTGCTCAGCAGAAAGCCAGCAGCAGCAGCTCAGAGCAACAAGAGTCCAAACCAGGAGAAGTTCCCTGTGACGTCTGCACTGGAACCAAAGTGAAGGCCCTCAAGTCCTGCCTGGTGTGTCTGGCCTCCTACTGTGAGACTCACCTGGAGCCTCATCTGACAGCTTCACGCCTGCAGAGACATCAGCTGATGGACCCTGTGGAGAACCTGGAAGGCAGGATGTGTACAAAGCACGATAAACCTCTGGAGCTGTTCTGTAAGAGCGACCAGACGTGTGTCTGCATGCTCTGCACTGTTTTAGACCACAAGAACCATGAGTATGTTCCTCTGAAAGAAGAATGTGAAGAAAAGAAGGTCGAGCTGAAGAAGACAGAGGCTAAAATCCAGCAGATGATCCAGAAGAGAAGAGTGAAGATTCAGGAGATCAAACACTCGGTCGACATCAGTGAGGAAGATGCAGGCAGAGAGAAAGCAGAAGGTGTTCAGGTCTTCACTGATCTGATGGAGTCAGTGGAAAGAGGCTTGAAGGAGCTCCTCAAAACAATAGAAGAGAAGCAGGAAGCCACAAAGAAACAGGCTGAAGCTTTCATCAGAGAGCTGGAAGAGGAAATCTCTGAGCTGATGAAGAGGAGCGCTGAGGTGGAGCAGCTCTCTCTCTCTGAAGACCACCTTCATCTTCTCCAGTCCTCAAACATCCATCAGCCACCACCCACCAAGGACTGGACAGAGGTCAGTGTTTGTCCTTCATATGAGGGGACTGTGGTGAGAGCTGTGTCTCAGCTGGAGGAGACACTCAGTAAGAAGATGAAGAAGTGGTTTGCTGAGCTGAAGAGGGTCCAGATGTTTGCAGTGGATCTGACTCTTGATCCTGAAACAGCTCATCCTTATCTCATCCTGTCTGACGATGGGAAACAAGTGAGACTTGGTGACTGGAAGAATCTCCCAAACAACCCAGAGAGATTTTCTAATTGGCTCTGTGTTTTAACAAAGCAGAGTTTCTCTTCAGGCAGATTCTACTTTGAGGTTCAGGTTGAAGGAAAGACTTGGTGGTATTTAGGAGTGAACAGAGAGTCAGTCGACAGGAAGGGATCGAGCCCACTGAGTCCTCAGGATGGTTACTGGACTTTATGGTTGATAAATGGAAATAAATACAAAGCCTCTGATGGTCCTCCAGTTGATCTCTCTGTGAAGTCTGGTCCTCAGAAGGTGGGGGTGTTTGTGGACTATGAGCAGGGTGTGGTCTCCTTTTATGACGTAGAAGCTGCAGCTCTCATCTACTCCTTCACTGGCTGCTCCTTCACTGAGAAGCTCTTCCCGTTCTTTAATCCTGGTGGTAACGATGGTAGAAACTCTGCTCCGCTGATCATCTCTCCAGTCCGAGTAAGGCTCTTCATTAGATGTGCACAGTTACAGGCAACATATTGTTACACACATTCACCTCTTCAAGTCTATACAATCACACGCATGTTACGTGGTGATCAAGATCTATTTGAACCCTTGTTTATCTTCCTTTACAGGGCTGCCTGGGGGTTGGAGCTGATGCAAGAAGATGAGAACACATTTGCCAGTTTGCCAACTACAAGGACGACTGAGGAAAAAGAAGCGTCGACTAAATTCAGAAGAGAACGAGCCGGCCGGCCGTCTCTGACCCAGAATTACAGTGAGACCGAGATCCTCCTTGTGGCACCGGCACATCTGTGGCAACTCAGTCTTCAGAGGAACTCACCACTCACCAGCCGTGTGTCGGCACTGTGGCGCCTCACTGACTAATCAGTGGTCAGTGAGGCGCCACAACAGACACACAATGTACATGCTTTTATGTCTCAAAATGACAAAGTTTGTTTCCAAACAACTCGTGTACGAAACGTACTTATTTGTAATTATACTTAACCATCTTCAAAATGTTATTTTCACGCTCCTCTCCATCCTATGAGAGTAATCCATGGAGCTCTGAAGCTCTGTGATCCTCCGCTGTTTCTTCTCTCGTCTCTGAATCGCGTGTGAGAACAACGGTTTGCTGCAGAATATTTCATTGTTTCATTAAGCTTCCTATTAGAGAAAGCACATTCCTACAGCGTCTTTGTATCATGAAATGTAAATGGGAAACTGTATCCTTTGTGTTGTTCATTGGTGATCACTATTACACTATTACTTGTGCACTGTTGTCTTGTCTGTCTACTGTCGCGCACTAACCGCCAAGACAAATTCCTTGTATGTTTGACATATTTTGGCTAATAAATGTTTCCTGATTCCCGATTCCTGATTCCTATGGCTACATAATACGCTCATGTGTGTCATTTTTAAATCAATTGTTGTGGGGGCTCCATTTATGTTCATTCTGAATGAATGACATCTTTCACACTTCTGCTTTTTTCCAATGCAAAGGACAGAGAACTCTAAATGCCGTGTGGATTGTCAAATTTGTGATTTGTTTTCAAATAAATTCAAATGTAACCCCTAACATGTCCCTCCTGGCTGATTTGGCGACACCCTGTGGTCCACAGGTGATGTTTAACGCTGGTTAAGCCACTGCTTCGGTTGGAACTACAACAGAAACAGAAGAAATAAGAGAAATAGAGCCGAGAACAAATCTTCCGCTCTCGCATCCGGGCTGATTTGCAACACGGTGACACCTCCTGCCGTAAGAGCAGGAGCCTAGTTCATGCTTCTGCGTTTCCAGAGAGTGAAACGAGTGCGTCGACACGACTACAGACGCTGAAGCATGCGGCCCCCTTGACACGTTTCCTAAAGCCTAGTGTGGTGGCGGGCGTGGTTCGGCTCGGCTGCAGGGGGGAGACTGAGAAGGGAGTGAAATTAACCAGTGTTTGTATTCTGCCTGTTAAGTAGGCGAGGAGGCTGGAACCGGCTGTGAAACAATAAATAAAAACATTTATAATGGAGCAGACTGCCTCATGCTCGTCATGCCAAGACCAAGACCTCCCCAGAGGACCAACCTGTTGCACCTAGTTTATGCTTCTGCGTCTTCAGAGCGACGCAGACGCTAGACCCCTTTGCGTGTCTTTTCACACCTTCTTGTGTGCGTTGACCCCTTTTTCTTGACTTGCGTCAAGCGCTGCTACAAGCCGTCATTGGTGGACTATAAGGACGCCGGACGGCCTCTGATTCGTGGAGGGAGATCTCCACAAACGAGAGGAACAAAGTCGTGGAGGAAAATACGGGACAAATGTGTCCTTGATGAAAAGCAGCAGTGTGGATGCACGGGGCAATAAAGTCTCTGATAAATAAATAAAGCAACCAACGACTTCCACACACAAAGACGTGACTCTGCAGGTCGTCTTCAACAGAAACACGTTACTCCACCTGTTGTTCTGCAGGTGAACTGCTCTGCAACACACGCATGACTTTAGAACCATGAATTTAAACGAGTGCGTCGACGCAACGACGCAGAAACATGCGCCGGCCTTAACAGCTCGTTAGGACGCAGGACCCAAATCCGACGCCAGCTCAGCTTACACCGCCATTGGCCTGTGGCCGGTGCTGCTCATTATTTTCTAGTTAAGCTTGGAGCCTTCCTTTTTGTAGCGGGGGGGTCCGAGCAAAGCTCCAAACTAATTAAAAGGCTAAAAATAAACAAGGTTTTCCCAGCAGCCCTGACAATGACCTTTTACAGAGGGCAGAAGGCCTTTGTCAAAACCCAGAATAATGACATATCACCATGGACAAGGAGGTGGGGGGCACCCTTGTGCGATCCTTTTCTTGTCCAGAGCGCGCGTGGGAGGCCCCTGAGATTCCTCTGCCTTTTTCTCTTGTGCGGGGGGGGGGGGGGGGGTGTGTGACCCAATTCAGGCTCTGATGGGCTGTTTACATCGTGTGTGGGGCAACAAGTGTTCGGGTGGTCGTGGTACCACGTCGTAACATTTATTTTTGATCAGATTTAAATCTAATTTGCTTTATTCTGCTCTTGATTCAACAGTGTTTCCCACTGGATCACCCAAAGACAAAGTCCTGTTAGAGTAAAAAAAACATTTCAGTAGCTCGGTTCAGAAAATGCTTCCAGGAGAACGAAAAGAAAAGTGTAAACATTACAGAAACTGTTTTTTCTTAAACACCGCAACTTGAAATAGTGAACTCTAACCACACACACACACACACACACACACACACACACACACACACACAGACATTAAAAAGTTACGCAGACCTCTCGATCATGGCTGATACTTACAGTGCGAGCACATATCCAGGGCGTAACTGGCTTCATTTCCCTGGAAAAGAAAGAAGACTTAATGAAACAAAAAGAACCGTTATTGAGACGACTGCTTCAAACCAAAGAAGAAGAAGAGGTTAAACGCTTTTAAGAGAAACAGTGCCGGATTGTGGTCTCTTGTAGTTAAGGAGCCTCAGAAGGCCCTCAGTACGTCTGTGTTCATTCCCACTGAACACCTCTTCACGGAGGGGGGGGAACCGTCACGTTTAGAGCTAATCGGTAAAATCGACTTAAAGCACAAAAATCCAAGAAGAAACAAACTATTGCGTGACCTGCTCTCAGCTAATTGTCGGCGCTCTTCATTATGCATGAGTGACAGAATGATCTGGACTCGGGAAAACTAGGCCAACGCGCCGCCTTGATGTTCCTCGTCTCATCTCTCGATATAAACGTACCCATTTTTCACATCGTCGTTGGACATTTTGAGAAGCTGCAGTGGAAATTTATGCGTGAAAAAAAAAAAAGGATGGAAAGAATAAACAGAATATTCAGACTTATAGGTTATTAAATAATGATATTATTCTGTCTCCAAGATGTTTCTGTTGGATCTCCGTGTTCATTAAACAGCTCAGTTCTCTGAAGAATGAAATCACTGCATGAAGAATATGTACAAATACAAGGAAAAAAAATATATAAATCAGATTATTACCACTCATGTATTAATGTAAACGCAGCATTTTATGGTTTGTTGAGGTGGAGCTCATTTCCAAACTAACATTGATCAACGGAGCCCAAAGGGAAACTGTCCCAATGTTTGTTTTGTGCATCTAAAATACAGAGATATAATGAAGAAAAGCAGTAAATTCACCTGATTCAAGAGACTAAACTAGATACTACTTTGCTTGAATTATATTCCTTAAACAATTAACTGATTATCACAAAAATTAGAGATTCACGTAACCTTTTAATTTCCTGCAATCACAAAATATTTTTTGTTTGTGTTTTTTTTTTAAAATCTTTAACACAAAAACTACACTGTTCCCAAAAAAATCCTCAAGCGGTTTTCTCTCTTCAGATGAAATGATTCGGTTTGACCAAAGAGCCGTTTGTGACTGATCGCCGAGCCGCTCACACATTCCTCCTCGGGGAGGTGCGGCCGCGCTCTGACACTGTGCCCGACGCACGCGCCTCTGATCGCAGGCGTCCGCGGGCCGAGGGCACCACACGGGGTTCCCTTTTTATCCCGTGACATTAACATTTGGCTGGGTTCTGCTGGTGGGTCTTTCTAAATTTCACCGAGCAGAAAGTGTGTGTGCTAAGCTGGCCCACATTAATTCATCAACTACATTTTGACTGCATTCATTAATTGGTTTCCACCGGTTACATCGTCAAAGCGAGAAAAATGACAGCGTAGTTTTGTGAGGAGCTACGTTATGCAACAACGTTTAAGTTCCCTCAGACGATGCAGAAAGAAAATGCATAAAGAAAACTAACTGGGTATCCACATGCATCCTGCAAGGCTGCTACGCTAACACAAGCTAGCGTAGAAGCCTGGTGTTGCTAGCTAGCGTAGTAATGGTCTCCTTGCCTTATATTAGCGATAAATCGTTACCTTCCTGGAGCGTCTGTAGCAGCATTAAAGGACTGCAGAGGGATTACTTAATCCACCCAGGCAACAATCTAAAGAGCTAATTAGCGTTAAAAGGAGCTAAAGAGATATAAGCGCGTGTCTATTAGGTCATGGAGTAGTTCCTGTCAATCACACAGCTCGCACCATGACGACGACGACGTCTCAAACTGTGCAGCAGCTGAAGTCCTTTCAAATACACGGAAACTAAAATACTTGCAAAAGGAAGAAATGGGCCTTACGGGGAAGCTAATCAGGTCACCAAGAAGAATTCATCTATGAATCGGCCCTACAGTGGAATACGCGGGCCGGTGTGTTCAGGGACGATAACACCCCCTCAACTCCGTCTTTCTGCCGCATCATTCAAGGGAAATGTCTTCCATGTGCCTGGGTGGAGCAGTGAAGCTGCCGGTGTCTGAAGAGGAAGTGCTGACCACTGCGCTCTGATCGGGACCAAAACAGACGCTTTAACTGTCAAAAAACACACAAAAGTGCACAAGGACGGGTATTTTTTGTTCAGCTGCCGTCCCTCGTGGACACTAAAAGATGACAACAGAGCATTGTGGCCGGGATAGAAAGTGAAATGTGGCTTCACACTACGTTGAGTTGGCCGGGTCTATAAATACATATGACATGAACGTGGTGATCACACAAGGCATTTCCTCAAAGAAAATTATAAAAGAGACAAATTAGGTCATCCTATTTCAGTCAGCAATCAGACAACCTTCCTGAAGTTCTACCTGCATATACGGAATATTATTTTATCTAGCGGTACATAATTGAAAATATTATATTCTGAGCAACACTTAATCAGTCAGCCGTCTGAAATGTTTAATTCCCTGGAAAACTGGACAAACTGTGCTGCTACGTAGCCAAATAAAATCCTGGTGCTGGAAGCTTTGCACGACAACACATGACATCATCACAGCGTCCTAGAAAACGCAACTGCATTTATGACAGTTGGCACTGTTGATCACAACATGTTTTCAATTGGTAGGATGAAACAGGAAATACCTGACGACTGAATGAACAGCAAATAATGATTTGAGGCCAGAAATACAATGCGTTGAACAGCTTGTCAAATAAATATATATATATATTATATACAAGTAATAGCACTGAACGTGTAAGAGCCATTTTGTTATTGTTTTGTTTACCTCCCACCACTAGGGGGCGCAGGACACTGTTTAAATTAGGCCGCCAGGTCCATATAATCAGGAGGATTATCTGCCCCAGGTGTTGGTGTTTGGGAAGCAAACAGTTTTTGACCGTGGAAGAACGTGTAAGAGTGTGGAGGAATGTGTGAGGGTTTTTTACGCAGTGGTAAACAGTGAAAGGAGATTTCATTTGGAAATATGGAAAGTTGGACTTGAACAGAAGACACCTCCCTTTCTTGCAAGTTTGAAGAACAAATAAATTACCATAAAAGACAAGTGGACGTCTCAAGGATTATTTCAGGCAAAAAGGTCACTACAAAATGGGTTATCCTGGTAATATAAAATGAGTTACTACTAACTAGTAATCTCATATGCATTAAAAACAGTGATCACAGCGACTGTGTATTCGCCGTTGTTTCTAAAACTGATCCACTACAAAGTAGATTTGAAAAACCAGAGTCTCTGAAAATGAAAAGCAGCAGCGGACTGAAAGGTCACAGCAAAGAAGAAAAGAAAATGTGTTTTCAAATTCAGCTGGCTCCGTGTGGGCGGATTCTTCCTCGTGGCAGAACTGGGGTAATCACTGCCACACAATTTTGGACTCAATCAATCCATTTTTAACTCGCATTAAGATTTGAACTCAAAAGGGAAACACTCACTGGCAGCGTGCGAATGTTACAACGTACGCCGCCGACCCATTTCCCCGGCGTCGGCGCAGGAGAACCCTCCAAAATCACACCGATTGGAACGTACCGGATACCTCAACGACCTGGCATGTGTGTGATGTAACGCGTGTGTTGCACTACAATCATAAAATAGTAATAACAACTATCTGCCTCCACAAAGAGGAAACCGTCGAGTTGTTGCTGCCTTCCTCAGTCCTTCAAAGTCCTCAGTTGACGGCGGATATTTACTGATTATAATGTTGTGGTAGTAAATAACATAACAAGCAACATGTGGCTCTCAATTTTACAACTGTCACTACTTCCAATATGACGTACATTTTTGTTGCATATTATCCATTTTGCCACAGAATCCGTCTTTTTCTACCACACATTTTCTGCTCATTTAGGCTGTAATTTGGTTTGCTATAAACTATCAGCTGTTGATCAAATCAACTGTATTTATATAGGCCACAAATCACAGATTTACCTGAAGGGGCGTTCAGTTTATTTTTAGCTCAAACATCACACTAACTTAATGCATTTTAACTAACACGACGGTGGCCTGAATGTCAGACAGATATAACGATATAAAAAAGAAGGATTTGATGTGATCCAACACAACAGATCGTCTCACGGAGCTCCAGTGAACTGACTAATCTCCCACATAAGACGATCCCAAACCCTAGCACTTCCGGTCAACATTTTCAAAATAAACATTAGAGCGATGGATACATTACATTACATTACAGGTCATTTACATTATTGCCCGGGGAGCAATTAGGGGTTAGGTGTCTTGCTCAGGGACACTTCGACATGGGGCAGACGGGGCTCGAACCCTGTGCCACGACGACCCCACGATGGATACAGTAATGCAAACATAACACAATCCAGGAATATTACAGACACATCGTTCTGATATGGAAAATTCAGCATAATGTAGAATATGTATTCCGTATGACTTGAGGCGAATGCTGATGTACTTTTACTTGTAAGAGTGTAGTTCTACAGTGTGGAATACAATATTATACTTTAAAAATGATCTGAGTACTTCCTGCATCAACATCCATCACTGCAAATTACATAACATTATCTTTAAATGACACGTGAAGACGTAACGGTTTTCTACCAATGTATACGCTAATATAAGCAGCAAAACAGGTGTAAAAAGCACCAAAAATTGCATCTCGAGTTCATCTAAGCAGCAGGCGATAACGAGTATCTTCTTCCCACTTTTATTTTGGTGTATTTTTAATGTTACGACACTTCCGTCGTTACCGTGTTGCGCACTTGACGCACCTTCAGCTAGCAAGCTAGCTGCTAGCTAAACCGTACTAGTATTTCTGAACGTTATTTCCTCACCAGCTAGCGTTAACTAGCCTTGAGCCATATTACACCGAGCCACACATCGACGTTACTTCATACGTGTGACAGCGTGTCCGCTAAAAGAAGCACGCACAACATAACAATTAAACAATCCTGTCATAAACAAAAAGACATTGGGCTCTTTTTCTGTTTTTTTTTTTTTAAATGTCAGCGCTACGCTAACGACAGCTAGGCTAGCCTGGATGCTAGTTCGGAAGCTAACAGTGCAGTCGGAGGAGGAGAAGCTGTTTTTACACCGAGATATCGTAATTAAAATAATAATAATAACACACGAGTAACATATTGATCTTACCATTTTGCTGCGGGGGGTCTGAAGCTGCTCGGAGAGTAATTTAAAGCTCCGTTGACGGATCGACGCGGGCAGATAAAGACGACGTTTAAGCGAGCTTTATGACTTTTAACGGTAAGATGCCTGCCACCGGCTGTCTGACTTTACGGTTTCTGACAGCGGGGGAGAGATTCACTGCAGCGCCAGCAAATAGAGCCGCAGAGGGGGGAGAGAGAGATCAGCTAGTGGTGGAGAGAGAGAGAGAGAGGGCGCGAGGGGGAGAGTGAAGAGGGAGCGAGGAGGAGAGGAGGAGGAGGAGGAGTGGTAGGTGCAAACCAAAGCTCGTCTATTAAAAAGAGAGGAATCACTATTTAGCAGATACTGGATGTCAAAGAAGCCTAAAATAGCTCCACCTGTGTCAGGTCCACCTGCAGAATCACAATGCAACATCAACATTAATGCAGCACTTATCTTAATCCCAAAAGGTCACATGTAATAGCATAAACCTTAAAGTTTAACCCGGATCCTTAACTCATGCTAATACCAAGTCTGAGCTGATATTTACAATAAAATGTCATATCGTTTTGTCAATTCTCCCTGAAGGCAGCGTGGGGAGAAAACGTTAAAGCAAAAGCTTTTCAGCATAACATTATTTAAACTATTGGACTGTGGGTGAACTTGAATTGTTGTGTTTTTTCTTCCAAAGGGTGACTCATTATCTTAAGCATACACAATCTTCGGGGGGTAAACGGCATTCGGCCATAAACTGTATTTTCTCTGAAGCTCGCAGTCGCCGAGGAGGAACCACGCAGATCTCCAATAAAACAAACAACGATCAACGTGTTTTCATTACAACACAATCCCGTTTTCTTCTTCAATAAATGCCGAACTAACCCATGTTTTAACAAGCACCATAGTGTGCAATCACTTTCTGTTTAAGTGGGAGGCCCTCATCTACAGCGTGCACACCATCCAGGCCGCAAAGCACAACAGCTTCTTATGTTACAATTGCATTATAAAAAAAACAATCATCTTAAGGTGTTTCTTTGGGTAATTCTGACACTATTTTCACAGAGCCACCAATCTGTCAAATGATGAAGACAATAATCAGCTAATTAATCCAAAATAAAAGAATAAGTAGATCTTTTAAAATGTGCTCCACCTTAAACCGTCACGTCCTAATTTTACATCAACGCATGAGCGATGATAATCTAATGATAGAATATTTTATAGGATAACGATCACGAGAGTCAAGAGGCATTTTATTCATTTTAACCCTAAGTACATTTCCCTGATTATAACTTTCACTCAAGAAACATTTTCAATGCAGTGTTTTTAGTTCTACTGTGTAGTATTTGTACCTTTACTTAAGGATCTGTACTCTTCCTCCACCACCACAATAATAGCTAACTATAACTACACAATAATATTGGTTCAGTGTACTGTTTTATTGATGGATACACGTCATACTCCGTTCAACACTCAACACAACAGTAAGGTTTATGCATTGAGATGTCTTTACAAAAAACAAACAAACGGATCATATTTGGCAAAAATGAATCAGGCCGTTGAGAGAAAACAAATTCAACACAAAGTGAAGCACTCGCAATAACGAGCACCGTGTCTCAAAATAAAAGACAGAAGACATTTTCCCCTTTTGAGCCGGAGGACGTCAAACAATTCTGCGGAAAGACCAAAACCAACAGCGGATGAATCGGCTCACGAGTGTTGTGATGGAGCACCGTTAAAAACACACTGATGAGGCTCACTGTCGGTCCTTTATCACCACGAACACTCACGCCGCGGTTTATTGTGACTCAATCGCACACAAACACTCACCAGAACACCTGACGTGGATTAATCCGCCGCTGAAAATAGTCCCAAACCAAAGCACTATTTCCTTCCTTCCTTGCGAAGAACTATGGTGCTGTGGCCGTTTGGGGTGTTATTCCACCATCTTTTCACACAACTATATATTTGTGTTGTTGAAGATTTACGTTCGATGGGCTCGGAGCTGAGGGCCACAGACAGGAAGTCAAAGGGTCGGGAGACAGACCGTGTTGGTTTTGGTATTTTCATGGGATTTGTTGAGATGTAGAGAAACAGCAGCATCGTCCTTTGAAAGCAGAGTCCACGTCATCTACTCACACTGTTGGATTTCTGGGTGTTTAAACATTTTTTGTCTAAGCAGTGAAAACATGGGTATACGTGTTGGGGGGAATTTCTTCAGTAAATAACACAATACATAAAACTATCACAATACACACTTCTGCACGTCGTCTCCTCTCTGGCAGGTACGCCCCCACAGGAACTACCTCCTCCACCCATTGGTGTCCTCCATCCTGGTCTTCAGTTGACACCGCGCTAGCTGATGCTGCCACACGTTAAACTATCGCGGGGGGTAATAGTGAAGAGATGTGATCGAACCCAATGCTAACTAGCCTGTTAGCGAGCAATATCTTACGGCTCTGCATTAGTCGGAAATTATTTGTTATTATTATACTTATTCTCTCTTTTTATAGACATTGTTAAATGTACGTCAAGTCACAACACACTTCTTCAAACGTAGAAAACGTTATACGTTGTTTGTTTACACACAACGTATGAAAACGGCCGTGCGGCGGCTATTTGGCTATTTGCACCAGCAGAATTTAAATATGTTAATTTTGTGGTATGTTTAGTAGTAGTGTAAAAAGCAACATATGTGCAGAGAGTAGTTTATGGTAGTTGAATGAGACTATTGCTGAAGTCCGATGCTCTATAATGTCTGAAAGCTGCATTCTCTCCATTGACCACCAGGGGACGACTCCTCTGGTCGAATAGGAGTCTACGAGAAAAGCCGCAATGGGGCCATGTGAGTGAAATGACGTAATCTAGAAAAAAACGTCCAATTGTTCCATTAACCCTCGACCCTGTGGAGCGTCTCTAAATGTCCTCCCCCTCAAAAGAAAAGCACCGCTGCCGAGAGCAGCAATAAAAGAAAACAAACCTTTAAAGACCAGCATAGCAAACAGCCACATCTTCTCTCCTCTTTCGGACAAAACAACGCAAATACCTGACCCCTTGCTTCCTGGAGACAAGGGACGTCCTTTTTTTTGTTGGGATGCTGATGGTCAAAGTCCTGGAACGAATGATGTCCTCTGCTGGGTATCTGGTGCTGGCGGACATCGGGGGGGGGGGGGGCGGGGGGGGTGTTGCGGCTCAGTTGAACGCCTCCTTGTTGATCCACATCAGGGTCCGCGTTTCGTTGGGCTTGCATTCATACTCGATGCTGGTGAATTTGTTGCCGCCCTGGCAGTGCTCCCTCTTGTAGTAGTTGTAGTATTTCGCCTGCCAGACGGTCTCGAACGTGCCGGCTTTGTTAAACTGGAGGAGGGAGACAACACCGAACCTCAACAAAAAAAACCCTTCTATTCTGCTGTTTGACTTCGGATCCCTGCGGCAATCAATCGGATATCCGGTGAATAGAAAGGCGCGTGCGACCTGGCCGTCTTACCTCCATACTGACTTGGACGGGTTGGCGGTCTCCGCTCTTGGTGTGCGGGACGCCCTCGGTGTCGTACTGCGCGTGATAGACCACCGACTCCCCGTCCCGGGACTGCTGCTCCAGAGGGAAGACGATGCCCCCGATGTTCATGTTGCTGCGAGAGGAGAGAGTGAGGACGACGGCGGTTTGAAACTGTGCTGGATCGGAGGTGAGGGCACATGTTGTAGCCGCGGACTGAAGGGAACGAGTGGGCATGGCCACCTTAGATTGCGGCCCTCGCCGTGTTGTTTTGGTGGGACAGGTGAGCGCAGAGGAATGACGTCTCTGTTAGCTGCAGCCACCTGTCAATCAACCGCCCTGAATCATACCCTGCCTTGTTTGTCTATCTGACTCTAAATGGACCATCATGCTGTGTAAGAAGACTTTAATAGAGATTGAGACCATACACTCATGTCTACAATGCTTACTGAGGGAATAAATGTAAGAAAAGTAGACATATTTTCCCATAGACTTCTATGGGACCAGAGGAGTCGCCGCCTGGTGGTCACTGGGGAGAATGCGGGTTTTAACACACTTCCTCTTCTTCTTCTTTGGTCCATCATCGGTTAATATTTGTATTAATATTTGTATTCCTTCAGTAGGAGGTAAACCCTCACCCCTTGTAGACTAAAACTAATGATGTAGGAGATCTTAACTTTTTACAGACCATCACTCTTAAACATGCTTTATTTGACCACATGTGATGTTATATTACATTTGTAACAAGCAAAGTATTCAACAACAGATTTTGTGTCATTTCAGCTACTTAGATTATTAGTATTAGTAAATTAGTATTTTTTTAGTATACAAGTAAATTAGTATTTAGAAATTATTATACAATGTTGACATGATGGGATGAATTAAATTATGTCAGCTGGCTGTTTTGAGTGATGGGACAAATTATAATATAGTAAAATGACCATCAAATATTCTGCCAATCGTACTCGAATGAGCGGTTTTACTCATATTCAACTTTATACATTCCAGGTATTTCTTTGCGATTTCACTTCTTTTTTTTAAACATGCACCTTCTGGATCCCTTCCGTCCTCGTGGAGAATGCGTCCTGCTGGACACACACACACACACACACACACTCACACAGACGATCCTCGTGATTATTTATTCAGGCGGATATCGGATGCTGCGGGATGTGCGCGAGCAAGGCCACGGAGCCATAAACACGCGCGTTATTTGGCATTAATAATCGGTATTAATTGCAGTTATGGTAAATTCGCGTTGTCCTAGACGTGTGACTTTTTTATTTATTATTTAAATTAAATAAGACCTTCCTGCGGCGATCTTGGACCCGGTAACAAGGACATTAATACTAATATTGGTGTGAATTGCGATTTTTTTTTCTTACGTGGCCTCGACGTTTCCGGGCTTCAGCACCACCTCGATCTTGTATTTGGAGCCCGTGAGCAGCTTGATGGTTCTGGTCTGGCCGAACCTGGTTCCGTCCACCTTGAAGAACACGGGTCCCTCGTTGGGCTGGATCCGCAGCGAGATGGAGATGTTGATGATCGGAGGCACGTCGTCCATTATCCCGGCTCGCGAGTCGTAGGGGGTCAATTCCGTGGCGGCGGATGATGCGGTGATGCTGAGGGAGGGACCGGAGTCAAGCTGCTCCGCGCGCGGCTTCCGGTTACGCCTTTCAAAGTAAAGGTTGAGACGCTAAGGCAGAGTTTGTGTTCAAGAAATAGAAGAAAAAATACATGTCAATCATAATTTGGTTACTTAGCTTATTGACTAGAGATTTCCAGTATTTAATGTGTTAATCATAATGAGATGGCCATTAAATTCAGATGATATTTTAAAATACTAAGCAGGCGATGATTTAATAGTGTAATTCTGTTGAGCAGATGGGTTGGTGGGTCCGTAGTGCAAAGGCAAATGTTGGTATCCATAAGTGGATCAACACAACAAATTATGACTCGACACTGGTATAAAATCATCAAGAACTGGACATTTAATGTTTGCAAACAGGAGACAGAGTTGACACACACACACAAGTCATATACACCGGGATAAGGTGATAAACAGGAAGGTCTGTGATCTCATTGTACGAGGACCGTCGTGTTCTTTATCCTGAGACATACGTCTGATCATGATGAGACACGGAGTGTCCTTCTGGACACCGGACACACACGTCACACAGATTTCATATCCTGAGCGATCGTCTTACCTCAGCTGACACGTCATACACCCAACTTATTGTACAAACGATACAGACATAGTCTTGATTTGTCTGAACCCCCCTTCTTGACATGACATTATTTGCATTTTTTCCAACAACAAATGGAAAGGAAATGTCCAAGACCCCCCCTCCCCTGAATACAACAACAATAAATACTGATAAGTGTTAAACTAACACAAACTAAATACTGGATTACACGAAGTGATTTATTCCATCTCAGATATTTTTACATCAAAGAAAGGAAACTATTAAATTTGATCAAAATATGAATCGGAAATTTCTCCAAGATGCTTTTTTACTTTAAAAAAAACATTTAAATAGAAATATGTACAACTATTTTTGTGATGACAGTCAGGAAACCTAATAATTAAGGGTCAAAAAAGTTAAAAATATAAAAATAGGAACAATAACTCACGTTTCCTACTTTCATCCATGAGAACGGTCACAACACTCATAGTTTTAACCTCATGTAACGACACGTCAACACTAACAGCACAATGACAAACTATTGCATCTCTAAAAACAGAACAGGAAAACCGTTGAGGATTAAAGATTTTCAGTTCTTCCACTTGACTCCCTGCTGCACTGCAGCCTCACAAAGGCCCCCATGTGGATCATCCAGTCCTGTTATCACCCTCAGCGGCCACCAGGTGGCGCTCCACACCAGGACCCGACAGCAAGGCTCGGTTCTGTCCGGTTGATGTTACTCAGTGTTTGAAGAAAAATAAGGCTTGCGAGTAAACAACTCATGACATGACCGAGATAATTCCCCTTACGTGTATGTGAGTATTAAAGGATGGATATTCAGTAACACACTTTAAATACAGCTGAACAAGATGAACATCGGGCGATGCAGCCTTTGAGTAAACAGTCATCTTTGCTGATATGAACCATAAACAAATGTTACATGTTCCAGTAGGAGGCGGAGCTACACAGGGGGCGGAGCTACATGGAGGGGCAGAGATACACGGAGGGGCGGAGCCTCTACATCACTCTCCAGAGATGAAAGTTCGTTGGTCAGAGAGGCAGACGCGCTGCAGTGAAGACAAGTCTCCGTGTTTCTCTGAGAGAAAAGTCAAAGTGACGTCATCAGGTGTTCCTCAGCAACACAGCAGAGTCTCTTCAGAACACTGGTGAGTACAGCTGGTCACATTTACACCTTCAACAAGCAGGAAGAACACACAACTTGTACTTTACTCAGGCAGGAAGTTCCTCTCTGTTCACTTCCTACTTGATAGAATGTTAACAAGAAAACCACGTGTGTTTATCCACAGTCCCACGATACAGTAACTCAGTCTAACAGCTTCAAACTGTCCAGGACTTCAGTCACTTGGAGCTGAATCTCTGTGCTTTAAACTTTAGTGTCTCTCTGTTTCCTGATCCCTTCCTCTGTTTCCTCTTGGTGGATCAAGTTAAACGTGTTCCACAGTGAACCTGCTGGAGGCTTTTAGTGTGAGTCATCTAAATGAGACGCTACGTGTTTGTCACCAAGTAAGCAGAGCGTTGTTAGCGTGCTGCTCTTTATTCACAGCATGTGGACACATTCTGGACTGGTTTCAAAATAAAACTATTCATGAAAACTATTTTAAATAAAACGTTTTTCTTCTCTTCCACAACATGTGTAGACATGGCTTCTGCAAACTATGGTCCATCTGAAGATCAGTTCCTGTGCTCCATCTGTCTGGATGTGTTCACTGATCCAGTCACCACACCATGTGGACACAACTTCTGCATGAACTGCATCAATGAACACTGGAACACCAGCGACCAGAACCTGTGTCCAATGTGTAAGAAGGACTTCATCACCAGACCTGATTTGAGGGTCAACACCATGTTCTCTGAGATGGTTGTTCAGTTCAGACAGTCTGCTCAGCAGAAAGCCAGCAGCAGCAGCTCAGAGCAACAAGAGTCCAAACCAGGAGAAGTTCCCTGTGACGTCTGCACTGGAACCAAAGTGAAGGCCCTCAAGTCCTGCCTGGTGTGTGTGGCCTCCTACTGTGAGACTCACCTAGAGCCTCATCTGACTATGTCAGGTCTGAAGAGACATCAGCTGATGGACCCTGTGGAGAACCTGGAAGGCAGGATGTGTACGAAGCACGATAAACCTCTGGAGCTGTTCTGTAAGAGCGACCAGACGTGTGTCTGCATGCTCTGCACTGTTTTAGACCACAAGATGCACGATGTTGTTCCTCTGGAAGAAGAATATGGAGAAAAGAAGGTCGAGCTGAAGAAGACAGAGGCTGAAATCCAGCAGATGATCCAGAAGAGAAGAGTGAAGATTCAGGAGATCAAACACTCGGCCGACCTCAGTGAGGAAGATGCAGGCAGAGAGAAAGCAGAAGGTGTTCAGGTCTTCACTGATCTGATGGAGTCTGTTGGAAGAGGCTTGAAGGAGCTCCTCAAAACAATAGAAGAGAAGCAGGAAACCACAAAGAAACAGGCTGAAGCTTTCATCAGAGAGCTGGAAGAGGAAATCTCTGAGCTGATGAAGAGGAGAGCTGAGGTGGAGCAGCTGTCTCTCTCTGAAGACCACCTCCATCTTCTCCAGTCCTCAAACATCCATCAGCCACCACCCACCAAGGACTGGACAGAGGTCGGTGTTTGTCCTTCATATGAGGGGACTGTGGTGAGAGCTGTGTCTCAGCTGGAGGAGACACTCAGTGAGAAGATGAAGAAGTGGTGTGCGGACGCTGAGCTGAAGAGGGTCCAGATGTTTGCAGTGGATCTGACTCTTGATCCTGAAACAGCTAACCCTCATCTCATCCTGTCTGACGATGGGAAACAAGTGAAACTTGGTGATGTCTGGAAGAATCTCCCAAACAATCCAGAGAGATTTTCTTGCTGGTTCTGTGTTTTAACAAATCAGAGTTTCTCTTCAGGCAGATTCTACTTTGAGGTTCAGGTTGAAGGAAAGACTTGGTGGTATTTAGGAGTGAACAGAGAGTCAGTCGACAGGAAGGAATTTATCACACTGAGTCCTCAGAATGGTTACTGGACTTTATGGTTGATAAATGGAAATGAATACAAAGCCTCAGATGATCCTCCAGTTGTTCTCTCTGTGAAGTCTGGTCCTCAGAAGGTGGGGGTGTTTGTGGACTATGAGCAGGGTGTGGTCTCCTTTTATGACGTAGAAGCTGCAGCTCTCATCTACTCCTTCACTGGCTGCTCCTTCACTGAGAAGCTCTTCCCGTTCTTCAATCCTGGTGGTAACGATGGTAGAAACTCTGCTCCGCTGATCATCTCTCCAGTCCGAGTAAGGCTCTTCATTAGATGTGCACAGTTACAGGCAACATATTGTTACACACATTCACCTCTTCAAGCCTATACAATCACACGCATGTTATGTGGTGATCAAGATCTATTTGAACCCTTGTTTATCTTCCTTTACAGGGCTGCCTGGGGGTTGGAGCTGATGCAAGAAGATAAGAACACATTTGCCAGTTTGCCAACTACAAGGACGACTGAGGAAAAAGAAGCGTCGACTAAATTCAGAAGAGAACGAGCCGGCCGGCCGTCTCTGACCCAGAATTACAGTGAGACCGAGATCCTCCTTGTGGCAACTCAGTCTTCAGAGGAACTCACCACTCACCAGCCGTGTGTCGGCACTGTGGCGCCTCACTGACTAATCAGTGGTCAGTGAGGCGCAACAACAGACACACAATCTACATGCTTTTATGTCTCAAAATGACAAAGTTTGTTTCCAAACAACACGTGTACTAAACGTACTTATTTGTAATTATACTTAACCATCTTCAAAATGTTATTTCCACACTCCTCTCCATCCTATGACTGTAATCCATGGAGCTCTGAAGCTCTGTGATCCTCCGCTGTTTCTTCTCTCGTCTCTGAACCGTGTGTGAGAACAACGGTTTGCTGCAGAATATTTCATTGTTCCATTAAGCTTCCTATTAGAGAAAGCACATTCCTACAGCGTCTTTGTATCATGAAATGTAAATGGGAAACTGTATCCTCTGTGTTGTCCATTGGTGATCACTGTGGCTACATAATACGCTCATGTGTGTCATTTTTAAATCAACTGTTGTGGGGGCTCCATTTATGTTCATTCTGAATAAATGACATTTTCACACTTCTGCTTTTTTTCCAATGCAAAGGACAGAGGACTCTAAATGCCGTATGGACTGTCAAATGTGCGATTTGTTTTCAAATAAATTCAAATGTAACCCCTAACATGTCCCTCCGGGCTGGTTTGGGGGTCCGCAGGTGTTGTTGGAGGCAAACGCTTGATGAGCCGCTGCTTCGGTAAGAACTAAAACAGAAACAGAAGATATAAGAGAAACAGAGCTTCTGCTCTCGCATCCGGGGGGATGATCACAGAATGTGCTTTTTCATTATGATAACGTGTCCGCTTATAGACCCCCCGCCCACGGGGCAGGAGGGGGGGGGGGCTAGTTGAGTCGTGCTAAAGTATCGGGACCGCCAACAAACATCCCCTAGTATGCAAAGTCTCCCCCGTTTCGTGAGGAACAAACCGAACGCCTCGCTGGGACCCCCAGGGAGCTGTTGGGGGGGTGGGGGGGCATTTTGCAACAAGGTGAGACCCCCTGCAGTAAAAGCAGTGAACCACTGCATCGCGGCCCCTGATTGTCCGGGTCGAGGATAGAGTCCAATCGCCAAAGACCGCACTAATTCCTGTTACGTATAATAAAAGCGTCGATTTTGACAGGAACCAGGAACAGACACGACACTGAGGGAAAGACATTCAGGATTCAACAATCATAATTTGGTTACTTAGCTTATTGACGAGACATTTCACGTATTTAATGAGTTAATTATAATGAGAAGGCCATGACATTCATTTGACCGTGATTTATTGCACTTTATAGTTTTTCTCTCATCACTTTCCCCTTTTCCTCATCTCCTGATTTTAGAATCTAAAAACATCCTAAATATTGGTAAAAAATGTCCAACTGACAACAAAATAAAACTTAGTACAGATTTTAGAGCTGAGACACTATGTGGTTACCGACCAGTCAAATTCAGATGATATTTTAAAACACTAAGCAGGCGATGATTTAATAGTGTAATTCTGTTGAGCAGATGGGTTGGTGGGTCCGTAGTGCAAAGGCACATGTTGGTATCCATAAGTGGATCAACACAACAAATTATGACTCGACACCGGTATAAAATCATCAAGAACGGGACATTTAATGTTTGCAAACAGGAGACAGAGTTGACACACACACACACAAGTCATATACACCGGGATAAGGTGATAAACAGGAAGGTCTGTGATCTCATTGTACGAGGACCGTCGTGTTCTTTATCCTGAGACATACGTCTGATCATGATGAGACACGGAGTGTCCTTCTGGACACCGGACACACACGTCACACAGATTTCATATCCTGAGCGATCATCTTACCTCAGCTGACACGTCATACACCCAACTTATTGTACAAACGATACAGACATAGTCTTGATTTGTCTGAACCCCCCTTCTTGACATGACATTATTTGCACAAATAAAAAGTTAATGTCCAAGACCCCCCCTCCCCTGAATACTACACAATAAATACTAATGAGAGTTAAACTAACACAAACTAAATACTGGATTACACGATGTGATTTATTCCATCTCAGATATTTTTACATCAAAGAAAGGAAACTATTAAATTTTATCAAAATACGAATCGGCAATTTCTCCAAGATGCTTTTTTACTTTAAAAAAACACATATAAATAAAAATATATACAACTATTTTTGTGCATTCGGAATTATAAAATATATTAGAGTTAAAAAAAAATCCTACACAAATCAGTGCCCGAGGTGCTCTGTGTAAAACCCAAAGTGGGCCATGGCTCATCGGTCCAGCTCGGCCTGCAGGATCTCTCCCCAGGTCTCTGCGTCCAGCGGCGCCATCTTTCTGCCGATCAGCTCCTCCGCCGACCTCACGTTGCTGTAGCGACCTCTCAGCCAGTCCCTCTTCACGCGGCTGCGAGTGTAGTTCTTCACCAGTGTGACCTGCAGAGAGGAGACGCGGTGATGGCTTCCAATCTAAAAATGCCTTTTTAAAACCGGCAGACAACAACAGTACAAATGGCTGCACACGGTTTCATATTTTCTACATAAATAACCGGAGTTCCTCAAAGCCCACGGCCTCAGAGCTCCGGATGTGTGTGTGTGTGTTTGTATGCAGGTTGACAACTCTTCACATGCAGACTTGGTAATGTGAGATATGATGTGGTACTATCATTGTGGGCGTTGAGATATTATCAACACCTTGGAGGTTGGACTTTGTGCTTAAAGCTGGCGAACTGGACCTCAAACAATGCTTGGACACGCAGCTCCTCAGGTCGGTCGGCAAAGGTTTTGTCTCATTAAAACTTGACCCACCTTCCAGGACAGGCCGTTTCTCCTGTCGCTGTCGACCTCCCGGTGGCAGACGGCTCCCACCAGCAGACACTGCCTCCTCCACACCGCGTCGCTCTCCGCGATGATGTGGTGCCACAGTCTGCAGGTCCGGGAGGCGCTGCACAGGCTCCTGGCGTCCAGCTCGCCGAAGATCTTCACGCTCATTTCTGTCGGCAGAGTCTCTGCAAAGTTCTCGGGGGCGGCCGCGCCGCCGGCGGGTCTCAGGGAGGCTCTCCTTTTGGAGGCAGGAAACACGGGCGACGTCCTCGTGGATTCATGCTGCATAGTAGCTCGAGAGCCCGGAGGGTCGAGGCGGCCTGGAGGAATAAACGAGGGATTCAATGTCCCAGGTTGTGATGTTGCTGATTACATTAGAAGCTTCACTTCAGGTGAAGAAGATGTATCAAAAAGGGGGACAATTTGTTCAGAAGGATTTTGTAGCAGTTTTGTATTATGTTGCATCTTAGATTCCCTCCAGGGAAAGAAATGCTGCCGTAGGAGCAGACTCGCTGTTCTCGCCTCTGTTGCAAAGACTAACTCACAGGTATATTCTCTCCTTGTGCTCGATTATAAAAGACATCATAATCAAAAACCTTTACCTCGCCCAATTAATGATACACAGACATTGACCCCCCACTAGATGGTCACACTAGAGAAGGCACACGTGGTAAATTGGTGCCAGGGAACCTATTTCTTTACACATATTCTTATGGCAGACTTTACATCCCAGACACAAAATAATCTCTGTCAACCAAAACAACTAAAGTTCACCCATTTTCAGTCCGTTAAGCGGCACAAAACAGCGGCACTCTACGGTGTGTATTTAACATTATTTGTGTGCCCGTTTTGATGCTTTTGAATTGGTCAGAGCTTCTGCTTTCTGCATCGATGTTTGAATCTAGTAAACTCTTTTTTACAGGTGCAGCTCGGGCTCAGCTGTGCGAGGCTCGTCTCCGCCCCGGCTAGCAGGAAGCGCGGCTAGCTAGCCAAGCTAACTCAATAAACTCCTTCCGGTCGCAGTTTTAAAGCTAAATGCCTTATTTCGGCGGGACAACGCAGATGGAATAAAGGTCTGCTGTCGCATTCAGGCACAAAACGATGGCGTGCTTGTTTGAATTAGTCTTTCTTACCGGCAGTGTGGTCGCTCAGCGTCCTTCTGACAGCTGACGTTTTTAAATGTCTCAAAGGTTGTTTACACACACGCACTGACGTCACTGCACGTCTGACAGACCGCGCATGCGTACAAACGGTCGCACGTTTCTGGCCAGACATTCGCCGAATTCCATATTGGGATTTTACAATTTAAAATATCCTTTTTTTATTTGGGATTTATTAATGGTTGTACAATGTAATGATAGCTTTATATGAATGAGTTAATATCACTCATCCATTAAGTTGATACAAATTTCAAATGAATTTGACTTTTTGGATGTCTACTGAGACCGCGCCAGATTTTTATTTTTTATTTATATTTATTTTTTAATTAAATAAACAGAGAATCCAGTGCACTTTCTTATGTTTGAATGTATTTCCCCAATGAATTACGTACAGTTTGAATCCACTGAGTAATTCAAAGGACGATTCAAATTGAAATGTGTGTGACGATTCAAATTGAAATCATCATGACAGTAGACCGACTGTTGCAACAAGTGTATTTTTTAAAAGACAAAACATTTAAATTTAGAAAAGTGTTGTGCAATGTACGTCATATATATGCCGAATTAAAAAGGTGTGCGTATCAAACCAGTTTGAATGTCACGTTTTGAGCATAGGTCATTTAAACAACAAGAAACAAACACAAACAAGAATATCGAAAAAAATGTGGATGGATTCCGGTGGTCAGAATCCGAATGTGTACTGCGCATGTGCACCAGCATCCCGGAAGTCCCGAAGCCCGTCCACGCCTGCGGCTGACAGGAAAGTTGTAAACGCTTTGTGTGCCTTTAGTTTTTTGGTTTTTCAGCCGGGAGAGACAAAACATATCCAGCGTGCCTCCAGTGCAGGTAGGAAGAGGTGAAAACACAGACTACTGCTCGGCTCGTTGTGACCACAACGGACTACTTTGTCTCAGACGGAACTACTAAATGAAACACAAGTAACGCGGGCTCTTTAACTCCCGATTTAATTCATAGCTTCCGCAACACTTCGCCCTACTTAAAATAACATGCTTTTTTTTTATTTTGCATGAATACCTCCAGAGGGCCGGGGTGAAGCTGCCTCCTCTCCCGCCCCGCGGAGCACATGTCCGGCTTCGACCTGGTCCGAGTGGACGCCGGCGGCGGGGGTCCCATCCGCCTGCCGCCGGGGGAGACGGTGCTGGGCCGGGGGCCCCTACTGGGGGTGAGTGCACCGGGGGCTTTAGTTTATTTTGGTACCATCAATGACCTCAACACTGTTGTCAATATAATGGTAGTGCTGTACTACAGTATGATGTTCACACAACAGCTGACACGATTAGTTGATTAATCAGTCAAAGTACAGAAAACTTTTATTTATAGAATATCACGGCATCGCTAATGGGAAGATATTTTGCTTGTTGTAACTGTGAAGCCACTTCTCTTTGTTTTCACTATTTCACATCACATCCACAAAGACTTTTGATTATTAGTTAATGATTTAAGATGACCTCCAACTCTGCTGATTCGACATTATACACGAGTAATACTAATCTGATATTATAATATATAATGGTACAACCGGCACAGGAAACATCTTCTTTCTTTTCAAGTTATGAATAAAGGAAAACATGCATTAATAACATAAATATATGACATTAATCCAAACTAAGGAAGATGTTTCAGCTCTTTTCGCACCGACGCTCTTCTTCTGTCGTCTCAGGTCAGCGACAAGAGGGTGTCCAGACTTCACGGGCTGCTGGAGAACCTGGACGGAGAGCTGCGCCTCAAACCGGTGCGTCCCCTCGCCTCGCCGCGGCATTTGGACCGGTGGCTGCAGATACCAAAGTCTTCTCGTTTACCTTCTAGTATGCTTAGATGTTTAAAGGACCTCTTCCTTGATGAGCTCTGGATGCTGGTTTCTGTGTTGGTCTGAATGTTATTTCAGTTTTTCACCCCAAAAAATGACGTCCTGTCTGTCTGATTACTGAGAAAATCAGCTCCCCGGAGACTTTTGTCGTACAAGGTGACGTCTCCACGGTAACGCACATTAAAAAGCCCAGAGGAGAAAATGGAGTTTTTCCCGCATGTTTGAGCTCCGTACCGCTATTTATATTTGAGAAGTTCATTCCCCCGAGGAGAACCGTTTCCTCTCGTTTTCATCCTCCAGACCCACCTGAACCCGTGCTTCGTTCAGGCGTCCCCGACCGACGACCCCCGACCTCTGCAGAGAAACTCGTGGCACCAGCTGCGTCACGGAGACCTCTTCTCCCTGCTGCCGGGGCGGCTCATCTTCCAGGTGGAGGCCGTGGGCGGAGAAGGCCGCACTCCCAGGTACCCTGGAGATAGAGAGACGAGTCTCTAATTTGCACGGACGTCGTCGTGAGCAATTAAGTCGAGGCGGAAAAGGCTGATTAAATATCTCTTTTATCTCGGCGGGTTCAAGTGTCATCCGAGGACTCGATTGGGGAGGAGGTTGATTCAGGCGGTGTGTGGGCGCCGCGGATGTTTCATCTATGAGTCCGTTGTCCCAAAGCCCTCTGGTGTGTTTGAAGTTCGGATCAAACAAACGGAGGCTGGTGCCGAGTGGCGTACAGAAGATTCAGCTCATATCATTTATAATATAATGTATGTAAATCGACTTATTAATTGAAATTGCAGTTTTCTCGTTTTCCTGTTCTTTTGAGTTTGCGTCTTTATGGTTTAAACTAATTGTAAGTCGCTTTGGATGAAAGCGTCAGCTAAATGACATGTGATGTATCCGAGCAACAGGAGGCGGGTTCTTCCCTCCCTGAGGGCTGTCAGTCAGGAGTTTCACACGTATCGTCCCCGTAGGAACGGTCGTCTGTTTGTTGAAGGAGGGCTTCCCCTTGACCCCGAGCCGGATGTGGAGTCGCCTCCGTCACCGGCCCAGGAGAAGGAGGAGGAGGAGGAGGAGGCCGCCGGCAGGAGCTCAGACGAGGTTTGTTTTTCCGGAGGTTTCTTTCGTTGTGATGAGATGTGACGTCATCGTAAACCAAGAGACTTGTTTGGTGTCTTTTCCTTTTTCGATACGTCTTGTCTTTGGATAAAGTAACATTAGCCTCCGAAGAGTTTGGAGCGCAGGAACCTACGTTTACAATTTTACAAGTAAAATACTAACAATAAAATAAGTGCAGAAAGTAGGGGTGTAACGATTCATTTTAATTGATTCATGGTTGCCAATTTGATTCATAGACGATCTGGGTTCATTTAGAACGATTCGATTTGATTCAGTGACTTGAAATCGATTCAGTAACTTTACTGGACAGTGCAGGCAAAGTCTCTGAGATCCCTGTTGTTTCTTGTAAGGAAATCAGGTTTAAATTAATTATGGATATTATAAACAAGCAAACAACAATTAATGGCAAATGTATAAACCTTTTATTTAAATCAAGTGCCATTTTCAATGTAAACATTACACAATAATTACACAATGTTTGGATCAATTCACAGAACCCCAGATTTTCAACCTCATTGTCGGGTCGCATGTCTTTACTGATAAACTTTGTTCCTGTGATGTTGAGTTTGGTGCTGGCGAGGCCTGAGGCGTCTGCAGAGCTGGAGTTACCTGCTGCTGCTGCAGCGGTGACGCTGCTAGAGGTGCCTGACTGTCGGCGTTGTTTAATCCCACGGCGCCTTAGTAGACGGCCGGAAAGATTCGCCGTGTTTCCGTGTTTTTTTTTTATTTTTCTTCTACATATTCTACAAACAGCGACCGACTTATTTAGAACACCTCCGTGTTTGCGAAAGCCAAAATGTTTCCACGCGCTGGATCGATAAGTTGGTTTGTAAATGTCTCGCTCGCAGTCGTCTCCTCCACACTGTGTTTTGTTGTTGTTCAGAGTTTCGCGCGGCGGCCGCTGCGTGCTGATGACGTCACAGACAGGCAGACTGAATCGAGTAACGTGTAACGCGTCTAAAGTGCTAAAAAACAAACAAACAAACACACATCCATACCCTTTTTGTCCTTAAATCCAATGTGCAGTTTCCAAGTATCAATACAATCGATTATGTACCATTTCAATCGATTTGTAATCGATATATGTCGTCGGTGAATGCCGATTTGCGGAGCACAGATCGATTCAGTTGGATCGCAGGAATATTAATCGATTCAGTGGATGAATCGTTACACCCCTAGCAGAAAGTGATCTGTTGATCTTTAATTAATATCAATAATTTGACTGGATCATCGTTACGGTCTTCGAAGCCTCTGCACACTTCAGAGCGCTTTCTGTTTTTGTTTCATGAAGAGAGACTCTGAACGTCCAAACAAAGTTCAGCGCCGCGGCGGTGGCGGGGACGCGCCCCCCTCCGTCTCCAGAAGGAGAGTTCTACCCGCGTGGATGACGGCGGCGGTGGCAGCGCCAAGCAGCTCCTCCAGCCCAAAAGGTGCCGGTCGCTCCCCGTTCCACGGAGTCATCGGTTGTTGTTTTTTTGGACGCGTCTGCACATCACATCACGCGTCACACGCTTGTCTCTGCGTAGCAACTGTGAAGAGAAGCAGAGGACCTCCAACCAGCACCCAACCAGCAGCAGCCAAGAAAGCCCCGCCCACCACGGCCTCCTCACCTGGGGAGGCGGAGCTCAGCGAGGAGGAGATGCCGAGGAAGAGGAGAAGGAATATGAGCGACGAGGAAGAGGAATCGGCTCGGTCTAAAACAGTTGAGTATTGTTAGTGAGCAGTCGGGGGCAGAAAGCACTTTCTTTTCTGTAGGGCAGGAAGATCCTTTTCTTCCTGCAGTTTGGTCCGAGCCGTTCGGCTCCCAGGGGGGTGTCCCCATGTATATTTCGCATAGACCCATTAGTTTGAGAAGTTCTGTCAGCCACGAGCTTCATATCGGGGTTGGCGGCCGAACACGAGAGATGAAAAGAGGGGCGCGCAGTCCGCGGGCGCTCTCGGCGGGGCGGGGGCTTCTCAGTGGGGCTCGAGGAAAGCCCGAGTGAGTTATTGGACGCGCACTGTGTTTTTCTTGAAGGAGAAAAATGCGCGGTCTTGTATTAGATATTCTTCGACCTACGGGAACGGGGTCTACAGATAAGCTTTAGGCCTTAAAAGATTTTGTAAAATTACGGGAGGGGGGGGGGGGGCTTCTCTTTCATGCGCCTCCTTTTCCAACTAAAATGACACTAGGTGCACTCGACCTCTCACGACCTCTGTGGTTGTTCCTCCAGGAAGAACCCGGCCCACTTCCAGGAGTGCAGTCACCCCGGTGACCCGGACTACGAGGAGGAGGAGGAGGAGGAGGAGGCGGAGGAGGCCGATCGGCCCGAGTGCCCCTACGGCACCGACTGCTACAGGTCAGGTGCTCATCTGCTCGTACGCGTTGTCTCGTCGCGTCATTTGTTACATTAAAACTAACTCGACTGTGACTTTGACTCTTCGGTCCCTGACAGGAAGAATCCTCTTCACAGGAAAGAATACAAGCACACAAAGAGACCAGGTGAGACGCTCCTGACGCCTGACGCTGATTAGTGAGGAGATGAGCAGCATCCGGCATCCAATCTAAAGACACCGTAAAATAACCACTATTTCATGTTTTTTATCAACAAACATAATACATTTTTACATATCGTATATATTTGTTATATACGTCATCTGATGTTTATTGAGCATATTATTTCATTCCAATTTTCAATTTCTTCTTGTAACTCTGGAGATTCTGTTCGTATAAAAGAGGAAGATTTGTTTCGTCTTTCATCTGCGCTTCCTGTAATGAAACCTCTTAGATGGAAAATGTCCGGCCGTCACAGTGTGATTTTTATTTCTTTAGAAGGTCATAATGTAATCTCGAGACCTTTTAGGACATCAATCCCCCACTGCACTGCTCCCCCCCCCCACACACACACACACACACACACCCCCACACACACACACTCCCGCTTCCTTCTTTAATAACAAGCACTTTACACTGATGAGAAACGTGATTCCTTTTTTTCCGCACCTCTGTTGACATTTAGCTGCGCGTCCCTGGACCGCCGTCCTGATTTAAGACCTCTGACACGAGGAAGGAAGCCGGACAAATTAAGGCCCCCCCCCCCATAAAGAGATATTGTATGCATGTCTGAAATCAAATATGTAGTAAAACTTCAAGATAAAAATACACTAAATGACGTCCTCGTCTTCCCCTTCTGACTCACCCCGTTGACGCCGCCGATGCTTCCGCAGCTCGCGCCGCGCGCACCGCCCCCGGGAAGCCCCCCGCCGAGGAGGACGAGGACGAGTACGAGGACAGCTTCATCGACGACAGCAGCGGGGACGCGGGCGACGACTCTGACTACGCCCCCCCCGCCTCGGACGACAGCGGCCGGGAGGACGTGGCGGCACTGCGGGAGGAGGCGAAGGCCTTCACGAGGAGGAGGAAGTAGACTCAGGCCGGTTTTCCTGTTTGCTTTGTCCACCGCGTCCCGTTAGAGAAGGCCGGCGTCTCCATAACGGGTGGACCTGTCCCCCTTTTTTATTTTCTAAAAGCCACAGATCGAAATCTTCACACAATAGCATCAGGAGCAGCGGCGCCGTCGTCATGGTAACCCACAAACTCCACGGCGACCCGCTGTGATTCCCGGCTGATTGGAGAAAATAGGCCTTTGTATGAAAAGCACGTCCCGAGAGGCTTTAAATGCAAATTGCAAATGGGAGAATCTTCCCAGGTCGTCGGCTTGTTTACCGAAGAGAAGCAGCGAGCGCTAAGTGGCGGCGAGCAGCCGCTCCCGGGGACGGCGAGCCACGACGAGGCCGAAACCAACGAGGCACTTAGCTTTTATTCCAGATGATGGAGTTCCTGTTCCTCGTGTAGCTACGTGAAATGTTTTTAGGTGTAGATGTCTTGAAATTGTTACTTTTCTTACTTATGTTTTAATACATTTGATGAAGACAAAGTCTTTTCTGAGTTTTTATTCTGTGCCATTATAAAAAAAATGGCTTTCACAAAATGCAAAACAAAGTTGTTTTATTTTATATTATCATATGAATCAACGTTAATTAATGTTCATCATCTCCGCTTCCGTTTGCTTATTAATCGACAATACAAGAAAAATATCCGATAACGTTGAACATTGTTGGGCGATAATACTTATTATACTTAAATTGACGTATGAGTGTTCTGATGAGATGAAACACATTTGTTGCTGAATAAAAATAATTTTATTTAAAAGATATTTTGAACACATTTAACATAAAATACAACATTTGAAATAAAGTTACATTTCAGAATACATTTTCTAACCATCTCTACAACTAACAAAACACTCTTGGTTGAATGTTGCATGTTAATGTGTTTATAATAAACGTTGACATCACAATAACACGACTAACTAACACAAAGATGCCATTTAGTTGCAGGTATTTGTCGATAACACCTAAAGTTGGTTCTGGGTGAAAAGGTCTTCATTTATTTACACATCTGACATCTCGATCACCTTCACGCTGGAATTGAAGGACGATCAAGCAAATGGAATTAAAGTGATTTTTACGTGAAGACGAGAGAAAAACAGATTTCAGCTTAATTCATTCATTCATTTTTTTTTTTTTTAATCTTTTTCACATTAGTCCTAAAACCACAAGGAGCAAGTTTTTTTCCACGTGTTTTCAAAGAGTAAAACTAGCAAATACAGAACTACGGCGACAAAGTTACAAACAGTGAAAACACCAACTGTCCCGCTGAGGAGAAGCCGTCCCTAAAATACACGATTATGCAGAACGGACCCTTTAGGAACCATGTTCTATTTTGGGATTATGATCATTGGTGCACTATAATAAAAAATGACCCTGGAATGTAACTTACAGGTTAGATATTAAAATAGCATCAAACAGCTGTGATACAGTATCTTTGTTGTGTGTTATAATCAGAGCGTAAAGAGTAATCAGTAAAATTTGAAAAAATACACATTAATACAGTAATATTCATCCAGGAACAACCGATATCATAAATAGTAAAACACTGACAGGGAACATGCTTCTGCACAATGAGGACATTTACTTTTAATGCTTTAAGTACATAATTAAGGTTTTGAATGCAGGACTTTCACTTGTAACATTTTCACAGTGTTTTATCAGTACTTTTACCAAAGTGGAGAACACTTCGCTGCTCCACGCCGTAAACACCTTCTGGCTCGCTCTGAAATGGAGTCCCTCTGTGAAATCGATTTCGTCTACACTTCACTTCTAATGGAGTTTTAAGCCGTGACCTTGAGACGCGCCGCGGCGTGAAAGCCGCCGTGTCGCAATCTGAAATACGACGCGTTCCGTTTCACGACCGAGCGGAAGTTGTTTTATTTAATATGACTAATCATCATTATCGTACAAACGAAACACCAGACACACCCTCGGGCTCCGGGGGCCCGTGAATGCGTCTTCACGCGGAGTCGTCATGGCGACAGGTCCGTTCCCCCGAAGAGAACCGCTTCGTCAGAGTCCCTGTCGTGCTGCCCTGTGATTGGCCCGAGAGTTGTTTGTATTAAAGCGTCTCGCTCTGCGATCGATGCTCCGCTTCACTTTGCAAAGTGCTCGTAGCCATTTACGATGTTTGGGGGGGGGGGGGGACCACGAGCCTTTTGTAAAAGACGTTGACGCGAAGGAGCGGTGAAAAGATGCCGACTCATCGCTGGGTTTCCTCGCTCCGGCAGGATTGAACGCTCGTCTCTGGACGAGCTGCCGGGCCGTTTTTTTCCTACTTCAGCCTCGCCCCGTCCGCCTCCTCCGTCACCCGCAGGGAGCAGGTCCGGGCCTCGCCCTCCTCCAACGACTTGGTGGCCACGAACGCCACCAGCCTGAGCTGGAACCTCCCCGCCCGCTTCAGCCGCTGGTTGTTGTGCCGGACGCTCATGAAGCAGAGGGTGTTGATGACCCCGTTGCTCATGGCGACGCACTCGATGACGTAGAAGACCACCAGGGAGTTCCGTTCCCTGGATATGAGCGTGGGGTAGAAGTCCCGCAGCAGGGCGAAGCCGTAGTACGGCGCCCAGCACAGGACGTAGGCGACCAGCACCAGAATCAGCACCACCACCGTCCTCCGACGGCCGCGCAGCCTCTTCCGGATCTGATCCGTCTTGAAGCCCGGGACGCCCTTGAACCACAGCTCCCTGGAGATCTGGACGTAGCAGACGGACATGGCGGCCACCGGCCCCACGAACTCCAGGGCGAAGACGAGGAGGAAGTAGGAGCGGTAGTAAGCCTGCCGGTCCACGGGCCAGATCTGAGCGCAGAAGGTCTTGTGCGGGCGGCCTTCCGCGTGCGGGTAGGTCACCTCGGAGGCCATGTAGGCCGAGGGGATGGACACCAAGAGGGAGACCGTCCAGACGGCGAGGATCACGCAGTACGCCGTCTGGATCTTCATGCGAGGCCTCAGAGGGTGGAGGATGGCCATGTACCTGCGGACAGACACAACACTCTCTGACTCAAAGCACTTTGGCCGCGCGCACACGCGGTATCTTTCCATCTTTCCTCCTGTTTATACACGAGACGGATGTCAGCCCCGGGAGAAATGGAACATGGAGCGGCGCCACCGGGGGCCCTCGAGTGCCGGCGTCGGCCGCTGATGGATCGGGTTCGGATGCCAAGTGGAGGCCCGAGAGCAGCTTTCATCATCGTCGTGGCGCTCGGACAGTCCTCCCGAGGCCTCAGCGATCATTAATTCACCTGCTGCTCTGGCAGACGGAGCTCTGTAGTTCGGGCCAAACTAATCCCACCAAAGGGCTTAACGACGTGTTGATGTGTTGAATTAGTTGACGCCGGCGGGCCAAAGGATCCGTGAACAAGATTCTGATTGAGGGGCGTTATTAGAGCGGCGTGAACGAGGGACGTTCTCCACAAACCGTCCGTGGTTTGGAGCCAGGCTCAGAACTTTTTAGCGTGTACTCTCCTTAGAGGAGGAGAAGGTGGGTGTTCCGCCTCGTTCGTTATCGCTAAACAACCAGAACGCGCCGATCGTGCGTCTCCGGAGACGCAAGAGGATGCGATCAGAGAACGCACGCGCACCGCGGGGGGGGCGCTTCTACTCTGCAACATGAAAGGGGATGAAAGGAAAGGAAGACGTGATGTACACGTGTTTACGCTGTGAACGTCTTCAGGATGAAATTGTGTTTGACAGAGAAACGCCTCTCTCGCTCAAATGAAACAAACGGGTATTTTGTTCTTGGTACGAGGTTCTCACAGAACACAAACATCATGTACGATATAATGTGTAGTGTGCAGAAGACGTCTGGAACAAAGAACACACGGAAGAGACAAATGACTCCAATAACGTCCCTTTGAGAGCTTTTATCTCGGCTTTAATTGGACTCTCGCTGCTCCTCGTCGAAGGGATCGGTAACAATGGCTCAATGAAGTCGGATCCGACTGCTCCAGCTCTGGAAAGAGTCCGAACGGTACCTGCGTCATACCTCCCCTAATCCCGCCCCCCCCCCCCAGGTCCCGCCTCCTCCGTCACCTGGCTGCCCCCGCCCCCATCAGCCCTGCAGGTAACCCCCGACCCTCCCGGGCCTCACCTGTCCACGGCGATGGCGAGCAGCGCGTTGGTGGACACGTAGAGGGAGACGGTGCGCAGGTAGTTGGTGGCGGCGCAGAGCAGCAGGCCGTGGTCCCACGACAGCTGCTTCACCACGTAGTAGTCCAGCAGGAAGGGGCAGCACACCGCCGCCACCAGCACGTCCGACACCGCCAGGTTGGCGATCAGCAGGTTGGTCAGGTTGCGGAGCTGCTTGTAGCGGGCCAGGCTGGCGATGAACAGGCAGTTTCCCACGCCGCAGACCACCATGATGCCCACCAGGACCGCGGCGATGACGATGGTGGCCACGAAGAAGGCCCGGCCCCGCGTGGTGTCCGGGATCTCGTCCGGAGGGACCTCGTAGTCCGGGAAGTCGCCGGCCAGGAAGTTGTCCGGCGGCGGCGGCGCCGCCGTGCTGCGGTTGGTCGGGTCGGCCATTTTAACGGGATCAGGTCGGCATGTTGGTCCGAGTCTGAACATTCAACGACGAGAAGAAAAACACGGGATGTTGCTTCTACTTCTACTCACATCCCGTACGCGGTGGCCGATCCCAGCATGCACTGTGGGGAACGACACTTCCTGGACGGCTCAACGGTGTAACCGCTCACACACACACACACACACGCACACACACACACACACGCACACACACGGTTCAGGGTGCGACTCACAGAAACGTGATTCTCCGCTAAAGTAAAGACGAAGATGTTTTTTGTCTGCACCCTTTTGGCGGTTTCGCCGATGGCGTTGCTAGGCTACAGAGTCGGTGTAGTCTACTTGTTAGATCTGTCCGCGGGTCGAGGAATGTGTCGCCTCGTCTGGGACGTCTGAGGAACTCATTTAGAGCTTTTCTACCAAAACGCCGATGTGTCGGCTGAGTTTGAACAATCACCTCTGATCATGATTCCTGAAGCAAAGCACAGCAGGATTCAACACTCGTGAAGTATTTCACTTCAGGAGAAGTACATTAAAAAACAGTTAGGATTGTATTTTGTATGAAATCATGAGGTAACTAGTCGTGTGTTCGATACATTCGCAGAATACTTGAGTTAATGTATTTAGTTACTTTCTACCATCATGTCAAGAAAATAGACGTCAGATTAACAAATAACGATAATTTTAGCTAATTATAAATTATCTGCATCTGTTGTGAAAGTGGTTCTATAAAGAACATAAAATAATTCTGTGTGTTAAATTCAACAATCAGCTGAAGTCATCTCTAAATAAAAAAGGTAATTATGTCTGAACATTTGTCCAATTACTTGGATATTTAACCAGTTATGACTCGAATCAACGTCACATAGGCGACCCGTTGGCCCTTCGTAACAGCTTGCAGAATATAATAGTAATAATAATAATGAGAAAGATTGTGACTTTTTTTTTAATTTATTTTACTTCCGGCCCCTCGGGTTCTCTCGGGGACCCACTGGCGTCACCGGACCGCACTTTGGGAACCACATGAGAGGGCGGGACTTTGATTAATGAGAAAATCAAGAGATGCCGATACATCTGCAGCAGAGCCACGAGCTGAAATCATAATTTTGACATAAAATACACAAGATTCTGCGTGTTGAACCGTAGAATAAAGAAGAAATAACAAAAAACACAAGCAGAAAGTTTTTAGGCGGAAAAGAATCAGCTTTTAGTGAAATGTAAAATCCGACATCGCTCCGTTGAGCATTCTGCAGCTGACATTAAACGGGAATTATTTCACAATTCAATCTAATCGCGTGTGAAAGACGTGAGGTGACATTTAAATGAAGCAGAAAGTATTTTTTTGGAACAGACCTGAAGCTGCTTCTTCGCGCGCGCTCATCCACTGAATGACAGGAGGAGCGCGAGGCGCGTTCACGACGCCCAGCGAACAGACACGCGCACGGACACACTTTACTCCCGTTGGAAGAAATAATCAATTGAGTTTAAATTTTCTAATTTTTTGGAGTAAAATAAAGTATTAAGGGCGGGGCTTACTGTGATTGACAGGTTAAAATGACGTATTTCTCGATGAGCGTAGTAATCTGAGATCAGTTAATGACATCAGATGCTCTTCACTGCTTGAAATTATATTTTTACATTTTAAAAACTTCAAATCATGAACAAATGGTGAAGACACTCGCTAAAGACAAACGAGCACACAACGTAAACCATTTAACAAACCGAAGCAGAAAACCGGGAGGAAGACCGGATGAGTCATTGTGCAGAACCTGAACGTCTCTCCTGAAAAAAGTCTGATCCTAAAAAAAAAATTAAAAAAAACACACAAGGCCGGAGACCGAAGACACGGCGCTGTGTGAGAATGGAGAAATAAAACACTATTCTTGTACTTTATGAAGGATTAGTCACTCTGCTCCCAGGAGACCACGAAGCACTTAAAAGCTGTGAAAACACTGTGATAATAGTTCTATCTGTAAAAATACTACTTTATTCAGTTATCAAGGCTTTTTTGCTGCTTATTTATAAAGTGTTTTTTATTTTGTGTCTTTTGTCTCTCATTTATGGCTTGGGGGGAGTTAGACCCGTATAACATTTAAATCATATTTATTTAATTTACAGGTTCATGGGGCTTTAGTGTTAAACTAAAAATCCTGGAGGAAAACTCACATCTGAAAAGAAAAGTTATGTAAAAGACTTTTATTTTACAAAACAAAATATAGGTCAGGGGTTATTCGCTCGATGACAGAATTGACAAAAAAAGAAGAAGTAGCATGTACAAAAATCCAAAGCATGTAGGAACACAACGGATATCCCGGTTCGGCCCTCCGACTCTGTCGGGCTCAGACTACTTCTTGGCGTACGTGATCTTCATGGCGCAGGTGGCCGTGATCCTGAAGCCCTGCAGCGCGTCTTTGGCCACGCCCGCCTGCGTCTCGCTCTCAAACTCCACGAAGGAGATGTCGTGTTTGCCCGGGACGAGCCGCACCTCTTTGAACCCGGGAAACCTGGATTGCAGGAAGAAGATGGAAAACAACAACATCAAAAACCGGGTCAACAAGCGCCTTCTGAAGAGCGGACAAAAGCGCTGCGGCCGCGGACTCACTGGTTGAACAGCATGGACAGCATCATCTCGTTGGTCTCTTCGGGCAGGTTGTTGAGGAACAGAATGTAGTTCGGCGGGTTGTCCGGCACCTGTGGAGACACCGCAGATCAACACTGGGGCTCACGTGTACGGCCCCAGCTGGACGCCGACACGCGGGGAGCAGTCGCACAAAGCGTGTTTTTGATCACAGGATCACACAAAGCTCACAGGGTGGAAGCTTCGATGAGTCAAAGGGGTTTTTATAGCATCACTTAACTTTCAAAGAACTAAGAAAGAAAACGAAAAAAAAAGGTACAATGTGAAGGATTTGTTGCTTTCTAATAGTACGGCTTTCTTTCCCGCGTTGCCGTAACCGCGGTAACGCATTTTCTAAAGAGGGTTTCTTGGTTTGTCCATTCCTGGCTCCTATAGAAATATCCCTACATTAGATATAAAGGGCTCATTCTAAAAGTAACAAAAGCAAAAACTCCTGAAAACAGAAATAAGTCATCAGTCTCACCTGTACGATACCCGAGTGCACCGGTGCTGCTGATCCCTGCAAACAAACAAAAACAACAACAACATTTTATAGAGCAGCTCGGCCTCCAGCACCAAACTATTTCCTGCTTGAAACCCTGATACACACTATCTCTATGTGTGTGTGTGTGTGTGTGTTAGAGAGAGAGAGATGATGATGGGCACGGTTCTCTCATGTCAACCAGACGTGCTGCTGCTTTGTGTTCAGAATGAAAAGCACTTCATTTAATGTGGGAGATGAAGAACTCTGATCTTTCATTTACTCAAATCAGCAATAAAAAACTGTTACAACTAACACAACAGTTTAATGGCTAAACCCTACTAAGTATTCACAGGAGAGTATTTGTCATGAAATCAATGCTTACTGGCAGCGAGGTGGAAGTTTGACTGCTTCTACATAAATCAAAGGCTTGTATTGATTTGCAGGATTTTACCAAGCCCCATGACCACTTACAGTGAATGGGTTTAGGGCTTTTATTGTGAAAGGTAAGAGCAGAAGGAGTGGATCTACTCAGCCTTTTTAAATAGGTCATTGTTCAGACCCATGATGTCGTTGTAGAGTATTCGCACTCGTAACCTGGGTTTTTGAGGCACACGGTGATATTTATGAGTTTATCAGAGATCTGATAATGGAAAATCCCATTTATTTTATTTAGACAAGAAACCTTTGGTGAGAATACCTGAAATGTTGTCACATTGTTATGCAAAATGTGTCAGGTGTAAAGATAAAGTTGTTGCCATTGGTGGTAAAACTACAGAATATAAAAAGGGAGAAACTTTTTTTTTAAAGGACCTCAAACATTCTGTACTCAGACATTTTAACTCCTACATATTCACAGCCAACTATTTAATACGCAATGTTATCTACCCCAGCAATTGATCTGGTTTTACACCGTTACCCGCGTTATGATCAAATACCGACCATCTCTTTGATTCCAACCCCGCTATGGGGAGAGAACGAGCCTGTTTCACTGCAACGAAGCTGTAACAGTTTAATGGTCGAGTTCCATGAACAGAACCAACGGCCGACTCCAGGCTGGAAGATGAATTGACACCACTCACCGCTGCTGGTATCTTTAGCAGGCTGGCTGGCGGCTCCTGAGCTTTCTTCTTCTTGTCCTTCTTCTTCTCCTTGTCGCCGAACGAGCCCTTCACCTTGGTGATGACCTCGGAGTCGGTCTTTGCGTACTGTATCCTCTGGGGGAACAACGCAACACGGGTCAGCTGAAAAAAATAAAACACTGCCCCCTGAGACTGTCCGGGCGACTGAGACGGGGATCCTACCATGGGCTTGTTGTAGAAAGGGAAGCCCTGAAGTTGCCTCAGTGCGTTGGTGGACGCGGCGAGCTCTTTGAAGACCACGAAGGCCTGCCCCCTCATCTTTGTGGTCTTCATGGCCACGATGTCGATGATCTGGCCAAATTGAGAGAAGAGCGCGTAGAGCGAACGCTTCATCTCTGCATGGTGGAGACCAAAAGAAGCTCAACATAAAGCCATCGCGGTTTGCTCATGCAAAACACTAACAGGGCCACTTTGAATATAGTAACAGAGACTGGACACACAAAGGGTCATTAAACAACATACCAACCGAATATCGACAGCTTATTTTAAAGTCACACTTCATGCCATAGAGAATTAAGAATGGCAAACGTACCGTCTTTTTTGATCTTGTCATTTATATTGTTGATGTAAATGGTGTGGTTTGGTCGGATATCCATGTTGGTGTCTGACGAAGACAGAGAAAACATGCAAACCTTTTGGTTATCTGAAAAAAACATTTCTAATCTTCACAGCAATTCTAAAGTTCGGTACTCTAAACCTGAAAATGTTTCCATTTAAATCTGCAAAGAATTGACGCGAAGCTTTCAGTGAATTTGAAAAAAAGATCTCTTCTTTTCTACATAAACTGATAGTTGTCTCATTAAGACTTGAATTTGTCAACACGACAAACAAAACAAACAAACCCGTCATAAGAAATATACAACGTTATAAAAGTCCTTTCCCTCTAAAAAGCATGATGTTACGTTACAAATATAGAGTAGTGGTCCATTAAGTTACAGCAAACTGCCAACACGAATAGAAATATGTCAGGAGAAACAAACAAAACCTGATGTTATTGCACAAATTACCAAAGAGAGAGTCTTAGCTGGAACCATTCCTTAAACATGACTATAATTCCACACTTGACGTGTTTTCTGCGTTTCAGTGGGGCTAAATGCTCAGTCTAGGCTAGTAGTAGCATACGTTAGCTCAACGCAAGCTACGTTCATTCACAACGATAGGTAGCCGCCGCTAGGCTAGCTAGCTAGCATAATACGCATTGTGTTTTAAAGTGGTGTTACACAATGGTCCTGAACATAATACATACGTGTTTATCGCTTCGCCTGAGTATTCGTCAAAACTAGGGACAGATATATATCTATATATATATATATGAAGACAAAACTGTATTGAATATTAAACTCACCTCTCTCTCCACACCGCTCATTAAAGCCGGAAACACACTGCGCGCGCCGGTAACGCTGGCTGCTGGTTTAAGGCGCGCTGACCTCTACCGCCCCCGCAGGTCTGGGGAGGAACTACAGGCTCACGCTTTATACACTCCTAAAATGATTCCTTTATGTTTATCTTTGTATTTGTTACAGAGAGCCATTGTGGCGAATATATGTTATTTTCTACGAAGGGGTTGTTTTGTACATGGAGAACCAAACCGGTCTAACAAAGGAAACAAAGACACAGATAGAGAGAGAGAGAGAGATGATGAGAAGATTAGATGTTTGCTGTTGCAAGTATATTTCTTGGTGGAAAAATAAAGTATATGGTGGAATTAACAAGGCTTCTATTAAGGCTATACAAAGTTCAAAATACAAACATTTTATGGATAGCACGATTGGAATTAGATCGGGGAATATCACTATAGGCGGACAAATCACAGATCAAACCTCTTTAACAACTGCGTACCGCAGAGCCCCAAAGAGAGGTGGACTAAATCAATATTTACAGCCCGCTTCCAACGTTGTGGTTCAATAACGATCGAGGGTCATTTAAACTTTTCTTGATTGGAAAACCAATAAATACGTTTCAAAAATATTCTTAGTCAACTGTAACACCACTAATCAATTGGTTGATTCACAGATATAAACATTAAGACAAAAAGACACATCTTAAATCTTAAGTTTTTCAGAGATGTGTTCATTTGTTTCTTGGAATTAAGTTATGAGTACGAAAAAAATACATAAATCGTTTGAAGACTCCAAAATCCAAATTGAATAACGTGACCAAATAAGCAATATGTCAACAATAGATCAACAATAGATCAATCTGTGTAATTTTCTATTGGTTTTCTGCCGTTGTGTATGTATTTGTATGTATGAATAATACGAGAAACTGAGACGTATTAGTGTGTTTACACCCTTTATTCTCCATCCGTCCGTAGCGTGTATTTTGTCCTCTCCGGGCCTCCGTACAGATGTGATGTTTTCATCAGCTGGTTCTTCCTCTTACTCCGCTTCTTTTCTTGTCATATGAAAGCTAACGGGCTAAAGTAACAGTTACCATGGAGGCGGGTCGGTCCACACCGGGACAGCGACGTGGTGTCACCGGACAACGATAACACCCGTCCACGGTGACCCCCCCCGCCCCACACACACACACCTATACCTGTCCAGCTTTCACTTACTCGCGTCGGTCGGTTGTCTCGGGGACTTTAACCCTCGTTTATCTCCGCCGCGACTCGTGCTAACGGGTTAGCCTGTTAGCTGGTTGGCGAGCTAGTTATAAAGCGGGTTCGCTCCGGGCTAACTCACTCCCCACCCGGACGGACATGTGCGATGGCATCGGTTCGGGTGGCAGTCCGGGTCCGGCCCATGAACAGAAGGTGAGTTTGGGACAGTAACGCGGTGTGTTTTCCTTCAGCTGTCAGAATGTTGTCATGTTTTACATGCTAACTGTGGAGTATTATGCTAAGTAGCCGCCGGGGTGTCATGGTGTTTAAATCACAGGCATGGACTCCGTGACAATACTTGAGACTTATACAATTCTTATACAATAATAACTTATACAATATACAATTCAAGTATATGAAGAAATAATTATTATTCCCCGGTTATGGGTTAACGACTTTATTGTCACCTGCTTGCCTTACAATACTTGTAAAAGTACCTAAATGTTATCAGCACAATGCATTTAAACGGTGGAAAGTAAAAGTACTCATTGTGCAGTAAAACTGCTGTATTAATATGTAGGATGCACGTTACTGCTTTTGATGTGATTTTACACTGTTGACTAGTTTAATCTATATCAAAGTATCATATTCTATAAGGTCCTCATGTGTTTGTCGCTGTGCTGGGAGAACCTCGTAGTAATAATACGAATAAACAGGCCTGTTTCCAGCTGATACAAGAGATGAAAAACTAACTAAAACAACTGTCAGTATTTCACTGTTAGATTTAATACTTCCAAATGATAGGACTCTTTTTTTGAATACGTTGTTTAAGAAGCAGTTGGATATTATGTGTCCTTTCATTGTAGGTAAATCCACCATGTTACATTTTCAACCATCATCACAACACGGCTGCAATCAGCCACATGTTACAGCACCAATTATTCCTTTTGAGCCTATTATAAAATAAGTTATATCACATTGTCTTTTTCAACACTGATGACGTCTGAACTCTACCACAGCTTTGCTAAATATTTGATCACAGCCAACTTTTGATGCGTAGCATTTGTTACTGAGACAATGTGTTCACTGCATGGACTTTATTTAGGTCCAATACGCAGACACACAAAACCATAAGAAATAAATACTGATTACAAAAGGGTAAGAAAGATAGAAAAGAAAATGGAATATTGGCGCGCATGTGTTGTTCATTCTAAATTAATATTATAATTTGGCTTATTATTTATATATCAATAACAAATAATTTCTTTGTATATCAATAACAAATAATTTCTTTGCTTTAAAAATGTATTAATTTGCCCGAACAATATGTATCAATTTAATTAAATCAGTAAATCTGAACTTTTAAGTAAATCATAGTTAAAAATAAAAAAAAGATATAAATATGTATTTATATATATTGTGACATTTTCTAGTTCAATCCAACAATAATTGAACTAAGTAAATAAAAAAAATAAAGAGTATTAATGACCTTCAACACATTTTACCACCCGGTCGTATTGGCAGCGCACGCTTCATAACACCTTAGTCATCGTGTTACAAACAGTCGATGCAGATTTAACTTTCAGAAGTTCAAATACTTTGAAGATGAAAGATAATACGTTTCAGTTTCTGCTTTAAATCCGACATGAAGGATGTCGTGGAGCCGGAGAACAATCCGCAAACACGTCTACCTGCTGATTCACGTTGAGTCACGTGCGCCTTGTGTGACGGAGTCTACGTGACTCTTTGAACTCTGCGTGATCCAAGTTGTGCTTTGGAGGCGCGAGTTTTCCTCTTTAAATCCGTGTATGGATTCAGAATCCGCTTTATTGGCCGCGTATGCTTTTGTGTCTATACATGGAGTTTGACTCTGGCTTCCAGTCTGCTCTCCACGTGCACACAAATAAACAAGAACATAAAAACAAAGACAACTCAAAAGGTAGAAAAGATGATTAATGTAAATCAAAGATATCAGTATCTATATATATATATATATATATCCCTGTGTGTGTGTGTGTGTGTGTGTGTGTGTGTGTGTGTGTGTGTGTGTGTGTGTGTGTGTGTGTGTGTGTGTGTGTGTACACGAACATAAACCTTACAACAAACGAGGTGATCGGGGAGAGTAAGGTGCAGATGGGGGGACGGGGGGTTTGACTGATTAATTGTTCATCAGAGAGACGGCCTCAGGGAAGAAGCTGGATATAAATGACTGAATGCAGGAGTTTCCTGTTTACATATTTGTGGAAAATATTCCAGCCAATATTACTTTTTTTAGTGTAAAGTGTGGTTTTATTTATTCTCACATGAGCAGATTCTTGAAAATGTTTTTCCAAAAGATGCTCTGAGTGGGACGTGAGGAAAAAATGCTCTTATTGTGAAAGCTTGATAAACATCATTGATCTTTTACAGGGAGAAGGACTTGACTGCAAAATGCATCATCAAGATGGAGGGAACCAAAACCTCCATCACCAACCTGAAGGTACTTTTTGTTTATGTATTTTTCCCCCCAGAAGAATAAAAATGCACCGCGTGTGATTCAGGCGGAAAAAGGCCGGGACACCGTGTGTCTTTTTTTCTCTTTTCTAATTTGCGTTCTCCAAAGATTCCCGACGGCATCGCGGCGGATTCCACGAGGGATCGAACCAAAACGTTCACGTACGACTTCTCGTACGACTCGAAGGACTGTAAGAGCTCCGCCTTCGTCTCCCAGGAGAAGGTGAGTAACGTGTGTGTGTGTCTTTCTAAAGACGCGTCAAACCCTCAAAGACGACAACCGCTCACATACTTTGCACCGCTTGGTTTTTCTCACTTCTTGTCTCCTGCAGGTCTTCAAGGACCTCGGCTCGGACGTGCTGCGGGCGGCGTTCGAGGGCTACAACGCCTGCGTCTTCGCCTACGGTCAGACCGGCTCGGGGAAGTCCTACACCATGATGGGGAATCCGGTGAGCACGTTCGTCTCTCTGCCGCACTAAGAGGCTCCCGGTGGGTTTTTAATGGCGCTCTGTGGCCTGATGGTGGGTGCTTTCGCTGCTGGTCTTTTCGTGGGGGCTTTTTGGAAATCAGTGATCATTTATTTTCCCCAAATAATTGGAAATAATCTTTATTTAGATCATTTTAGTCCGACAACTCAACCACAAAACACCCCCCGTTTTTATTTTAAAACGCAGCCCACTGAGGACATGAGCTCGCTGTCCTGGGCAGCTGACATAGTGGAAGGGTCAAAGGTCACACAAGTCAGACTATAGGCTCCATACGTCTGGTTTTATCCGTGCGTTCGACGCGCTCGGCTCTGAGGATCAGCGAGATAACGCTGGTATGCAGGGGAGTCAACGACGTGATGCAGTCAGGAATATGGATCCATTTATAGGATTAAAGGGAAAACGTCCTCCAAGAGATAAAAATCTCACTTAACTCAACCGATGTTTCCAAATGGAGTTCAACCCTCCTCTGGCCTGTGAGCGTCTCACTGTCTTCATGTTGTGCGTTCTTGTCGTAGGGCGACGCAGGTCTGATCCCGAGGTTTTGCGAAGGCTTGTTCAGTCGTATCGCCGCGGCGACGCGATGGGACGAAGCTTCCTTTCGTACGGAAGTCAGGTGAGTCGCACCGGATCTTGTAACTTTCCATCTAAATCAACAGATATGTTTTTTTTCTTTCTGACAAGCCGCGTGTCGCCTTTCCTCCTGCTCCTCCCGCCTCCTCTGCTTGGCGCCTTCAGCTACCTGGAGATCTACAACGAGAGGGTGAGAGACCTGCTCAGGAGGAAGTCCACGCAGACCTACAACCTCAGAGTCCGGGAGCACCCGAAGGACGGGCCGTACGTGGAAGGTGGAGAATCCCGCTGGCGCATCTGCGCGTTGTTCCTGTCACAGTCGTGTAGTTTTCCCACAGCAAACGGGCTTCCTGTCACGTGACCTCGTCCCTCCTGCCCCGCAGATCTGTCCAAACACCTGGTGCAGAACTACAGCGACGTGGAGGAGCTGATGGAGGCCGGAAACATCAACCGCACCACCGCCAGCACGGGCATGAACGACGTCAGCAGCCGCTCGCACGCCATCTTCACCATCAACTTCACGCAGGTGGGAAACCACGAGACTTCAGAGCGCCGGGCACCAAAATGTGAAGGGGATCCCTCCAAAAACTCACTTAATCCAACTGTGTTTTGACTCACGTACAGCTTTTATTATATCGAATAAATGTAAAGGATTTTCTGCTGAAATGACCTCAAATATCCACCGTCTCTCTCTCTCTCTCTCTGTGTCTCTGTCTCTCGCTCAGGCCAAGTTCGATGCGGAGATGCCCAGTGAGACGGTCAGTAAGATCCACCTGGTCGACCTGGCCGGCAGCGAGCGAGCCGACGCCACCGGAGCGACGGGCGTCCGGCTGAAAGAAGGCGGGAACATCAACAAGTCGCTGGTCACCCTCGGCAACGTCATCTCCGCTCTCGGTCAGAGTCCGAAGCTTTTGTCGCAGCGTGTTCTCTCCGCTTGGCGATGTTTCCCCCACGGCTGAAAAAGGATCTGCTCCCTGTTTGTGCTCCAGCTGACATGACGCAGGACGGCGTGAACACCAACCTGAAGAGGAAGTCGGTGTTTGTCCCCTACAGGGACTCGGTGCTCACCTGGCTGCTGAAGGACAGCCTGGGCGGCAACTCCAAGACCATCATGATCGCCAGTGAGGTTCCTTTAAATATCTGCTGATATCTGATAAGACGTCCAACTAACAATCCATAGAGCTGCTCTTTATTAAAACAAATTCTCCTCAGCCGTTTCCCCCGCCGACGTGAACTACGGCGAGACGCTCAGCACGCTGCGCTACGCCAACCGGGCCAAGAACATCATCAACAAGCCCACCATCAACGAGGACGGCAACGTGCGGCTCATCAGAGAGCTGCGGGCCGAGATCGTCCGCCTGAAGCTGCTGGTTCAAGGCAACCAGGTAAATGGAGCCGGGGGGGGGGGGGGGGCTGTTTTCAGTATTTAGGGAGGTGGACTGAGGAGCAGATGAAGCACTTTGAGGAAGAGACGACCTTAAATGATCTTTGCTAATTTTATCCTTCTTAGTTAATTAAACCAGAATAACGGATGTTTATCAATTTCCTGCGTTCTACTGTTTGCACCTTTTTTTCAGCTTGTCAAATGTTTGAATGTTGCAATCAATGCTCTTTATTAATTTAAAATGTCCGTATGTCTAAGTGAAGCACTTAATGTGCTATTCAAATGAACCTGCTTTGCCTTCTAGAGTAAATAGATTTACACACGGTTCTTTGAGCCGGTGGGACGTTTATAACGGTTCCAAAGTCGCCACAGGACGGCGGTTGAAATGGAGCTTTCTGTGTTTCCGTCAGATCGCTCTCCTGGATTCGCCCACCGCTCTGAGTATGGAGGAGAAACTGCACCAGAACGAAGCCAGGGTGAGTCCCACGGCCCTTTTTGACGTGAGCTGTCAGTCAGCCGGGGATGCGCAGCTCTGCGTTGAACACCTGTTGCCTGCTGGTGGCGTCTTTGCGTTCGCAGGTCCTGGAGCTGACTAAAGAGTGGACCAACAAATGGAACGAGACGCAGAACATTCTCAAGGTCGGTCGGATCCTCATCGCTGCTGACTCTGCAGAAAAGCGATTTTATCGTAGCGTTTATCTGTTTATCCGTTTTGTGAACCTTGTTTGTTCTGCTCCTGCAGGAGGAGACTCTGGCCCTGAGGAAGGAGGGGATCGGCGTGGTGCTGGACTCCGAGCTGCCTCACCTCATCGGCATCGACGACGACCTCCTCAGCACCGGCATCATCCTGTATCACCTAAAGGTCAGAGGTCACCTGACTCACCGGGAATCCGGATTGGAGGAAAGAGTTCTAGTGTTCAGGCTTTCATTCTTTGAGAGATTGAAAACGGTTGAGACGATACCCTTAAACACTCACCTCCTTTCTTCTCCTCTCCACCTCAGGAGGGACGGACGTACGTGGGCCGAGACGACGCGTCCACCGTGCAGGACATCAGTCAGTTTGTCGCTCGATCGGCTGATTTTTCTTATAGCTTTTCCTTTGTTTTTTATAGATTCATCTGACTGAAATGTGGATGTGTGCATCTCTGCTTTGAACGTCTCTTTTTAACTGCTGATTTCCTCCTGCAGTCCTCCACGGCCTGGACCTGGAGAGCGAGCACTGCGTGTTCGAGAACCAGAGCGGGAAGGTGACCCTGGTGCCGCTGGGGGCGGCCCAGTGCTCCGTTAACGGGGTTCAGGTGACGGAGTCGTCGCAGCTCAACCAAGGTGAGGCCTAAACTGTCACAGATAATCCCCTGGAGGTGGAGGAGGAGTCCGTGCGGGAATCACTCCTTCTCCTCTCTCATCCTCCGCCGTGTGTTTTTTGCGTCCAGGCGCCGTGATTCTGCTCGGCAGAACCAACATGTTCCGGTTCAACCATCCGAAGGAGGCGGCCAAGCTGAGGGAGAAACGGAAGGTGAGCCGGTCGACCTTCTTGGACCCCCTTGGAGGCCCTGCAGGGGTTTCAGCTGTTGACCTTTTGACGTGTCTCCCCCCCTCAGAGCGGCCTGCTCTCCACGTTCAGCCTCTCTATGACGGATCTGTCCAAGTCCTGTGAAAGCCTCTCCGCCGTGATGCTCTACAACCCCGGGTGAGTTTGGGAACGATCGCGCCAGCATGTGCTCATCGGCGCAGAACCTGCAGCGCATCTCCCTGTCATTCCAGTTTATCTGCATTCAGACTTTAATAAAACTCAATCAAATGTGGCTCAAAAATGGTTCGGCTGTTGAAAGAGTGTTAGACTTCTGAGGTGATTTACTGTTGGATGAATGTAAAGAGCTTTGCGCTGCAGCGTGTTTCCTTCCGTCTGCACACTTTGTGTCGGTGAATTAACTCTCATCACCGTCCGTCCCGTTGACAGTCTCTTCGCTCAGAAGGGCCCCGTCTTCCTCAGGTAGACTCAGCCGTCCACTTCCTGTCTTAACTGTCGCGTCTTCGACGCAGAGGCACGTGTCGACATGTCCGGTCTCTCAACCTGAACCCTCGGTGTTGTTTTGTTCTGTATTATTTTGCACGCCGTCTCGCCGCTTCTGTCCCCACGTCGACGTCTGCGAGTGGAGAATGTGTCGTCGCTTTTTGTTTGGCATTTCATCCCGAGTCCTTTTGTGTTAACGGCTACTTTCACTTACTGCACTTTACTAGTTGTGTTTCTCTGTGTGTGTGTGTGTGTGTGTGTGTGTGTGTATTTTTTAAGGATAAAAAAGGTGATGCATGTTTTAATGTTCTCAGGCTGGAGTTTGAGCGACAGCAGCGGGAGGAGCTGGAGAAGCTGGAGCTGAAAAGGTATTTGAGTTTTCCTTACTGAGTATTTACCAGACGCCTCCTTTAAAGAATAGAAAAGTACAATCAGAATCTGTAAGTGCTGGTTGTTGCTGCAGGAGGCTGATCACAGAGATGGAGGCAAAGCACCAGAGCGAGAAGGCGGAGCTGGAGCGCCTCCAGCAGGAGGTGGAGAGTCAGCGTAAGGAGTCGGAGGAGGTGCAGCAGCGGATCCTCCACCAGGAGGAGAGCCTCCGCCGCCGCAGCCAGGACATCGAGAGCCGCCTGCGAGACTTCCTGGCCGAGAAGGAGCGCTTCGAGGAGGAGAGACGCTCGGAGATCCACGCGCAGGATTCAAAGGGAAAGCGCCAGCAGCAGGAGGCGCAGGAGGGGGAAGCAGAGGAGCAGCGGCGGCGGCGGCGGCAGCAGGAGGCATCCGAGCAGGCCGAGATCTACCGCGAGCTGGAGCGACTGAAGAAGCAACGCGAAACACCAGAAAGTTCGCTCGGAGCAGGCGCGCCGGGGGCTTGGAGGCACAAGAAGCGCGAGCAACTGACCCTTGTGGGGCCGGCTGGAAGGAGCAGCTGAGGGAGAAAACACGAGGGCAGCCGCCTCCTTGCTGACCCGGGACCGACGCCCGCCGCCTGGAGCGGAGCGTCAAAGCTCTGGGCGAGATCAGAGAGGCCCTCCTCCGCGCCAAAGAGACCTCCGAGCGGCCGCATGTGGAGGACGGCGGCGAGGAGGCCAGAGCGGCCCAGGCCCGGTACACGGACTTCAAGGAGGCGCAGGTGAAGGAGCTGGGCCAGCTGGAGGAGGGGCTGCGGCAGCAGAGGGAGCGCCTGGAGAAAGAGGTCGCCGCCGAGCGCAACGCGCTGCTGCTCCTCACCCACGGCGTCCGGGGGCGACACCAGCAGCCGAAGGAGGCGCAGGAAGGCGTCTGCCAGGAGGAGCAGCAGCAGCTGGTCAGGCAGGCGGAGCAGCGACTGCAGTTCAAGGAGCGGCAGCTGGCCAGCGTGGCCGACCTCCTCCTCCCCGCGCTGGCCGAGGAGAAGCAGCGGGCGGCGGAGACGCTGGAGCGCGGCGGCGGCGGCAGCAACGGGAACTGCGACAGCCCGCCGGGGCTCGACAACACGCTGTTCCAGGTGGAGAAGGAGCTGGAGGACAGGGAGGAGAAGCTGAACCTCCACTGGCACGGCGCCCAGCAGCTCCAGCAGCTCCAGGAGACCTACGAGTTCACGGCCAACGTGGCGCGGCAGGAGGAGAAGGTGAGGCGGAAGGAGAAGGAGATCCTGGAGGCGAAGGAGAAGCAGCAGCGGGAGGCGATGGAGCAGGCGGTGGCGCGGCTGGAGAGGAGGCACTCGGCGCTGAGGCGCAGCGTCTCCCTGGAGCCCGACGGCGAGGAGCAGGCCGAGAACGCGAGGCCGGGCGCCGACCTGGACCAGCACAGGTCAGCGAGAAACGTGGAGGGTCAGAAGGTCAAACATCTGAAACCTAATTCACACGTTAAACCAACGTGTAATAACTCATTTATTGCCTTTATTCAAGCTGTGTAATAAAATAAATGCTATTAACAATTAGATTATGGGTTGTACAATAATGACGTGGGACTCTTTTTAGAAATCACCTAAAAATGAAGAACAATCCTCATCAAACGATAGAACCGCTGTGCATTTAAATGAATGAACCGGCGCGTCGAGGAGAACCGGTCGGCGCTGGTGTCGCCCCTCGCTGGAATGAAGCATTCTCTCTCCCTGCAGGGTCGAGCAGGAGATCCAGGAGCTGAGGCAGCGGATCGGCGGCGAGGAGGAGAAGACGGGTCACAGCAGCTCCCCGGGCGGCCGCGGCCTGAGCGCCGTGCTGCCGCTGTCCGACGACAGGTGATTCCGAGCCGCACGCGGACACGGGGACGGACGGTCTCCGCCGAGGCCCCAAGGGGGCGACGTAGTCATTCGATGTCGTTGTCTGTTACAGGATCAACGCGTACATCGAGGAGGAAGTCCAAAGGCGCTTACGCGAGATGAACCTGCTGAATGGCGGCGGCAGCAGCGTCGACCTTTCTCTGTCCTGTGAATCGCTCCGAGTAAGAAATGTCCCCCTCGTACTTCTTTCACCTGGTGAGGTTTTATTAAGATGCTGCAGACTCCAACCAGCCGACTGTCACTTCACTTCCCTCATACATTCAGATATCCAGGTGATGTTCTTGCATAAATATGGATCTATATGAAAAATACCTTGTGTATTTTACACACTTATTTTAGTCCTAATTGTTCTTTACCTCCTTATTGTTAACCGAAGGCTGATGAATCAAAGCACTTTGATCAATAACAAGCTTTCTGCTCATTTTTGAGTGTTTCTTAAAACAAAGTTGCGATAATTGAACTTGCAGTAGGTCGGTGTTTAATATTCATTAGCTTCATTTTCACTCTTCAACGTGTATTTTCCTCTTTACAAGACCAAAGAGGCCCAGCGGGTCCAGTGACGTCCTCCTCTGTGTAGAAGTGATATTTGGCTCTTTGACCCTGCAGGAGGAGGAGGTCCTTCTGCACCTGGTTTATAGCGGTCCCGGTTTTTCTGCAACTATTCCCCTTCCTCCCGTCAAGAAGCATCATTTATAACTCAAGTTATTGAGAATTAAGTGTGTATTTGATATTTAATGATCCGGAGAGTTGATGTGAAGTGTTGTTGTTTTCAGGATGATGAAAAGCTTCCAAACATGAATCCAAGGAGGCTTAAATATGAAGTAAGACCATTTTAATTGATCAATTATTAATAAAAAAGGGCATCCTGCTATATTAATTATTTACAACGGCAGATGTTCTGCATTCATAAAACATCTCTCTTATGCATGGAAACAATTACACAATCAGAACATGATTCCAACATGTCACTTTAAAAGACCTGATGAACGTTTTTTTGTGGCACACGTGGGTCTTTAAAATCCTTTTAATGATTTTTGTGAGACCCGAAGGAAGGAAGCTCGTGCTTCTTCAGTACGGTGTGAAACGTCGACCCAACACAAATTATCCTAACGATGAAATATTTCAAACCCGGAGAGACCGTCGTTGCAGGTGCCTTTCTTTCGGATGGGCGGGGTTTGTAGGACGTCTGTAAGCCCCGCCCATCCAGCGGCATGTCTTCAAAATAAATGCAACTTCACACCTGTTTGAGTAGAAGTTGAGACCATGTCGTTCTAACTTGCATGCCCAACCTCTTCCCGATGTCGATTCTGAATCACTTCTAACTCACCTTTGCACCTGCTGATGGAGGAACTCTTAATTCTCAATTGGTGGATTGTGGACTTCGGTGTAATTCAAAGAGGCTTCACGTCCTGCTTGAAGGTGTAGTCACATGGACCCTCCTGTCCACACAGAAAGCCTGCGGGTTTCAGCCGAGCTTCCTGCCGGGCTCGACCCCTCTTGACCTCCTCAAAAACACGATGGAAGAACCAAAGTCCAACCTCTTAAAGATGCACGAAGAAGAAGAACCCACAGCTGAAGAGGAGGTGCCTTGCAAAGCCGGTGGAAAGAACCACTGGCGGCACCGCGGCGAACCGGATCGCCGTCACGAGGCGTGCCGCTCGTCCGCACAGTCGGAGACCAACGCGGTTGACGGCGAGAACGTCGCCGTTGAGCGAAGAACGAGCTCCGCCTGCCGGTTTCCCGATGGGGGCGAAAAGGTCGAAGAAGACGCGGCGGCGAGCAAACGCGTCGCGCGGGCGATGTCAGAGGACGCGGAGCCACGCCGCCGCCCCAACTCCGTCGACGCCGCCGATTTCAAGCAGGACCCAAAGGAATCTCTCATTGGGGGAATGAAACGCGAGACGGGCAAAGTGGCGGCACGCGGCGCCTTTGGTTTGGGGTATTTGACCGGAAGGTTGTCGGAAGCGTACGCAGACGCCGGCAGGAGGCTGCAGGGCACGCGGGAAATCCTCCAGAAGGTATCGGTGGGGGACGTGAAGGTGGTGCTCTCTCAGTATGTGACCCTGATGTCCAACGAGCTCCATCGACTGCGGCTTCAACCGGAGGCAGAACGCCGCGTCCTCCCGGGAGACCGAGCCGCGCCGGGCGACCGGCCTTCGGGCGGCGCCTTCGGGCCGGCTCAGAATCTCGGCCCGTCTGCGATCCCGGGGATCTCGGGGTGGCCTGAAGGCTCCGTGTCCTCGCTCCGGGACGGGCGTCCCGAGGTCTTCCGTCAGAGGCTGGTCCAGCTGCCCCCCGCCCTGTCTCGCCTGCGCTCGCTCCCACCCCGCGAGATGCTGGGAGCGTTGGCGGCGCTGAGCCCGGGGGCGCGGGTCGGCGAGCTCGTGAGCGTCTTCTGGCTGCAAACCGCCGGCGTGGAGCAGCCGCTCCCGAATCCCGGGTGCCTGCTTTTGTCGGAAAAGGACGTGGTGGTGCTGTCGAGCGGGACGGACCCAGACGACCCCGTGGTGCTTCGTCACCGCTGTGGTCTCCTGGAGGTCAAGGAGGTCCAGGTCGGTTTGGCCGGGCAGCACGTCCGCCTGATTGGCGGCTCCGGGGACGCCGTCCTGGTCGTGTTCACGCGCAGCAAAGAGCTCACGCAGGAGTTCTGCAGAGCTCTGCTGAAGCTCCTCTGCCCGGGAGGGTCTCCCCGAGGGGCCGAGGACCGCCCGTTGCTCTCCGGTGACCTCATGGTCCTGTCCCTGGACTGGACGTCCAGCGTCCCCGACGTCGTGCTGGACCGCGGCCTACGCCTCACCTCCAGATTCAACCGGGTCCTCGCCGACCTGCTCTACATCGTCCACGGCAACATGGACGGTCCCGGCAAACCGTCCCTGGCGCACGTTTGTCCTCTGCTCTACACCAGCGTGAAGGTCAAGAGCGCCGCCGAGAAAGAATACCGGCAGGACGCCATTCTGCAGTTCCTCCTGACGGACACGCACGTGGCTCTCCTGCGGGAGGACGGCGTCTTCCACCCGGCGCCGCGGGGCTCCGTCCTGGGCTCCGTCCGCCCCCAGTTCCAGGCCCTCGACCTGCGCAGGCGCTCCGACATCGGGCGCCTGTTCGTGAGGACGAGCGACGACTGCCTCGCGGTGGACATCGCCTTCGGCGCTCGCGACCCGCGGGCCCGAGCAGTAGGGGCGGAGTCCAGGCGGCGCTCGGCCGACGCGGGCTCCGCCTCTGGCGGCGGGCCGAGAGACTCCTGGAGGTTGACGTTTGGTTGTACCTCCGAGGCCGTGACGCTGATCCATCACCTGTCCGCCTGAGCGGCTCCGCGCCGTCCGGAGCGGAGGAAGGAAAACACGGCGTTCCTTTCAGGCGCCGCTACGTCCACGTTTGCCTCTACGCGGGGGATAAAAGACGGACCCATCTGGGGGTCGGATGTCATCTTGTGATCTTTTTGAAGATGCTCAGCAGTGGAGACATGAAGATAAACCGTCTGTCAGCATTTAAGAAAGTTGAAATTGCTTCTTTACAGTTATTAATTAATTGTGTTAATTAATTTTTGCTAAATGTAATTCTGTCAAATTTGGTTTAAAGGGAACATTTGGGTGAATTATGTGATTTGGTGTGTTAAAGATAATTGAAGGATTTGTAATAATAAATAATAAAAAAAACTATAATGAAATATGATTATGTAATTAAGTAAATCTGTCATAAAATGTCCTCAGAAATAAATAAAGATTTAACTTTCTGTGAGTTCTACTGACTGATAGTTTTTCTCTAATCGAGTTCAAGAAAACAAGCATGAAATCTCCACCGCCGCTCCTCTTCTTCTTCTTCTCTTCCCTCCTTCCTGTGCAGCACCGGCTCTGCCGTCCTCCCGGGACGACCGGCGCCGGCCTCCAGGACCGGGAGCCCGTTAGGATCAGCGTTCCTCGCCACGTGCTGCGCGGGCAGGGCAAGGACGAGCACTTTGAGTTCGAGGTGAAGGTGAGTCTTCCCGTCTTCCTCGCCGTCGTTGACCTTCCGACCCCGCCGTCCTTTTTTGTCCGGCCCTTAAATGTCTCCCACGCGGTCAGATCGCCGTGATGGACGAGAAGTGGACGGTCTTCAGGCGCTACAGTCGCTTCCTGGAGATGCACCGCGGCCTGAAGCTGAAGTACCCCGAGGTGAGAGACGCGTCCCCGCGGCGGCGTTCTTCTTCCTTCGCCGCCATCTCGAGTGTCTTGACGTCAACCCGTCCGCCGTCTCTCCCCCCCCCCCCCCAGCTCGCCGCCCTCGAGTTTCCTCCCAAGAAACTGTTCGGGAACCGAGACGAGCGGATGGTCGCCGAGCGCCGGAATCACCTGGAGGCAAAGACGACGTCTATAAAGTCTCATTTCGCTCGCGTGGGACGAATCGCCAACTTCCAACGCCTGTTTGTTTGTTTGTTGTTCCTCGCAGCGCTACCTGAGGAACCTGTTCCGCGTGATGCTGTCGTCCTCCGGCTCGCCCCTCTGGGACGGCGGCCTGCGCCTCACCAAGCACGCCGTGTGCGAGTTCTCGCCGTTCTTCAAGAAGGGCGTCTTCGAGTACAGCAGCCACGGCACCGGATGAGTCCGAACCGCCGGCGCGGGACCCCCCCCCCCCCGAACCAAAAGGTGTTTAAAACACAAAACGCTCAGGAGAATCGACTTCAGAGGAGGAGGTCAGTTTCCTCGCCGTCGTCCCGACAGACGAAGAGACGCGTCTCCTTTATCGCAAAGGTTAAAGGTTAAAGCTCTGTTTTAAAGAGCTTGTGTAACAGCAATAAACGGCTGTATTTATTACATACACATATATATATATATATATATATATATATAATATGTGTTATATATATAATATGATGTTCTCATGGCGACTCCCTCCGATCTGAACGCAGAGACGCTGCTGAGGCTCGAGGGTTCAGTCCCACTCAAACAAAGTACTTTATTAAAGAAAAATACCAAACTGTTGACTTGCTTTAGCTCTCTGATGTCATTATATGCAGAACATCGTTGGACCGTCTCCTTTATGACGCGCTGCCAATAACCAATCGCAACCCGTCAATGAGCAGAGCAAGGCATCACCAAAGGCAGGGTTTGAATCCCAGCTGGACATCAACTGAGGGACGTGGAGGACATGGGGAGATTAAAGGGACAGTTTGTAGCATTCGGGGAGAATATATTGAGTGTATTATTAAAAAAGGGCGCGTTTTCTGTCAACTGAACGTGAGAATTGTCGTCTTTCCGTCACTTCTGGGACTCATGTCCTCGTCTACTGACGGGCGGGAAGGCGTCCTTCGTCCTCCTGCTGGTCGGCTACAATCCGTTTACTGAAGCCTCCACGCCGGCCCGACGGCCACTTCCCCGCTGAACGAGGCTCTTTGGTTTTGTGTTAACGTCCGGCCCCAAAGTCGTCCTTCTGTCCTCTAAGTTGACCTCAATAAGAGACGATATTCAGACTCCGATACTGAACCGGGTCCACCAGCGCCGCTGCATTTTACTGACGCCTTTATGACGTGTCCACTTTTTATCTCCTGTATGAATTATTATCACTACTCAGTATATTAGAAAATTCTGTTTATAATTCTGATGCAATATTTGGAAGCTCAGTTATTACAATGTAACGATAAAAGCATAGAACCACAGAGGGTTTGGTCTGTAGTTTTACTCTCTGACGTTCTCTAATCTACGATGAAATATGCAGATGGGAATATTTACTCCTGTTGGCAGCTCAGCTGATTTTATTAACGAAACAAAAAGAGAGGAAGTGATTGCTAAACGTCTCTGAGCCTCACGGACGTGTGAGAAGAGGAACTCATCTCTGTGGTGTTTAAGTCGCCAGAATTCAGTTTGTTTGTGCACCGTCTGTATATAAAGTGTAAATGTTGATGTGCATAGTTTTTCTATTTGAATGCTTGGATGTAATGTAAAATATTGACATTGATGTGAGTAAAGGGAATGTACCACAGGGCTTATTAGTGTTTTTGTATCAACCCACAAACACACGTTATCTTGTTTAACCATAGATCACATTTCTTTATTTTAAGTGGAGTTATGTCCTCCGCTGGTTGCAACCAAGACTTTAGAAAGTAAAGTCTACTTGTATTATTATTGTCCACATATTCTATTGCTGACGTTCTCCCTAACAGAGTCTCTTATTTTAATTTCTAGTATATAATTCTTTATTTTCTCCGTGGTAACATGGCTGCAGAGTGCATACTCGGCCTGCAGTAACTTATATCAAATATCTACTTTATACATGTTTCATGGCAGAATAGATGATCCAGCTACTGCTTTTCTGTAACATTTTGTGAAGCGAGTTGATGTCGGCTGTGTTAGCATCGGCTAACGGCTCTGAGCTGCTCCTTGGACAGGCCGTCCACCACGGTCCACGTCTTCGCCTTTACGGCCTTTTTGCTTTTGGTCTTCGGCGGCTGGAGGCGAAATCGACATGTTTCTTCACAATGAAAGTCACTTCCAGTCAATGCTAGCTGACCTAGCCTAGCTTATCCAGTTTAAGAAGCTAACATCTGGCTGCGGCCACGATATAATACAACTCTTTCTAAAATAAAAATAATTTACTCACCGTTGTCAAAAGTCCCACACGCTAAACCGGATGGTACACGGGACACGTAGCGGGCGGAAGCCAAACTTGTCGTATGACATTCGATTTTGAATCAAATCCAAACGGTTTCATCGTCAACATGTTTGAGTGTCCGTTGCCATGGATACGAAGCCAGGAGACACAGCTGCTGAATTTGGGAGATTTTGAACTGCAGCGATCTTCAGATGAGCTACAAGACGTCCATCAACTACCAACTACCTGTTTGTTTATTATAATTGTTTTTTAGCTGATGTAACGGGTGGTTTTAAAACGGCCAACTGCTGGTTAAACAACAACCTGTGTCTATTTTAGAGACATTTTCTTTGACTTTCTTTGCCTTTTTAACTGGATGAAATTCAAATATTTTACCGAAACTAAAAACGATCTTAGCGATCTTTAATAACAATCATTTCTACATAACTGCCAACTGCAATGTGGAGATAATTTACGTGTATATATTGATATTCTCTGTATGTTAAGCCACCTAACTACGTACAATGCCTGTTCTGAATAACAAGTAACAAGTAGGACGAGGACACACACACGATAATGAAATAATGAAGCGTTTCCTACACATCTGTATTCACTGAGATGTCGCAATATTTAGACCAAAGAAACGCTAATGCTGCTTCTGGTCATCGGTCACGTGACCTCTTCCCGCGTGTTGTGGAGAGCTGTGACCTTTGGCCTAACGTGTGCGTGCGCCCCCAGCGAGGACCAGCAGAGAGCTCTGGTCCGCTGGCAGCGGGAGCTGCAGGACGACCTGGAGGTCAAGGCGAGCTCGCTGCACGTCGATGAGGTCGCCTGCGCCCCGGCACAGGGAGCCTCTCGTCATCCACACATTCTGAGATTCCGTGTCGGTGTGTTTGAAACCTTTTGAATGACTTTTCTTTCGTTTCACATAAACTGCGGAAATCGCTCAACTTGATGTTTGTGACTCAAAGTGTTTTATTTAGGAGGCGAGATGCGTTACAGGTTTCAGGGCTTGTGTTTAAAGGAACAATGCACAGCTTCAGGCTTCATTAGTTGAGAATATGTCTTTAAATGTTCGGTGCGAAAACAGCTGCATCCAGAGCGTTGCATCATGTCAGAATATTCATTTTGGCCTCAAAGAGGCACAACGTCAACCTTTAGAGCGACGGAGCGGTTTCTATCACGATCAGATTACAGAGTGTGAAAGGCCACCGACCGGAACGCCGTCCTCTCCGCCCACGCTTCCTGTGCTCGGTGGGCTTTGGGCGAGTGAGTACACACACTCCCGCCAGACGCGTCCTCTGGCGGGGAGCTGGTTTGCCATTTCGCCGACGCTTGCGAAGTGGTGCGGACGTTCCGAACGAGACTGCCGGCCTACGTCGATCTCCTCATAAATCGCCTCCGTCTTGTGCAGCCTGTTGGTTTTCTCCGTTCGCTTTTGGTGGCAGAAGTTCAGTGTTAAAACCCCCAAGATCACCAACGCGGCTCCCGCCACCATCCCAACGGGTCCTTTCCAGCGCCCTGATGGGGGCCGGTTCCCTGCGTCTCCGGCGGTTCCCGGCCCGGCGTTTGCTGGCGTGGCGCCCTCGCGTCCGCCATCGGGACCCACCTCGCTGGGATCTTTTGTCACGGTCAGATACACCTTCTTGTGGTTACAGAAATACATGGAGGAGTCAAATGACGTGACGTCTCTGATCACCAGGGAGGTCTTCCCCCGGGAACCGTAGCGTTTATCTTCCATCTTCTCGACGCCGTCTGTGACGGTGACAAGCGCCACCAGTTTGCCGTTTATGAACCGCCTCCATGTGACGTCTCCCGTCTCGTCGGGACAGAGCAGCGTGGCCTCGGCGCCCTGCAGCACAGTCTGCTGAGGACGATCTGGAAAATAAAGAGGCAGAAATAAGCCTTTAATTGAAGAGTGTTCATATACACAAGTGTACGCTAATGTTCTACACCGGGGGTCTTTTTCAGGCCAAGGACCCCCAGACTGATAGCGAGATGGAGCAGGGACCTCCTATTCTATGGCGTTTGTTCCGCCATCTTTTATCTTTGAGCTTCGCGCTCTTTGGACGCGAGCACGGATGGATCTGATTGGCCGGTGCCTGTGATGTCGTATCAGCACGAGAGGAGCGTGTATTTAAAGACAATAAATACAATTCTGGTTCTGAAGACATTTAAATTTGTGTCAAATAAATTGGTTGAAAAAATAAAATAAAATCTTTGCTTATCAAGCAAAGATTTCTCAACAGTACCTGCAGCACCTCCGCGGGCCCCCTGGGGGTCGCAGACCCCCTGTTGAAGACCTCTGTTCTAAACTAACTTCAAGACGTTTTTGCTACCGAAATGCATTCAAGCCAAAACCACAGATTTATTAACATGTTAATAGAAAGCTGCTGAATTCGATGGTCTTACCGGCGCGGCTGCAACAGAAACATCCAGTGAGGACCAAGCAGAGACGGAGGAGCAACATCTCTGCAGCCTGTGGATCTTGTTCAGTGACAAACGACGAATAAAGCTTTCTTGTTTAATCATGAGGAAGTGATGACTCATGAGGTTGCAGTGGAAAAGAGGCGGTTAGTCAGATGTCATTCTGCAGAAATAGGAAACAAACTGGTTTTGGAAACACACATTAAGTTTTTCATTTTGTTTGTTTTGCTAACAGCTAACGGAGCTACGAGCGCGCACTGCTGCAGCTTAGTGAATCGTCACCTTCGGAGCATCACGTGCCGTGTGGTTGTGAGAGGAAACAACGTTCTCATGGAGCCCTTTTGGTTCTTTTTCATGCTCATTTTATTTATTTAAAATCAAATCTATTATTTACAATCTGCGGGATGTCAGCCGTTTGTTGGCTCAGGTGAACCTATGACTGCTCCGTGCTGCTGGTCGGCTGGCCGATCTTTGACAAATCCCCAAAGGACAAGCTAGCCGAGCCTCGCTTTGCTGGTTTGGCCTGAGAAAGACGGAGATAAATAAAAAGAATCAGACAAATAAAATCAATTTATGGAGGAAAATCGTCTCTTCTCCTGAATCCAAAGGGTAAAACACAGCGGTGACGGCGTCCGGTCATTAAGAAGAAACAGGGAAACCAAACATGGGTCCATATTAAATCAGAGGTATTATTGTTTGATACACTGTTGAACTCTGGGTATTTGTGCACAAACAGGTCTCACCTGAGACTCATGAGGCTTCCAGCCGATCATGTAGAGGACCTCGAAGGTGGCCGGGACGGAGCCGTCCTCGTTACCGTACATCTCTGAAACAGTTACAAACAAACACAGGCGGTAGGGAACTGTTCATGGAGCTAGGCTAGTCGTTCCCTCCGCTTCCAGTCTTTGTGCTAAGCTAACCGTTGTACAGCTTGGGGGCCAAGTGGATCGTTTAAAACGGACATTTTTACATGCGATTATTTTTAGAATTTTAGATCGTGTGACCCGGCAGAGAAGGAAAGCCATGTGCAGAAGCCTTGTGAACGTCCCACAGCGCTGCTTGTCTTTAACAAAGAGGAACTTGTGAATAACGGTGAACAAGTGTCACTGGATCTGGTTAAATTAAGGAAACAGAAGTATCACAATGACAGCATGAAGTAACAGCGGCTATTTGTCTTAATGTCAGACAATTCCAATTTTGGTATTTAACCAGCTGGACACTTGTCAAACAAACTGAAAGGAACGGTGACTTTGTAGAGAGCGGTTTATATGAATCCACTTTTGATGCTTAGGAGAGTTTTTGTGGCATCATTACGGAGTGTGTGTGCGTGTGTGTGTGTGTGGGTGTGTTCATGGTGACGAAGGACAACAGTGAAGCTCACTGATGAAGATGCATCTGTAGTGCAGCTGACAATGAGTCACGTCCTCTCTGAACTCTCACCTTTATAAATGGCTCCTGCTGCTAGTATGGTGTCTCTGTGCAGCATCGACCTCCTGTTCCAGGCACAGTTACTCTCACCCATGCCTACGGAACATGGAAGTATAGGTTTGGAAGGCCCGAAAAACCACAAACACACAAACAAAAACACATTTTAATATATAGAGCATCACACTTTTCTGCTCACAAACAATGTCAACAAATGTATGAGCTTAGAGTCTGCCATGCTAACGGCTCATAAATGCTACATAAGAGGTTAATTTCGGTATAAATTACTGGATTCAGACTGTGGGAGTTTGAGGCCAAACAGTCGACCACTTTGAGACGGTTTGATGCTGTTTTACCCTGAAGGTCGGTCATGACTTCAGTAATTCCCGGGTAGTGGACCTGAACTTCATCAATGTCCTGAAACGGAGAGTGAAGAGTTTTACTGGAGGACGTCAAACAGTGAAAAAAACAGTGTCCAAAAGTGTTTTGAAAGAAAAAAGTCAAAAAGGGGCCATTGGAAAAAAAAAAGTAAAAAAAATATTAGCTTGAACATGTCAGGTCGAAAAAAGTTGGGGAAAAAAAGTTTTTCAAAAATATCTCTAGAAATGCTTTGAAAATTAAGTTAAAAAAAATATTTTTTTTAAATATTAAAAAAGGTCAATAAAAAAATAATATATATATATATAAAAAAATTATATATACATATATATATATATATATATTTTTAATTGACCTTTTTAATATTAAAAAAAAATATATATATATTTTTTTAATATTAAAAAAACATAATATATATATATATATATATATATATTTTTTTAATATTAAAAAAACATAATATATATATATATATATATATGGCAGTAAAGTGTTTTTTAAAAAGTCACATATGTAACTGTAAAAAATGTATTGATAAAAAAGTCACAATTATGTCAGTTAGATCACAGTTTCTCACCACGGTGAGCATGGTGAAGCCGGCCCGGCCCAGCAGGTTGCCCAGGTCCGTGACGGCGGTGTAGGGGGAGACGTGGGGGGAGAAGCCTCCCTCTCTCTCGGTCTCAGCCAGCTGGAGGGAGCAGCGCAGCTCGTAGAGCGTCTCGCCGCCCACCATCGCCCCGATGAACACGCCGTCCGGCTTCAGCGCCTGGTGGATCTGAGCGGAGGAGGAGACGGATGCTACCCGTCAATTCCTGAGCGAATTCAAGTGTATGAGGACCATATTGTAAATATCGGCTTTGTCCTTTTTTTGCTCTCACCTGTTTGAGAGCTCCAGGCAGGTCGTTAATCCAGTGCAGACTGAAGAAAGACCACAAAAAGGCTTTTGTTTGACACGCGGTGGACATTAAAAATGCAAGAAACCCCACCGGCCTTATTTAAGCTTCCACTAAGAAATGTCACAATGTTAAAGAGAAAGATAACGACGTAATAGAGGTTGATTCTTAACAGCACAAAATGAATGAATAACATGTCGGGTTGTGGGAATTTCATTTATGTGTTTTTTTTCCTCCTAAAAGGTGGAGAAAAGCTAAACCAACATATAGAATGAAGTATAAATCACCTCAAGCTGCTCAAAACAAGGTCAAAGGTGTTTTCTTTAAACGGCAGAAACTCCTCGTCAGCAAGAATCCGATGAGTCGGGATTTCACTCCGTCTGGTTTGTTTCTAAAGACATTAAGCTCACATCAGCCGTCACGTACCAGTGTCCGCTCTTATTAGACTGTAAATAGGTCATCGTTTCTAATGATGTCATTAGAATTGATCCAATGATCACACAGATGAAAACCTCTCACCAGAGTCTCCTCCGAGACGTCCGTCAGGAACAAACGCTCCACCACGTCCTGAAACAGCAACGAGCACAAAACGCCCGCATCAGCCCCGGTCGATGGTTTAAGGATTTAACTCAATTACATGAGATCATTTGCTCCACTGAGAGGCGGTTTCGCGGCTGGAAATGGACTGTACCTTGCTGAGATGCTCTGCAATGTGACTTTTTCCAGCACCGATGTCCAGAGCCAGAGGAAACGTCCTGAGAAGACAGGAAATTTAGAAAGTGTGTGTGTGTGTGTGTGTGTGTCCACCAAGAAAACCAGATCTCTGGTCACGAACTCACCTCGCGATGTCATAGACCCGATCTGCCACTCGACTGCCAACCTGCAGAACAAAGATCAGGGTCACTGGTTATTTTGGGGTTAGAGTAGAATCTTTTATCCAGAGCTCAAAGATGCTGCTGGATTTCATGAGTAAATAGTCATACTGTAATTAATTTTAATACAAATGATCGTGATAATACTAATAGGTTATGGGTTTAACGCTGACATAGGAGTACATTTTTGGTTTTTCTGGATTTTCTTTTGCTATCAAAATAAATGTTCTGTCCATTCAAAACTTTTCAATGAAAAAAAACTCAAAAATATTTGATTTAAAATGTATTTTAAAATATTTAAAATTTATATTTATTGTAGAATAGTCACCCAGCTAACTTATTTGCTCAGCTGAAGAGACTAGTGTGCAGACTATTCCCGTTGGGCGGTTAATTAAACAAGCAAACGCAGCAGCCTCGCACCTCGTCCCGCAGGTAGTCGTACTGGTGTCCGTCCCGCAGCGCCGCCGCCCAGTTCTTCTGCCGCTTCTTCATGTCCCGGTTGAACACGTTGATGCTGCCCGCCGCGGACAGCCCCCTGCGGGGCGCACAGCGGGAGGTGGAGGTCGCGACCCAGCTGCGGAGGGCCGAGGAGGAGCAGGGGGGGGGGCCCGCGGCAGAGGAGCCGGCCGCCCGCAGGACTCTCCGGCACGCCGCGCTGCTCATCGGCCTGTTTAATGGCGAGCGGCGTTGAATAAGAGCGGAGCGGACTTCTTCTTCTTCGTGTCCTCCGCGCCGAGTGACCTCCTGGACCGAGCGCGAGGGAAAACGCGGAGCTGGATTTCTTCTGGGCTCGTTGGAAACAATGGATCTGGGTCGCGGATTAGATGTATGCTGATAAACCACAGACACTTACAACTGACACTAATTACGGGCAGTTATCTTCATGTCTCAGTTGTAATAATCTAGTTTACCTAAATACTCAATATCAATATATGCGGTGTTTGCTTTGGTGCGGGTTTGGTCTCGTTTGTCCCCCTTCGCTTCCCGTACCGAGAAAGGGGCGGAGAGCAAGAGGTCACGAAAGCGTTGCATGCTGGGAAAACACGTGTAGCAGAAGACCAGAGAGGTACCAGTACGTTTTTACGCTATTCTCTATTTTGATACGCTGTTTAAGTTAATTTAACGTGTCGCTGGTGCGTGTTCGACTGTTTTTCTGTTCGTCTCCTCCGTAGTTTCCTGGAACTGAAGTTTTATTTACCAACATGTCTGTAAACGGCTCAATGTCGGTCACTAGAGACTCACTCTGCTGTCTTCTGAATCCTTCTTCTTCCACAGACCGTTAAACAGTAAAACAACCCAACGTGTACACACTTTAATTAACTTAATACGTTTGTTGTGTAACCTGCAGATCTTTATTAATTTTATTTGGTGACTAACCTAAATTAAATGACCTAAACAGTAATCCTCGCTATATTTCCTGCTTTTACAGCGTTTGTTGAATCATGAAAGTCTTTCTGCTTAATTCTCACTCTCACAAATAATTCTTTTTGTCCAGATGTTTTTTATTTATATTTAAAATATTTATATTTATTTATATTTAATATTTAATTTAAGTATAAAATATGCTAAAACCTTTTTATAAATGTTAAATGTATGTATGTATGTACTGAGACTATGGATCAAGTCGATCTTCCTTAGTCAGTCTTTGGTTATAAAGGATCCCTGCTTGTTGTCCACGTAACCCGACATTATGTCCCGTGTTCATTCACCAGGTGACCCGTGGAACGTTGCCGCCATGTCGTCCAAAAAGAATCAGGGCGGAGATGAGCGCTTCCACCGGGTGCAGAAGGACCCCCGATTCTGGGAAATGCCCGAGAGAGAACGCAAGATCAAGATCGACAAGCGCTTCCACTCCATGTTCCACGACAGTCGCTTCAAGGTGAAGTACACGGTGGACAAACGAGGCCGACCCATCAACCAAACCTCCACCGAGGACCTGAAGCGCTTCTACAACATCTCTGACTCGGGGGACGAGGAGGAGGAGGAGGAGGAGGAGGGCGGGAGGAGCAAGAAGGAGGGCAAGCAGAAGAAAAAAGGGAAGGAGAAGCTGGTGAAGAACGGCCGAGCGGTGCAGAGGAGCGATGGCGGAGAGCCGCCTGGACGAGGAGTCGTGGTTACTGGAGAAGGTCAGTGGATGTTCCTCATGCAAGCGGAGCACAGATCGAAGTCTCTATTAGTCTGCAACATCTGGAAGAGTTGTTTCCACGTCTCCTCCAATGATTCTACAACGAGATTCCCATCCAAGACAAATCACGTTATTAGATCTCTATTCTGTAGGCTGACAAACGTCTGATGGCTGAGTTCATCCATGTAGAGGAAATGAATTGTAGCTATTCTTCTAATGCTTTCATACAGATGTTTGTCAGCTCGTGCAGTTCATCCTCAGACCTCATTTCTTTCTGTCGTAACACATTGTATGATTTCACGCAGGAGAGGAAGATGATGATGATGATGATGATGAGAAGCAAACTGGAGCAGCACATCCTGCAGAGGATGATGACGTTGTCCGAATAGACAGTGGAGATGATGATGAAGAAGAAGACGGGGACGACGAGGATGATGATGATGAAGAAGACGGGGATGATGAGGAGGAGGAGGCCGTTGTGGCGAGCGGCTCAGATTCGGAGGAGGAGTCCGGTCTGGATTCGGAGGAGGAGAGTGACAGCGAGCCGGATCTGGCCCGAGGAAAAGGAAACGTGGAGACCAGCTCGGACGAGGACGAGGACGAGGTGGAGGCCATCCTGAGGAAAGAGGAAGAGGAGATCGAGCACGACTGGGGCGAGCTGGCCAAAGACGCTCCACGAAGCGACGAGGTGAGGCGGCGCCGGCGGCGGGCGGAGGAGGAGGAAGCTCTGCTCGCCTCAGCGTGGGATCCTTTTCTGACGAGTCTAACGCTGTTTGTGCTTTGGGAACGTTTGCGCGTCAGGTTTCTGCCCGACTCGCCGTCTGCAACGTGGAGTGGGACCGGATAAAAGCCAAAGACCTGCTGGCGCTGGTCAACTCCTTCGTTCCCGAAGAAAGAGCCGTGCTCTCCGTGAAGGTAACGTCACCAGTAAAGCAGAACGTGTATTTAGACGATTTCCGCGCTGCGCGGCGGCTGTAAAACGCCCGTCTACTAGAGACTCTCACGTCAACCGCAGTGCACCCTGGGTATTGTCTCAGGTCTACCCGTCGGCGTTTGGGAAGGAGAGGCTGAAGGCGGAGGAGACTCAGGGGCCGATGGAGCTGAAACCGCTTCCTGAGGACTCTGAGGACGACACCGAGGAGGAGAGGTAACAACCTTTAGGTCACTTGGGACTCGGTTCTTTACCTCAACGTCCAATAAAAGCTCCTTATGTAGTTTTTACGGGTCAGTAGAAGGAAACGTGTGAGGTTCAACGTCCCCCCCCCCCCTCAAAGAATTTAGCCTTTGCATTATAGTTTATGAAGCCTGGTGTGTGTGTGTGTGTGTGTGTGTGTGTGTGCGCAGAGGTCACAGGGAGAAGGTGCGTAACTACCAGTTCAAGCGTCTCAAGTACTTCTACGCCGTGGTGGAGTGCGACTCCGCCGACACCGCCGCCAAGATCTACGAGGAGTGTGACGGCTTCGAGTACGAGAGCAGCTGCTCCGTGCTGGACCTCCGGTGAGAAAAACCACACGACGGGACATTCCCAAAGTATTCAGGGGGGGGGCGGGAGCCACATATTTGAATCTGCTGTCAATCACAGGTTCATTCCCGCGGGGGAGACGTTTGAGGACGAGCCCAGGGACGTGGCGACGGACGTGAACCTGTCGGCCTACACGCCCAAGCTGTTCACCGCCGCCGCCACCGCCACCTCAAAGGTGAGAAGATCCTCCACGAAAACGCCAGACGATGCAGCTCGGATGTTGTTCAGAGCGCTTTGTTCTGTGTGGTCGCTTCAGCTTTAACGTGCACAACGAGGCAGTTGACTGACGTGTGAGTCCGCGTTCAAACATCTTCAGGTGCAGCTGACGTGGGACGAGACGGACAACGATCGGGTGACCGCCCTCAACAGGAAGTTCGACAAGGACGAGCTGCTGGCGATGGACTTCAAGGCCTACCTGGCCTCCTCCAGCGAAGAGGAGGAGGAGGGAGCAGGGTTCGAGTTTGGAGATCCGCAGAGCGAAGACGGCGACGCATCAGCCGAGGGTGAGACGAAGGAACCTATCGAATCGTCCGATGAGACGAAGCGGCGCCGAACTGAACTCTCTGTTGGTCCATTTGTAGCCGCGCGGCCGGAGGAGCAGCAGCAGCAGCAGGAGGAGAAGAAGAAGAAGAAGAAGAGCAGTAGAGGCGAGGAGCAGATCTCCAAGTACAGAGAGCTGCTGAAAAGCATCCAGGAGAAAGAGAAGAAGCTGCACGAGGACAAAGACATGGGCATGGAGGTCACCTGGGTGCCCGGTACGAGTCGCCGCCCCGCTTCCATCTCGCATGTGTCGCGAACGTCGGTCCGTCTTCTGGAGGCCGGACATTTACTCTGAAGCGTCCGTGTGACTGTTTATCGGGTTGTAATGCGTCCGCAGGGCTGAAGGAGACGACGGAGCAGCTGGTGAAGAAGAAGCTGGAGGGGAAGGACCAGGTGACGCCATGGGAGGGCTACTTGCAGAAGAAGAAAGACAAGAAGAAGCAGAAGAAATCGGAGAGGAAAGAGGTGAGGTTTCTTTACCCAGGATGCATCGCTCGTACCATTGATTCATCTCACTCATCGACTTCCTTCCTTTTAAATTCAGCTCTGCGGCCTCAATGCTCTGTTTTAAAATATCTTTCTGTATCAGGGAGAGGACGAGGAAGAGCTCAGCGACGAAGACCTTCCCTCAGACGTGGATCTCAGTGACCCCTTCTTCGCCGAGGAGCTCTCTGCCGCAGGTGATCAGCGCGCTCATTAATCGGACAAACGAATGTTTAACTCTTAACACGCGAGGTGAAGACTGTATTTAAATAAACAATTATCGATCAGTTAATAGTTCAATGAGTTGTAACTCGGATACTTTTAGCTTGGCAGCACGTTTCAGTGTTCTGTGTGTCTGCAGACATGAAGAAGATAAAGGAGGCGAGGAGGAAGAAGAAGAAGAAGAATCAGGAGGAAGAGGAGCCGACCGCTGAGGACAAAGAGGAGCGGGAGAAACAAAAGGTCAGAGTTCAGATCCTGGATGGTCACGTCTGTGCGCCGTAGCCCCCCCTGACTGTGTGTGTGTGTGTGTGTGTGTGTGTGTGCGCGCGCAGGCGGAGATGGCTCTGCTGATGGAGGACGAAGGAGACGACGCCAAACACAAACACTTCAACTACGACGCGATCGTGGAGCAGCAGAACCTGAGCAAGACCAAGAGGAAGAAGCTGCTGAAGAAGAGCAAGAAGCCGCTGGAGGACGACGACTTCCAGGTGGGTTCATGATGGCGGGACGGGAGACTCAGAGCGTCAATTTAACTTCATTCCCAGCAGATTTAAGTCAGAATTCCTCCAGTTGAACAAATGCCAACGTTTTGTTCAATGAGGATTCAAACGTTCCCTGATCCGTGTGCCCAGGTGGACGTCCAAGACCCCCGCTTCCAGGCCATGTTCACCTCCCACCTGTTCAACCTGGACCCGTCCCACCCCAGCTACAAGAAGACCAAAGCCACGCAGAGCATCCAGGCCGAGAAGCACCGCCGGCGAGGGCAGAAGGAGGAGGAGGAGGAGGAGGAGCGGCGGCGGCGGCGGAGGGAGAGGGCGGACGAGGCGGCCCGCGAGACGCGGGGAAATGTCCCCGAGGCGCCGGCGGACGAGGACACCCCGAAGACGTCGATGGACCCCGGCTTGTCTCTGCTCATCAAGTCCATCAAGAGCAAAACGGAGCAGTTCCAGGCCCGGAAGAAGCCGCGGCTCGCGTAGGAGCGAGCGCACAGAGACACAGAACCGCGTTTAGTAGAAGCTGAATCACGCGTTGTGAAATGTTTAATTTTGTACAAATAGAAAATCAGTTCTAAACAGTTTCCTCGTAGTTATTTAAACGCCGCTGACGGATTGAGGCTCGTGCAACAACAAGCTGCCGATTACATAGAATTCATTCATCTCGCGATGGTGTAGATGTTGATGAGACGTTCATTTACAGAACAAAGCACAGGTTTGGATTTCTGTACATCGGGATGCTGAAGCGTCGATGCACAGCTTCAGTCCTGCAAATCATTTTGCACGTCTGTGTAACAACAAAGGTTGTTGTTGTTGTTTAACTTGTTGACAGAACACATTTTGTCTGCAGCTTTTCCACCTTTTTAATTAAAGAATTGCAGCAAGAAACATCAGTGGCTTGATTAGCGACATGGAATCAAAGGCACTTAATATGAAACGTATTAACATCTGAAGTACAAGGGAATTAATTTGCTTTGCAGCCTCTTCCAGACGTGGGACCAGTCGCACGTCTTCGCTCCACACGTGTTCCAGCAGAAGGTCCATCACGAAGGAGTCAATGCGAGGAGTCTGAAGGGGGCTTGTGGCCTCTACGCTCCTCCGGGGTACTCGAACACGGCGGCCGCCCCCATCCCGGTGCCGATGCACATGGACACCACGCCGTACGCCCTGAAAGGGGGGAGGGGGGGAGAAACCGCAGAGGGGAACGGTGAGAAAGCCGCTCGTCGTTGAAGAAGCGCTCGATTCTCGACTTGGCGGCCGTAAGCGGCGTCGCAATCGGACCTGCGGCCTCGGCGCCGGAGCTCGTTGAGCAGCGTCACCACCTGGCGGGCTCCGGTGCAGCCCAGAGGGTGACCCAGCGCGATGGCGCCCCCGTTGGGGTTCACCTTCTCCAGCGGGATGCCCAGCTTCTCCACGCAGTACACCGCCTAAAGAGGGGGGGGGGGGGGGAGTCAACAGCTAAACCCCCCGACCCTCGCCGGCGAAAAAATAAACTTCCCGGCGTTTGTCTGTGCGAGCGCACCTGACTGGGGAAGGCCTCGTTGATCTCAAACACGTCCATGTCGGCCACCGTCAGCCCTGAAAGGAAAGTGGGAGGAGTCTTATCCCCCCGAGATGATGTATTTATTGGAACGTTATCAACAAACGAACCACAAACTATCGGAAGCTGACGCGAAGAAGGAAAACGACGACCTGAGTGCACGTCTCACCCGCCTGCTGCAAAGCTGCGGGGATGGCGAACGCCGGTCCGATCCCCATGAGATCCGGCGGGACCCCCACCACCGCGCTGGCCCTCAGGACCCCCAGCACGGGCAGCCCCAGAGCCTCCGCCGCCGCCCGGCGACCGAGCAGCACGGCCGCCGCCCCGTCGCTCACCTGGCTGGAGTTACCTGAGGACAAGAGACCCGGGTTGAGTTTGGTGGTAGGGGGTGGGGAGGGAGGAGCCGGCGGCGGCGGAAGAGCCGGCCCACCTGCCGTGGTGCTGCCGTCGGGCTTGAAGGCCGGCCGCAGCTTGCTCAGTCCCGCCAGCGTGGTGCCCGCTCGGATCCCGTCGTCCTCGGCGACCAGCACCTCGCGCTCTGCGCCGCCGTCCGCGTGCCTGACGGCGACGGGGACGATCTCCCGCTGGAACCGACCGGAGGTCTGCGCGCGCGCCGCTCTGGAGGTCATGATGTCATTGCTTACGTTGGGTTACGTGTGCGCTTCTCAAAGCGGAGACGAGAGGATGATGATTTAAAATAGAATTACTTTCTTAAACGTTTTCATATCTAATTACTTACAATAAACTTTTTGGGAAAACTTTTATCAACTTAAAACACACATTGTGATAATTGGCTTAATATATTTTTGAATGAGGGCCAAAATGGAGATTGTGACCTTCGACCAACAAACTAATACGTTCATTCCTGAAGAAAAGGGGGCGGGCACTTTGACTCGCTCACTTCTGCTGAGAGCTGAGAGCGAAGGCGTCCTGCTTCTCTCTGGAGACCCCGAATCGCTCTGCGATGTTCTCCGAGGTGATTCTGTAAGGACGAGGAACACGTGGAGGTCTACAGGTCAGCCCCGATGGAACGATGCATGTTTAACAGAGCTGTTCTCCAACAAATGAGATTATCACAAATGTTGAGCTCGCTCTGACAAATTCCGGCATCGAGAATAAGTTTTCAAACTCCATGTCTGGATAGAAGGATAAGTGAACCCAAAGAACCTAAAAACTAATCCAATAACTCAACTGGTTCTACTACTTTGATGACATCAGTCAGTAGTAAGTAAGTAGAAGACGTGTTTCTAACACGAGCTACAGCGGACGGAGAGGCCTCACCCCATCGGGATGATGCAGTCTCTGGCTTTGTCCACCTCCGTCACCCTGGAGCTCAGATCTCCAGGTTCTCCTATGGCACGCAGAGACATGCTCTCCACGCTGTGACACACACACACACACACACACACACACACACACACACACATTATGTGATTTCAGCTGCACATTTTGACCCTGGAGTGATCACCAACGCACCCGCAGGCGAGTCCCAGGTCGATGGATCCGCTCCTGATGGCTCCTGCACAGAACAGAAGAGTAGATTAGTAGCAGAACAGAGAATAAAACACACGCCGCGCTGAGAGTCCGTACCTGCGATGTTGAACAGCGCCTGCAGGCCGGAGGAGCACTGCCGGTTGACGGTGTAGCACGGCACCGTCTCCGGAAACCCGCTGAGAGGAAAGAGAGAGACGTGAGACTGAGAATCCCTGATGACGACGATGACGATGATGACGAGTCTGACCTGAGGAAGTGAGCCACTCTGGCCATCAGAGCACCGGCACCGGGCTGCAGCACGTTACCTGCAGACAGAACACACACACACACACACGGCGAGCCTCTGGAATAGACATCCATGGATCGGTAGAGATGACGAGGGGGAGTAAAGGGGGAGACTCGTCTCACCGACGCAAACGTCTCCCAGCTTGTCGGGTGAAAGTCCAACATCTGTAAGCACAGCTGTCATCACGGCGCTCAGCAGCTCGTCAGGCGTGGTGTCCTGCAGGCACACAAGTATTACCAGCTTCAGGGAGTTCAAGTACACGAGTATTATCTGCTTCAGGGAGTTCAAGTACACAAGTATTATTAGCGTCAGGGAGTTCAAGTACACAAGTATTATCTGCTTCAGGGAGTTCAAGTACACAAGTATTATCTGCTTCAGGGAGTTCAAGTACACGAGTATTATCTGCTTCAGGGAGTTCAAGTACACAAGTATTATCTGCTTCAGGGAGTTCAAGTACACAAGTATTATCTGCTTCAGGGAGTTCAAGAACACAAGTATTATTAGCGTCAGGGAGTGCAAGTACACGAGTATTACCAGCTTCAGGGAGTTCAAGTACACGAGTATTCTTAGGTTAATTTAAACATAATTGAAATATCTCGTTTCTTGATGTTTTATGTCTGTTGATAAAGTAACGCATGCGTACTTCATTAGTACTTCCTCCCCTCGCCCCGCGCAGGTGAACCCGCTGCGGGCTCGTTTGTTACCTTGAACGCGCCCCTCTTCGCCTTCCCGATGGCGGTCCTCCGTCCGTGCACCACCACCACGTCCTGCGGGCCGCTGCCGCCCGCGGACCCGCACTCCGCCGCCCCCACATCCCGCGTCCCTCCCGCCGCCGCGCCGGGGGGCGACAAGTGGCCCGCGAGGATCTTCAATCGGTGCATGACGACAGCGAAGCGCACGAGCGTAATCCGCCAGGAGACGAGTTTGTACTCTGAGCTCAGCTGCGACGGGAAGCGCAGAGGGACAAACTGCGCCTGTCCGACGGAAACACTTCCGGGTTCCGCTTTTATGTCAGAATAAAAGCTGTACTTTACTACTATTATAATAATATACTACATAACACAAACCAAACAGTTGTTAAATAAGTACTTTGTATTACTGCGGTGTAGAAATACACTGCTACAAGTCTTTCATTCAACATTTTTTCTGACGGGTAAATGTACAAGTAAAATTGTTCATGCAGAATGCCCCCTTTCAGAATAAATGTCATTGTATTATACCGAGTGATACATTGTGTGTCCATCGTTATTGTTTCTAACAACTTTATATATATGTAATTTCAACCAGAGGTCGTTGTTGTGTTGTATTATTGATGAACAAACAAAGTTTTACATCCCAATCTTTTATTTACAAATTTGTCACAACAACATATTCATAAGGCCACCAGCTCACTGCACATTCTGGTTGGATCAGGTAAAAGGAAACAAAGACATCCAAAAATATGTTTCTTTAATATAGAATCATATAAAACGGTTTCTTTCCTTCATTTTCAAAGAGAGCAGAGTGCGTGAGGACACTTATTACAGAAATATTTACATCAATGCAACATAATGAAACACTAGAGCGGGATGTTTTTCAAGATAAAAGCATGACTGATGTCTGCATAATACTTTTCCTTGAATACGACACAAGAAAAGTGCAGTTAAAATCCTTTAGAATAGCCTGTTGTACTGCAGGCAGGTGTATTATAAATGGTTTCCACATTACAGAAGAGGAGAGTAGTGTGTAGAAAAGAAGTCAGGAGTGTGATCAGTTGTCATATTAACAAAAAGGTTATTATTCAGCTTTTATGGTTTTCAATACAACATTCAGAGCATCTTTCACCTCCACACGGCAGCTACCTGCATCAGTGCTGACAGAGAGAACAGTGATGCTGACCAGGCCAGAGCTACGTGAGAGTGTGTTGTTTTCTGCTATATTGACGCTCTGAATGTCTAAACGAACTTTTAAGTACCAAAAGAAGCGACAGTAAACAGTAAAGTAACAGTAGTGCTTCATCCTTCACTCCCACAGTTACCGCAGGAATGTTTGCGAATTGTTAAATTGAAACCGAAGTCCGATGGTTGAGATGAGAAGCTGAATGTGCAACATTTAAACGTCCGTGTGATTCATAAAACTGAACGTGTGATCTTTAAGGGAAGAAACCAAAAACTTGTTGTGTACGTTGGAGGCGACACGCAGACTGAATAATATATTTATTATATTTACTGAATTTTTTTGGAAGTGTAATTTTTAGTTGCACATTAAAAAACACATTTAGAAACACATTTAAATGTGTTTAGTTGAAGTAAAAAAAGTGAAAGTAAATAAGAGGCCTCTTCAGTTTGTATTTGTTCCAGAGTAATAGACTCTGGATCTAAATAATATTTTTAAAAGGGTTAAATATCAATGATTGTGAAGATAGTCCAGAAGACAATCAAGACACGTGAGCAGACTTTGGAGACAGTCGATGCGCCGCGCTGAGATTTGCAGATGAATTTGTCTTTATTTGTGTGTGATGACGACAAAATGCACCATCACACTGATAAGACGGTAAATCTCCCTTTAATACCTCTGGGCGTTTTACGACGTTAAGGGTAGTCGATCGATACTTTCACTGCCTTTTATCTCCCAGAAAGCGCTCGCATGTTTGTTTAGAATTCCTGCGTTACCACAACGGAAGGAAAACTGCTCTGACCAACAGCCGACGTAAACAAAGACAAAACAACAACAGAAGGAATGTGAGGTTCCAGAACGCTTCAGTAGTGCCTCCATGATCCACTCAAAACGCCGTCCTGTCTCCACGCCCCCCCCCCTCCTCAAACCGCTACCCGAGAACTCGTCTCCGCACTTTCAAAGTAAAACACAGCGTCTCCCCCCCCCTGCGGTCCCGGCTCAGGCGTAGAAGACAAGTTCGGGGATCTGGCCCCCCTGCACCCCGGTGCCGTTGGTGCTGTCCGAGGAGCACTGGAACTGGAAGGTGACTTTCCCGCACTGCACCTCCGTCATGCCCTCCTGGCCGAAGTAGCTCAGCTCGTTGCCGTCCAGCACCACGCTGGCGGTGTAGAAGGTGTCGGGCTCGATCTGCACCGGGTAGTCGAAGGACACGGGGAAAGTGCTGCTGGAGCCGTCCGAGAAGTACTTGATGACCTTCTGGGCCATGGACACGCCCTGGCGCTTCAGCTCGATCTTGGCGCTGTACTCGGCCGAGCCGCAGCTGGAGCCGTAGAGGCCGAAGCCGGCGATGAAGACGCGCTTGTCCACGGCGAACTGGATGCTGTCGCAGCGGCCCCGGTACCGCCACTGGTTGCTCCGGTAGGCGCAGGACTGGAAGCGGTGGCAGCGCTGCGGCGCCAGGCCCTTGCGGGGTTTGGTGCAGAACAGCAGGTCGGGCTTGTTGGCGGCCGTGTACCACAGGAAGATGTCGTTGGTCTCGGTGAGCGTGAGCACGCCGGACTGCGCCGCCCCGTTGGCGAAGTCCTCCAGGACCATGGTGGGCACGCGGATCAGGTAGATGGACTTCCCCAGCACCAGCCGCCTATTCTCGATAGTCGGCGCCAGGTCCTGTCGCTGGCACTCGGCCTCGGCCCAGTTCAGCGCCGCCTCGAACACCACCATCTCTTTGGCGTTGAGGGTCTCGCGCCGCAGGATGCTGTCCAGCGTCTGGGTGTCGATGTCGCAGAAGCCTTCGGAGCGCAGGGCGAGCTCGGCCTGGGCGTCGATCACCTCCCAGCAGCGCTGCGTCAGGTCGGGCTCCTCGAACAGGCAGCTCTGAGACAGCAGCACGCAGGCGTTCTTGGCGCTCAGGCTGGTCTCCAGGAAGTTGACGCAGGCGCGGGCCAAGTGAGGCACGATGTACTTTTTGGCGGCGTAGAGGGTGGCGAGCACGGTGTCGGCACACAGGTCGATCTCATCGCAGTAGATGTACCTGGGGCGACGGAGGAAGGCAACAACGTGAGAGATGAATGTAGTTTGTTGTATATAGACCTATATTTAGGTCTAAACAAGTTTGCCTGGTGCTTTTTACATCGTGTCGGGTGTCTCCATAGAGACGAAGCTAAACGTGCGCTGGACGACTTACTTCAGCATGGCCAGGAAGGAGGGAGGCTCCACGTCGGGGATCCGGATCTCTTCCTGGTCCTCCGCCAGCTCTCCATAAAACATGGCGTGGAACACGGAGCTGCCGACGGCCAGGACGTACTGAGCACAGAGCAGAGGACACAAATCGGACTCACTCAGACTTTTATGAAGGAATTGAATGTTGTTGAAAGATAATCAAGTTGTAACCATCCACAGTTTGTCGGTCGTCAATTGTTTGAGTCAAAATAAAAAGAAGAGATTTGGTTTAAACGGATGTCTCGGGGGTTTAGGGAGCCCATTACTGTACCTTGTGACCCGGAACCCGCTGCGTCCCGCCGGGCGGCCCGACCACAAAGTGAACATCTGCCATCATCTCATTGTTGAACATGACTGAATTCCTGCAAGAACACAACATTCATTCAATCCCATGAAACCTTCAGTTATGGTCCTGCATCAGGAGAAATGTGACCGGTCAGCCTTTCATTGGGGGGGGTCTTTTCAGACAGACCTCTCCCTGATGGTGGGGAACAGGCCCTGCCAGTTGCAGCAGCGCTGTGCGGCTCTGGAGGTGTTGTTGTTGGTGAGGTTCTGCTGCTGGTACTGCTGGATGGAGGAGGAGGAGGTGGAGGAGGAGGTGGTGGTGCTGCTCGCTGAGGCGGAGGGGACCAGCTTCGTGGTGGGAAACGGCTCTGCAGCCATTATCTTCCAGTCAGACTTCAGGCCGGGTCATGGCAGCTCCGGGGCCCGGACTGAACGGCTGCTGTCGGACCGGCGGAGCCTCAGAGCGCTGCGGAGGAAACGCGACCCGCCACGTTACCCAAGCTAGCGACACATAGTCAGTTATATCGGCGGGTTTTGTTTAAAATGACACCATTAAAAAAACTAACTTATATGGAATGCAGGTAATATTATTTAGTCTGAAATGCGAAGCGAGCTAATGTTAAAGTGCAAAGCCCGTTTATGTCTTTTTGGTGTCAACTTTAGCATGTGTATGCTAGTTAGTTAGCTAGCTGTTAACTAAAAGGCCGTTCTCCGAGTTAATTTCTTTGTCAGCATTTAACTATTTGACGAACAAGTCCGTTTGCACTTACTTTATTGTCGTGTGGATGTGTTTCTAATCATATCTGCTCTTCACATTACGCAGGTTTTGAGTTGTTTGACAGACTAACGGCTCAGCTTTGTTTACAGTAGCTAGCTCTCTTCTTCTGTTGCTCTATTTACGGTGGAGTCGACTCTTCAGAGGCGCAGCGCTGCCCCCCGCCGGCCGGAAGTAACAACGACACTTCAGACTCCCCCGTGGGCCCGATTCCACTCGGTGGAACACATTTATGAACATTTGTTGAGACGAAGTAAAATGGCTTCAGTTTGAAGTATTATGACCTTTTCTTCCTCACGTTTGTCATTTATTTTTATCTTTATTTTAGCTTGTGGAATTAAAGACTAATGTGTTGTCATAGCGAGCAGCTTCCAGTGTTTTCTGTCTCTAACATGTGAGGCTGTGAAGAAAATTAAAAAATGACATAAAAAAACTTAACAATGTACAACTCAGTTCTTTATTGTTGCTCATAAATCACTATCCCATTTTGTAAATAACAAAAAAACGACAACACCTGTATATACTTAATGTACAGCCAGATTAGCATATATAATCTCTCTCTAACAGTTTCACTGTACACATTTAAGGACAACAATCATTTACAGGCAGACTGAACAGGTTTTATTCAGCTCTACTTTTGGCCACTGAAAAAAACAAAAACAAAAGATAAATCTGAAGAGTTCAGCTGCCTCACATCACTACTGGCTAGTGTCACCGCTTATGTAGTGTGAATGCCGCAAAATCAGATCCGATGGTTCAATAAACAAAAGGTAAATTAGATTAAATCAATGGAAACACACAGATTCTATTGCTCTGAAACTTTTCTGTTGGTTGATACGCTTAGTTTGTCCACAAGAAGCCAGCTGCTCCGTTTCTCTCCGTTTTGTTCCTCTGTACATGTTCATACTTCAGAAACATAATGCTTAGCAAAAGTGCACATGGATGTTCAGGTGAATGTAAGCAGAGCAGAGCGCTCCGCTTGGTTAATCGGATGAACAAGAACTCCGCGCTGGTGGATTTCATTGTGGGGAAAAAGTTATTTTTAGTCATTTTCTTTTAAAGTAATGATTTTCATCTGGAATTCTTGAGACATGAATTAATGTTGTTTAACGTCTGCGGATCTGATGATTTTGTTTCCATCGGTGAACAAAAATCCCCCACTGGATTTCTCACACAAACCTGAATTCAACCGTTTTTTTGTCTTGAACACCCGAATTAAAGTTGGAATACCAACAAACTCTCTGGTCACGTTGTCACGAGATGAAGGAACAAGCGTCAACGCAACCACACTCCATCTTTGATCTCTCGTCGCTTCGCACTTCCCCTCAAATTACACCACATAAATACATCTGCTTTAATACTTAAAAACTGTACACGTATGCGTTTACCCTTTTTACACCGGATCGATTTACGTCAAAACGAAGGACACAAACTCCCCAAAAGGTTCCTCCCCACGAACACAGCTGCGTTTCTGAGATGATAATTTGGTGCAAAGCAAAAAGAAAAGTGTTACGTAGTGCTGAGAGGCGACGTTTTGTGTATTTGTACTTCTTTACAACACCAGCAGAAACCCCAAAAGGAATACACTTCACTTTTCAAGTAAAACAGAGAACACAACTTTAAAAAGATCTACTTGTATCTTACAAGTCCGTCACCGAACAACAAAGAGTCGTTCAAAAATAATGTAATAATAACACGGATAATAATTACACAAAATACAATATTCTCAGGCGGGCAGCATGTGAAGCGCGGAAGAGCTTCGTGCACTTTGGGAACTAAACAGCTGTTAATAAAAGTGTCGCACTACCGTTATTTCGCAACAGATCAGCAGCAGCCGTCCGGTGGGAAGCGTCTCGTTGTCCCGGTTTGATCTTTTGGCGTCTTTGAGTGATAAATAAATATTTTAAATGACTAAAGTAAAACAGTTTGTCAGAAATTTTCAGCTATAAATAAACACGATAAAAAAGCAGCAGGTTTTCAAATGGAGCCTCGCGACCACGGCGTCGATCAGAAGAGATTCATCCCAAAATATCTCACAAAAAAACTCACCGGTTGAGAATTTAAAAAAAAGAAAAAAAGGAACTCATTTGTTGTTTTCACTTTGGAGAGAAGCTCTTGATTTGATCTAAAAGTGTCACATTATGTGTTTTTACAGTTATCATCAACAACATGGCACAGCTGGGCAGGTGTTTAAAGCTCTAAAGAGTTTAATCTCAACATGACAGTGGCCAGAAAGCCCTTTGTCGTCGGTCTGTGCAGGTGTGCTGCTCAGGTGGGAACGTGGAGGATGGACTCCTAAAGGGCCAGTGAGAAGGAAGTTTGATAAGACCCATTGACCGAAATCGAATAAAATATAAATAACTATGTTTGTATTATTGTATAAACACCTAAAACTGAGAATTATTGTGTCTTTATCTGCTGGGAAGTAACGGTTCACATCGAGCGCCTGTAGTTCCCCCACCTGACCACTAGAGGCCTCTCTGCCCGACACGCTGCTCCTTTAAACTCACGAGCAACGATGTTTAAAACATACGTTTTAAAGTACGACACCGGCTTATTTTTCTCTTTCATTCCGCGCAAAAATAAGGAATAGAAACGAATGAGCAGTTATTTGTCTGTTGCTCCGTGACGTGAACGCCGTGATGCTTCTTCTCTTTTTCATTTTGAAGTAAAACTCTCCGGATGTTTGTGTTGGAATCTGTCCTGATTCCAGACCAGTGACCAGACCTCCAGACCTTTACGGGGTCTCCAGAAACTGACTGAACAAAAGTCTTCTCCGGGCTAAAGGCAACAACTTAAATGGGAAGTTTAAAATAAAATAAAACCTGTATTTTTTTCTTCTTTGAATTTGGACTCGTTAGGTTTCTTATTTTTTTGTGACAAAAAGGTCAATTTTTGTCGTGGATGAAATACATTTTCCTCAACACCTAAAATAATTCCTGTAGTGAAGAATAAAGGCACATTAATCATGAACAATGTGTTTTTATGGTAAACAAAAAGGAGAAAATAAATTCCAGCTTTACTAAAATGTACCGAGAGTTCCTGCCTTTTCGTATGTATCTTTTTCCCACTTCCTGTTCCATTCGCTGTCTGCATGTTTGCTTTCGGGACCCGGGCCAGCCTAAGTCCAAAAGGAGGGGGGGGGAATATTTCACAAATCTTAAAAAGGAGCAGTCCGCGTAAACAATCACCTTCAGGTTTTCTGCTTCCTCCGCCAAACTCTGAGGTGTAGGCCAACTCCACCCCCCCACCCGCTTCCCTTTTTCCTCCCCGCTGCACCCGTTTCAGGTCATACGAAGACCTTGGCGAGCGCGTCGGCCCCGGCGCTGCCGATGTAGCACTTGGTGGGGTGGAACGCCACGTCGTGGATCGACTCCTCCGACTTCTTGCGGTGGGCGGTGAACTCCTGGATGCACGTCTTGCTCTCCATGTTCCACAGGCGGATGGAGCAGTCGTGACCTGGCGGGAGGAGAGGCAGAGCCGATGAGGATGGAGGAAGGGGGAAGGGGGGAGGAGGGAGGGGGGAGGGTAAATAAACTTTAATGGGTCTTGAATGTGAATTGTTAAAGGTTTTCTTTTGTTTTCATTTTGGGTCTCTGGGTTTCGATCTACGTCATGTGATCTGGAGCGAGAAACATCGGTGTGGTGGTCGAGGACTCACTTCCAGACATGAGGTAAAGTCCGTTTGGATCCACGGCGAGGCACGTGACCGCGTCCAGGTGAGCGACCATCGAGTGGATCGCTTTACCTTCAGGAATGAGAAAAAAAAAGTCTTCAACAAAGAGAAAAAGCAGAACATGGTGATCACAAGGAGCCACGTTTTAATGAGAAGAGGATTCTTATCTTTTGTAATCGAGGTGATGTACAGTCCATCTAACAACGTTAAACAATCTTATTTCATGAAAAGTTACACAGTTAACTGCTTCCTGACGATGAATCTATTAAAACCAGACGTGTGAGACGTGTGAGGCCTCAGCTGGGCAGAAAAGTGAAGGAATATTCCACCACTGGATGCATTTAAAAACCTGGACGGACTGAATCATTGAAAGGAGGACGCACACCGGACGCCAAATAAACTCCTACGTTTCCCAAAATGCAACTCAGTGGCATCCTTCATTAAAGCCTCCATGAACGACGATTTAAAAAACAACCTTTTGAAGTTAATTAAGTCAAGCTGAGATCAAACTTCATGCTGATGTCATCAGTCTTTTTCTCATCCTCAGTATTTATGAACTGAGTGTGGATAATTCTCAAAAAGTGTGAAGCTGGTGGCGTGGCCCTTTAAATGCGACAAAGAGGCCTCCTCTGCAGCAGCCGGTGATGAGGATGATGATGATGATGATGGCATGATGTTACCTGTGTTATTATCGAAGAACTGGATGTGCCGGTCCTCCTGAGCCGTGATGGTGATTGGCAGCGTTGGGTGACTCAGCACCTTGTTGATCCTGCATGGAGCTTCTGTGCGGGGGCGGAGGTGAGAAGGACCACGTCAGCATTTCAGAACCTACAATCCTGATTAGACGGTTGATTTATCGCCGCCCCCCCCGTCGACCCGGCCGGTCGCTGGTGCCTTTATTTACCCGGCGGTCCGGCAGACTCCAGCTGCAGGACGAGCTGCTGCGTCTCCATGTTGAAGAGGCCGATGCTGCCGGTGCTGAAGGACGTCACCATGTGCGCCGGGTCGCTGCTCACCAGGTCCACCGAGGTCGGCACCCCGAGCTCTGACACAAGCACACGGGCCGAGTGAATTCAAGCGTATGGACGTGGCGTGAACACGTGATATGCGCCTATGTTACTCCGGTTAAATCGGGTGGAGGAATGTGAATGCGAACGTTTACGTATAAATACGTAGAATGTCTCTGGTGTAATTTAGTTCTCTACGTGTCTGAAGCACAAACCCGCCCCCCCCCACCTCACCTCCTCTCTCGTTGAAAACGGCGAGGGCCGGCGAGGTGTCGGCGGCGTTCCACAGCCGGACCGTCCCGTCGGCAGAGCAGGAGAGGAGGCGCTGGTGGGCCGAGCTGTAGACCAGACCCCACACCGAGTCCGCGTGGCCGCACAGCGCCCCCCGCAGCACGGAGGGCTCTGCCGGATGAAGAGCAGCGAGAGAGCAGCGTGAGGCGTCGAGAAACATGCCGCCAACCAGCCGCGGGGAAAGCGCGGAACGTACCGTACGAGTCGTAGGGGTCGATGTTGGGGCTGGGGGTGTTCCAGCTCTGGACGGTGCCGTCCACCCCCCCACTGAAGCACTGCTCGCCACTGGAGCTCATGGTGACGCACAGCACGGCGCCGCTACAACGTTTCAAGCATTTCGTTATGGCCGAACTCGCTCTCCCTTTTTATGGAATCATCCCAAAATGCATTTTAAAGCTGGATGTATGTAAATGTAAGCGGAGCAGTTCTGCTCTACATATATTATATATATATATATATATATTCCATATAAGACATCATAATGTGTTTTAGTGCGCAGGAACAGAAAACGGAAGGAGGATCTGACCTGTGAGCTCTGAAGGTGTAGATGGGCTCCACGTCCAAGGCGGTGCACCTGGAGAACAGAGCAACAAACTGCTGGTGACGACTGCAGGCGAGGTACGCGCCGCCCGGGCGAACCCAAATGTGCTTTGCGCTCACTTCTTGGCGGGCGCCGTCTTCTGGAGGTTCCACAGCTTGAGGGTGTGGTCCTCGGAGGCGGTGACCAGGACGGGCTCCACCGGGTGGAAGGCCAGACCCCGCACCGAGTCGAAGTGGCTCCGCAGGGTGAACTTTGGGTTCCAGGTCTTCCTCAGAGCGTCCGTGTTGTTGGTGATCTGAGGGACGGCTCGCACGTGGTTACTGTGCCCACGGAGCTACAAACAGACGGCGGCGGCGGCGGCGAGGACTCCGGGAAGTCTTTTCTAAACTGTGAACAGTAATAAAAAGCTCGGGACGTCACTCACGTCGTACGCCAGGCTCTCGGCCTCGTTGGCGACCGTCAGTCCGGCCAGTTCTCCCAGTCCCAGCTCGTTGGACACCGCCTCGTCCACTCGTCCCATTATGAAGGACTTCCCGGAGGACGGCAGGAATGTCATCGCCTCTACGGAGAGACAAGACAGGAGGAGCTTCTGAGTGACCGCCGACGGCAACGAGCGAGGCGGGAAGCAAGGGGTCAGCTCACGGGCCGGTTACCGTCTTCGGGGCGCCCCATCTCCTGCTCGTTGAGTCGGGGGACACTGGGGCGGGACGGGGGCGTTACCGGCGGCGGCTGCATGGGGGGCTCCTCCCCCTCCCGCAGGTTAGCTAGCATGTCCTGGAGCCGAGAGCGGTTCGGTCCTGGAGGAGGAGGAGGAGGAGGAGGAGGAGACAGCGGGGAAGAGAATAAGGAGGAATGATGAAAAAAAGAGATGAGCACAACAAGGCCAAATAAATCCCGCGAGTTTGTGTTGTCACAAGGAAAGAGAATGAAATCAACGTGAATTAAAGCAGGAGATGATGCAGCAGCTCTGCAAAGTAACGAACAGAGGAGGTGAAGACAAATAAAAGCAGACACACAAAGTGACGGCACACAATAATAAGAACAAAAGGAGGAGGAAACGTGGCAGATGGACAGCAGACAGTGAAGCGACAGGACGGAGATGTGGAGAGATGGAATCGCTGCCAGTCGCCATCAGAACCCGGCTGGGCCGCTGAGCCGGCAGCAGAATCCACTTAGAGAAAAGCCGACTAAGGCCCCAGATCTCTCTCTGCTGATGAGACGCCTCGATGGAATCAGAGGAAGAGATCGGACTCAACGCGACGGCACAAAGTAAGCGGGGACAGAGACGGGACGGAGGGACGTCCACGCGCCGTTACACCTCCCGGAGGTCTGACCAGAGGCAGATTACGAGCCGTGATCGAGTCATTCAAGTGTTGGGAATAAATGTGCCGGTAGGTTTTCATCGTTTAGGAATTAAGTGTGGATTCATTCTCATGAACACACAATTGACTAAATGTGGTTGAAATATCTTTCAGACTGAGAGGGCGAGAAAGGAGAGAGAGAAAAGTCAAATGAGGAGAGGATGGAGGCGAGAGGACGAGCCGCGGGCCTGATGAGGACTTACTCTTCACCCCCTTCTTGCCCTTGCGTTCCTTCCTGTACCGCTCCTTGAGCTGGGCTATGAGTCCCTGGTCCACGTCCCAGGCCACTTCCCCCAGAGCCGACTCGTCCTTCTCTACAGGCCGGCAGGAGGAGGAAGGTGTTATAAGGGTCTGCATGCACTACGACAGATGTGACACACCTACTGAGTCGGGTTTTCTTCTCTCGGCCTTTTGTAGTTTTGACCATAAACTCTTCTGGTTTGCAGAGAAACAGATACCAACGTTTTAGTGCTTTGAATAAACACCTATTTTCAGAGCATTTGATGTGATGAGAAGAAAAACTAAACATTTTAGCTTTAAAAGCCTCTTTATTTCATCTTATGTCGGTGTATTATGGCCGCGGTTAGCCTAGCTTAGCATAAAGACTGGCAGCAGGGGGAGACGGTTAGCCGTACAAATCAAATCCAGGATCAGGTTTAGAGGCGATGGTCTGTGTTTTTATTTTATTTTTACATGACCAGGCCAGCTGTTTCCTCCTGCTGCAAGTCTTTATGCTAAGCTAGGCTAACCACCTTCTAAATCCAGTTAAAAGTTTAACGCTCATCTTTATTTTTACCTCCAATCAATCCGTCTGCAGCAAATCAGAGAGCTCAAACTACAAACATTTCAGCCTCTACACCAAAAAAAAAAAGAAAGTTGCGTCTGACGAAGTGAATAAATACGACGTGATGAGCCACGTGACAACGGACAACCGGCTCTTTGACTCCGCTGAGGCTCCGAACATCGACAACGAGGAGAAACAAGAGCAACGTCCCGCTGGTGTCAAACACACAAATATGAAACAAATACACCGTTGAATGTGGAAACTAAAATGGGACACGGGACAAAAAAAGGGGTGAGAAGTGAAGAAAAAGCAACAACAGCTGGAATCCAAATTAAACTCGGACGGTTCTCTGCAGATCTGGAAGTCAAAGCAGGACAGACTTTTTATAAAGAAGCCAGAAAAACCTTCAAAGGGCAGCGTGAGGGACTTCTACTTGTGAGCTGAGGTGCTACAGTGGAGTTAAAGACCACAGAAGAAACACAACGTACTGCAGTGGGTGTATTGTAGAAAGAAATCAGTGTGTTTGAATATAAACTTTCTTTTTAAGGGGAACTAAACTGTAAATGAAACTTAGAGCATCAACTCTGTTTATAAAATGCACCGTAGACGTATTTATACTGTAGACGTGAAATTCACACCAAAACAGTATGTTGTATGTATGTAAAATGCATCCACTCTGTGCTCCTCTCGGAGATCTGTGTGTCCACAGGAGGACATTGTGCTGCTCCTCAAACCTCCGTCTACTTCGATGGAGAAGTACCTCAACCGACCCCCTCTACAAATGAGGCAAACATCATTCAACCAAAATGATCTCTTCTGTCAAAGACAGATTGTTGCATTGCACCAAACAGCAGTGAGGCGTTCCTCGGCGCCAGATGAAGAGAGTCGGGGCAAATATCCACGCAGCTTTTTCCTCGCCCGTGAGTCAGCACTCCTTTACAACCCGCACGCTCAAGTGGTGAATCACCGCCTGCGTGGGGGAACACTTTCTATTTATTTATTTTGTCGTCGGCCGCACGACACTGAGCGCGTTGCTTAGGAACAGCAGAGAGCGGGAGGTGGGTGAGTAAACTGCGGGGGCCGCCGGGTCGCCAGCTGGGAACTTTATTTTGTAAGGAGTCGCATTTGGAGGTATTGTGTAAAACGGGAACCTGCCTCAGAGACACTTTCTATCTGTATTATTTAACACTTCCTGTCCTTCACAAAAAAAACCCTCCGCCCAAACGGCCGACGTGTCCCCTCGTCTCACCCCAGTCTCCGCTGTCCTCCCCGCTCCTGGACTCCGGCGAGCCGTCCAGCTCGTCCGGACTCGCCAAGAAGTCGAAGCCCTTCAGGGCCTCCTCCGTGTCGGGGTCGTCGCTGAGGTCAGAGGTCGTGGAGGAAGGGGTGGATGACTTTTTCTTCCTCACCATCTGGCAGGGCGAAGAGGAGGACGGTTAAGCGATGTGGCGGACAGCAGAGGGGACGACGGGTCACTTCTGTCTCCTCTGCAGGTGGAATAAGACCTTCTTAAGTCTGAACATTTCACACGTAAACTGGTACCAGACACAGTGAGCGTGTGGAGGAGCCGACATTCAAACATGTAAATACATGGAGATACAAGGTCGTGATTGGACAGGAAAGCGATGAAAAGCTTTCCTGTCCAATCACGACCTCGTGTCTCCGTGTGTGTTGAGGTTCAATGTTTGTGGCAAAGTGGAGGATGAAATGTTCCTTCGTCCTTCTTCTACAACTAAATAAACTCCTTAAGAAGCTTCTCGGATCAGCCGGAGAGATGCTACAAAAAGGACGATTTTATAGAATAGAATTTGGATTAAAGTAGCCAGCAGGAAAAAAGAAAAGGAGTTAAACACGTTGTTAACATTAAAATACAACGTGCACATTAATGCCGCAGTAGTATGAATCCAGAAATATCACATGCACTAGTAAAACATGTTACTACACTGAAGTAGAGGATGTGTTGTGAGCACGCAGAGCTGTGAGGTCAAACAGCCTTAAGAACTGTATTCATGTCTTACTGTAGCCACGTCCAAGATGGTCTTGTCCCTTCCTTCGCTGTCCTCGTCTTCGTCCTCGTCGCTGAACTCGGCCGCCGCGCTCTCGATGAACTTGAAGGCCTCCAACACGGTGGCCGAGTCCGACATGTCGGGTTTACTGGAGGGGGGGGAGGAGAGAGCGGGGTAGAGGGGGGGGGGGGGGGGTTAATAAGGGGGGGTGGGCGTTTTTTTTGGGGGGGGAGAGGGGGGGTCTCCTCTCACAACTGAACACGCCGCTGTCCTTCAGGGAGGACGGTTCGGTGCCGTTGACCATCGGCTCGGCCTTCCTCTCCGACGGCTTCTCCCCCGAGTCTCCGGTCAGACCGAGCAGCGCTCTCACCCGCTGGGACTTCACATCCAGGATGGTGTCCGTGTATCCCACCTCCTGCAGGTACCTGGGAGACGAGGGACGGGTCACAGGACGCTCCGGGGACAGAGGTGGAACCTATCGTGGGTTAGTCTTCTCGCAATGTGCCGATTTAATATCATGTGTTTTAACCAACCGGTGAAGCCGAAGCTAAAATGCCCCCATTTGTTCACTCAAGTTGTCTTTAGTGAACAAACGACAAAGACAGATGGGGACAAAAAGAGGACAAACATCCTATCAGGTTGAGCCACAGATATTATATTTCTGAATTCTCAGAGACGGGAACGAACAGTTTCCCCTTCGTTCGGTTTCTCGTTCTCTTCTCCCCGAGGCGTCGGTGCCTCGCTGTACCCGCTGAGCTGCACAACAACGATGACATCAATGGAGCGGCGTCCTTAAAGGGCAACGCAACGGACCGACCTCCCCGGGAATCAGTGCAGCGATGTTTGGAGAGACGCACAGAAAAGAAAACGGAATATTCTCCCCCAACGTTGGCATTAAAAATCCCTCAAATGATTCTGTGACATCGTCATACGAGTTAGAAACGTGAGCACGTCTCTGCACGAGGAGTTTACCCGTCAAGTCCAAATGTCCAATAAGAATCCAGATGGCCGATCAGACGTCGGAACTTATCTGAACCCCCCGAGACAGCGAGATGAGCGGCGGCGCCGGGCCGAGAGCTGCGTTCTATCCAGAGGGTTTCTCCCCAGTGGACGAGGTTTTATTGTGAATACTGTCTAGTGTGTTTGTTCGCACACACACACACACACACACACACACACACACACACACACACACACACACACAGAGAGAGAGAGAGAGAAGCTCCCTCTGTACCAGCCTCTCCGGTCGCCTCAATGCTTCCACACAATCCTCCATTCACGGGCGCACACAGGCACCGCTGACACGCACAATCCAGATAAAGAGCAATATGTCTCTGAATGAATTATGACAGTAAGAAAATAAGAAGACGGAGCTTTGGTCATAACCTTTAGAAGTAGAACACTGACAAGAGAAGAGAAGAAGGTCACTGTTTGCACTACACACTACACCTAAGTAACGTTTTCTATTTACCTTCTCTTGTGATTGTGTATTTTCATATTAGATTTTCACACAAATTTAAACAATTCTTTCACCCTCGTCGGCTCCAACTGGTCACAGTGGATCGGCGCGTTTGGTTCCAATTAAAAGTGTTTCATCTTCGTTCTTCTGAGACACACACAAAGTCAGCTGTGTGTGTGTGTGTGTGTGTGTGTGTGTGTGTGTGTGTGTGTGTAAACCCACTGTCTGAGCAGCTGGCGTCCTTGTTTCCAGCTGAGCTGATGGCTGCTGTTCGGGGGACTGGGAGCCTCACTGTCCCCCCCCTCGTCTGAGAGAGAGAGAGAGAGAGAGAATCAACACGTTTCCATTCATTCATTCAGCTCCTCCTGCCGGGTTCGTGGTGCGTGAAGGAGTCCACGGGGAGGCGTCCTGATCACGTCCGACCCGAAAGGCCTCAAAGACCTTAGAGACGCGATGCAGTTGAAAGCTCCACAATGAGCTGATGAGAGAAGAAACCCTCTCGACGGCGAGGCGTCGCCTACGTGTTTGGGACACGCCAGCAGGATGTGACGAAGCGAGAAGGAGAGCCGGGTTCTTACCGGAATCGTAGCTCGGAGGAATTATCTCCCCCTGGTTCAGTTCGGTCCCATATTTCGTCTTGTGGTATTTGGCCCTGAGGGGGACAAATGGGTTAAAACAATAAGTGAGCAAGCTCGCTGGCCGTTAGGACGTCTGCTTTATTTCCTCATTAAATGTACGTATTAGTGGCGTTGTTCAATAATAGACAATCATTTGAGACCAGTGAATGTTAAAGATGCAAAATGAGCTGAACCATCTGCAGGAAACGACCAGCAGCAAGTTGCCAACCAGAAAAACCCCCGAAGGAGCTTTAAAGTGCTGCTGACACTAAACCACGAGAGCTAGATTTATATTTCCCACAACACCCCTCTTCCAGACCTGCCAATCAAACGCTAGACATCCGAACCGTGTGAAAACCCGTCGCCGGATTATGTGATTCATTACCAATAATTCTTTAAGAGGATAAGCTGCTCTTTGAGGTGGAGGAATCCAACTGAAATCATATTTGTCCCCTCGAGTCCTATAAATTCCTCGTCACACTTCAGATTATTGAGTTTCTAACGCAGTCTTTGGCAACATATGTTTTTATTATTCAAGAAGTCAATAAGTAATTTCTTCTATCAGTAAGCGGGAACATTTTCAATCATTCAACTTAATGCATTAACAACAAAAAATATATTTTTTCTATTATTTACGAATGTATGTATCTGTTTGTCCTTTCTTGTGAAAAGCAAGAATGTATCAAGGCTTGGATTTAGGGTATAAAGTTGCCCGAGCGTGTGTGTGCGCGTGTGTGTGTGTTCTCACCGCTCCTGCTTGAGGACGTACTCCAGCATCTTGATGCGTCTCACCAGGTCTTTCTTCAGGTTCTCCTGACCTCTCCTCTCCCCCTGCAGGAAGGCGATCTGAGCCTAGAAGGAACGGAGGAAAGACTCTTTTTATCACTTGGGTTCTTGAGACTGGATCCCTGTTTTCCATCAAACGCATTATGACAAAAGCCACGAGAGCATCTAAAGTCCAACATGAAGATGAGGATGAAATAAAATCCCTGAATCAACAAATCTTCTATTAATGATCTGCCCTGATGATGGTGGGCCCCCAAAGCCTCCTGGGAAATGGGACAGAGCCTCAAAAGGTGACCGCCTAACGTGTCCCCGCGGGTCTGATCGCTCCTAACGTCTCTTCTCAGACGCGGGCGGCGTGGGAAAAAGGGAGCGGACGACATGTGACCGCCTCGGGGGTCGAAGGTCAACCGGCGGGGCGAGCGGAGGAGAAAGCCCACGGGCGACCTGCGGGCTGGAGAAACGTCGCTCAAGCGTTCAGTTCGCTCGCGTACACCCGACACCGATGTGACGGAGCTTAAGAGGCCTTCTTGCAGCAGGAGCCCAGATGTTCCACAGCTGGACTGACGACATCAGAGGTTCGCGGCTCTGCTCCTCCTCCACAGGACGGAGGGCTCCAAGAACCAGTCCACACCGAGAGGAGGAGAAACTGGTGAAGAGAAGCCGATGTTGGTTCACGGAGTTTAAAGCCAAACTTGGCCGAGCGGTCTGTTGCTTAAAGGGACTTTTCTCATGAGAAAATGCTCAAAATAACCGAGATAGTCGCTGACTCATCTTCTGCAGAGCATCCAAAGCCACCAATCCAAAAAGGGGTTTCGGGCGCTCAGAAGACGGAGGCCCAGCCGGTGGAGACCTGAAGGTGTGAGAAGGTTCTGATCGGAGCAGAACGGACGCCGCAGCGCTCCGTTAACCTCGACTTCCAGGCCATTTCACACGCTAACCAACCGGCCTGCACGTTAGCACACACACACACACACACACACACACACACACACACACACACACACACACACACACACACACACACACACAGAGGAGGAAGTAGGACACTGGCCCTTCCTTCCCGTCAGGCGCACACACACACACAAGTGGGTCGCTGTGCACTCGGGGGCCACCGGGTTCACGGAGATGACGGCGGCTCATCGCTGAGAAGACGACGCACTGATAATAAAGTTAATATGGGCAGAAATGTGACCATTCACGCTTGATTTTAATCAACAAACCGTATTCCCGCTCCAGGAAAAGCTCGTGACTGGTCATTATTGCGTGTGAAGACTTTCTCAACACGCAAAATAAAAAAAGGTTTTATTGAAGCCAGTGGAGGTGCTGTGTGCTCGCAGTGACCTCGCAGCGGAAGGCTTCCGTGTAGGAGGCACCGGGGGCGTCTTTTCTCATAATTATAGATCTCAGTGAAACATGTGGACGTCACATTTTAGCAGCAGCCAGTAAAACGCTTCACGGAGCTGAATGCGGAGGCAGGAAAACGAATCGATAGCAGAGGTCACGCTGTGACGCCGTCGCGGAAAAAAAAGAGGCTGTTTTCCATTAAAAACGCTTCGATGACCTCAAACCTCTTCTGTGATTTAATCGTGTTGCTTTTTCACTGTGGTTTCCACTCCAGTTAGACTGAAGATCCTCTGGTGCAGTAAATCTGTGAAACAGGTTGGAAAAGACCTTCTGCTTTTAACTAGTTCCTCTCATGTTCCCCGCGTATCTAAATCCCACGATATGAAATCCCATCCGAGCGGGAAACGAGTGGGCCAACGATCGTTATTAATAACGTCTACAGCGAAGGAGCCATATCGATTCACCGGCTTAATTAAACCGTACTGCTCAATTGTTTTTTTTCAGCAGAGAAAGGAACGCGTTTCTATATTTATTCCAGTGTTATATTGTCTGGAAGTAACTCCATCTGGACTTTTCTTCTCGTGCAGTCCTTCGTGTTTTAAACCTGCATTCTCTTTGCCGACCAGCAGGTGGCGACTCCTCCGTCTGCCAAAATAAGTCTGACTGTATAGAAGTGAACTTTTTTAGGTTTAAGCTAGAGTTTCTCTGAAGGTCACTAGATTTCTCAAGACATGTCCCTTCTTTCTCCTGTGGACATTCTCAAAAATTATTGTTTCTCTTTGTAAACCGATCTCTCGACCAAATACGCCCCATAAAAGACATTCTGGCCCCCGGTAACTGACGAATGGGGCTTTTCCATTGGCTCTTGGCCCGGCCCGACTCTTCAACGCGTCGACTCGTGTCTGTGCAGGAGATCATTCCTCCGGTGCTTCGGTGACTCCTAACTGAACCTTACCGGTTTTTACGATCGCCGGTCGTTGCCGTGGTGATAAAACACCTTCAAACCAAGCCGGCACACGGGCACAGGAAGTGACAGGAACACAGTCCGGGAGTTGTCGTGTGCTTTAAACTCTCTCGCAGTGTGTTTTCAGTAGTTATTTGGAACATTAGTCTGTGTAAACACGTCTTAACAAGTCTTTGGTTGTGCGCAACAACATGTTTTATGTGTGTACACATGAGCCCGATGGGTGCGGTCACAGCGACTACGTCCATTCTTATACACCTTTCCTATAAAGACAATGAACTTTTAATACGCAATACGGCGTGCATTTCTGTGGTCAGATGTGGAGCACCGACTCGTTCTAAAATAAGAAAGAAAAAAGGCTGATGGGAGTTTTTAACAAGTGGGTCAAACAGCTTGCCCTCCATGTGGAGTGAAGCCACCTCTGAGGGGGGGTCGTCGTCCTCCATGACCGACGGTACCGACTCTAAACCACAGTATTTCTGTTTTGAGCCCCGGAAACAACAAACTTGAATGAATTCTTTGCTTCGCGGACCCTTCTTACAGGAAGTGGCTCATTTGAACGGATAGAAGGCGGCGCCCCACCCCGAAGGACACGTTTGCACGTCTGCCCGACTCTAGTGGACCGTGATCTACTGAATGAACGTCACGCCTTGAGATCATGAACTTGTGCTTACAATGAGAGAAGTAGGTTCAAGTTGAAGGAACTTCCCCCATCGGCCTCACTTCATCCGACCTGATCACAACAAGCCGAAGGTTTGAAACCCAATGGTTTACTTTCTGTGGGGTTTTAAAGCTTTCTGATAATCGTGTTTGCTCTCCGCTGAGCGTCTCGTGTCGCCCTGCAGAGTCTTGCGTTGTATTCTTAAAGACAACAGTGATAAAAGGGCCCCGTGAGGAGCCGCTCTGGAGGGTTTTGCCGCTGCAGGCGACATCTTCCCATCTGGGGGGGGGGAGGTGTGAGGAACAAGCAACACCTCGCCCCCCCCCCACTGTACAGGCGGCGTGGGAGAAGACGAAGGCGAGCGGCTCGTCGCACAGGACGCCTCGACGCAGGCCGACGTGGCGGCACGGACGGGCCGCGTCCGTTCCTCTGCTGTTAGAAATCTGTAGAAACGCTGATAAAATAAAAAGGTCCATTAGCTGTGAAGCTCCGCCTCTTTAACCACATGACCCGCCCGATGAGCATGTCTGACCCCCCCCCGCTGACGCCGTACGAATGCTGCAGCAAAGACGAGTCCTGCGTGGGGGGGGGGGGGGGGGGGCGTGGCTTGAATCTGGAGCAGTGAGAGGATTATTCCTCCATGGAGCTGGAGACGGAGTGATGAGAGGGTGATGGGGAGGATAAGCTGCTGATGGGGGGGGGGGGGGGGGGGGCAGTTCGTTTACACATCTTCATTCAAGGTTCCATTTAACTGACTCTTTACAGTTATTTAAAAAGTCATCGTGTGTGTGTTGATGTGTCCGGACGCACTGACGGCGTTGAGGATTCGTGGCTCCTCGCGCTGCATCGGCGTCGTGGGAGATAACGGCGCCCGCGAGGAGGAAGACAACATGGCTCCCTGGATGCTTCAGTGACAAGCTTCCGATTTTACCACGACCGTCCACATCCGAGGTTCCCACACCGCGACGCCAAACGCCACGGCTCTGGTTCGGAGACACGTCTGTGTCTGTGGGAGGGGGGGGGAGTAAACGAGAGGATGGTGGGAGGAGGCCTTTTGATGTCATGCCCCGGGGGGACGGGGATCAAGTGAGAGGCAGCGATTTGGGGAGGGGGGGCTTCGTGACGAAGTCCCTTGCCCACTCACTTCTTCCACGTGGGGGGAGGGGGGACACGCGTGTTCCTCTGAAGCTGACAAGACTTTAATTAGAACAGCATAACGCATTCAAGAGGAGGAGGAGGAGGAGGAAGGGGCAGAACAAAGCGAGTCCTCGGCAACCATCACGTCCGTCATGTGGCAGAAGGCCCACGGGGAGTGGGACGGGGGACGGGGGAGGGGGGGGGGGCTTCATGCAGCTGTGTGAGAACATGGCTGAACGCACGTGAATATGGAAGGGCGCGTGTTTCCTTTGAACCGTTTATTTCCCCTCATTGATAAAAAGGCCGTTATTATCCAATATCACCACCATCATTATCTCCTCTGATCAGCTCGTTAAAGTGCGTCTAATTTCAGCACTTCAGAATCTGGGGCGGGACGTTATTCCTGCTCAGCGGATTTAATGGAGTCAGTGAAAACACACACACACACACACACACACACACATCCGAGCAGAGGAATTCACTGCTTGTGTGTCTTTGTTGTTCTGCACTCGGCCCAGATACCACCTACGCTCGACGCGCTGTGTGCGTGAGAGAGAGAGAGATATTAACGCTTCCTGGTGAGTCGCAGCCTCGAACTCGGGAGCCGTCAATACTGGAGGAGGGGTCAAAGGTCACCAGAGTCAAACGACGACGATTGGCGCTTCGTTCTTCTGGGGGCTGTTTGGGGTTTTTTGTTTTTCTCCTCGCTGAGGGAACCTGGAGCAAAGCGAGTCGGCGGTTTGCCCGATGACCTCGGCCTCCCACGCCGCCGTATCCATACATATCCCGCAAAACTTACATGACGATTATAACGGGCGGAATATTCTCATGTTTTGAAACCATATGACAGAAATTAATTGATCATATGACATAATAAGATACATTTTTATTTCATTCCCGACAGTCAGATCGTTTCTTTAGGTGTTGCGTTGTTATGATGATTCAACGCTTTGATTTATTGCCACTTGTCAGTTTCCTCAGCAGTGTTATTGTTGTTGACTCCCTGTTTTTTTTATTTGTTGTTTTGTTTTGAGCTTGATTTCCTTTTGAATGACATGTTCCGTCGTGCTGCATGAAGAGCAGCTCCTGCTTTTGGTTCGTGACCGAAGAGGATTCCAGGTGGATCAAAGAACCCTCTCCTACCTGAACGCCTTCAATCGGGTAATTCTTTGACTTTCTCACCCTGCAGAGCGACGCCCCCCCGCTCCTCGCCAGGCCGGGGGGGGGGGCGACGTTAGGGCCAACTGGCCGAGGGCCCGGCAAAACAAAGCCCGGTTTTGCAGCGCTGAGGCGTGGCGAGGGGTGGCATTCCCCTCGGCGCCGGACGCCCCCCGTCTGAAAAACAAGCAGGTGCGCATGCCATTCTTTATACGGCAGCTGGAGGAGGAGCCGGGCTTCGGAGACCCGGGAGGGGGGGGGGGGGGGTGTGGGGGGACCGAAGAGAAGGAGGCCGTCTTGTTGTCACGGATGGTCGGGTTCAGCGGTTACATAAGACACTTTTCCTCACCTCCTCATGCGAGTAACTACAAAGCTGCATTATTTAGACGTAAAGCACTGCAGCGAGCAGCGGCACGGAGGCTCCTGCGCCGTCAAGAGGACTGGGACTGGGACTGGGGGGCCTAGGATGGCGAACCCAGACTGGAGTCCGCTTACCAAAGCGAATAAACCCACCCGGAGTAGTCGTGTCAGCAAAAGTCAATTACTGCGATTACATGCAACAAATATCCCTTTTTTTTGTTGCCCTTTTTCCACAAAAAAAAAAAGAGACAATATTCTCGCTAAGCTGTTTACATATGAGGATTAATAGTGAGACGTTAGCGTGCATGTAAACGTGGCCGGTGACACGAGAGAGATTAAGTCCTCCAACAGCTCGGCAGTCACAACACGCTGGAACACAAAGAGCTCAGAGGAGGAAGGAGGACGCTGGCGGGGAGACGCGGCCGCACACCGGGGGGACACAAAGAAGGAACCACGGGAACACAAAGGTTCAACTTAAGTTTCTCCCGCCGACGAGGTGCAGAGTTGACGAGATGCAGCATCCCGTCACTGCGGCTGCACACCGAACCAGTGAAGACAGAAGGCGGAGAGGACCTCGCCGCGTGGCTGCACGCCGCTGCACAGACCATGTGATCATCGCATGAATCCAACAAAAAACACGCAGCACCAGAGGCGCGAGCACATCTGTCTGTGCGTGGGGGGGGGGGGAACATCCTTCCATCGTGTCATTAAGTGCAGGAGGAACGCGCTGCAGAGAGAAGAAGAGCGGGAGAATTACTCATCGCTCCTCCACTCAGCACTTCACCCCGATCGCACACGGGAGACGCTCTGTGCAGAGAGAGTGTCGGCGTGTCTTTTTCGAATGCAGCTTGTCCGGGGCCGGGAGGGAGGAAGACCCTCTGTGCGCCTGGCGTCGGAGGCCATGAGCTCTTCCGTCGCTCCATCCTTCCCGTTGGCGCTGCGTCTCTCCGTCGGGCCCCTCGGCGGTGTATTTTTAGCCGAGGCCCAAGAGGAAGGAAGCAGAGCGGCCAAACATCCACTCGCTCTCCTGCAGCTCACGCATGACTCCACCGCGGCGTTGCGTCCCCCAACACGCCTCCCTCCTCCTCCTCCACCTTCAGTACCACCGGACCCCCATGGCCAGAAACTGCTCCCTCCTGCCGGGTAATTGAGCGGCGGTGACGTTGATAACGGGTCGTTTGGAGTTCCCCAGCGTTGTCAGTTCGGGACGAGAAGACTGGCGCTTATTACATTCATATTCCAACAAAAAAAAAAACTTTTCTTGCAGTCCAATATATTTATTTAATATAATATCTGTGCGCATTTCTGTCTTTGTGCTGCTGCACCTGCAGGGATCAATAAAGGTTTATCTCACCAGTTACGTTGGCATTTATGTGCGACGCCCTCGTTACTGTACAACGTACATATCCGACCAATCAAACGGCCGGTTTCACAGATCACATCGGTAGTTAGCGAAATCAAATTTTCCATAAAAGGAACACCTCGAGCAGCAGGTGCGAGGTGATGAATCTGAAAGTCAGAGTCTCACCGTGATGAATAAACCACAGAGAGACTTCCTTCACGCTCGCTGCTTTACGGGACAATAAACCGACGGTGACCTTTAGCCGTCTTACGTGCCAGCTTCCCCGGTTTCCTTTTCCCTGCCCCCCTGCAGAGGGTGACCTCAGCTTGAGACACTCGATGCCGCCGCGACAGCGGAAACCAACGGATTTGGGGCTGAAATTGGTTTTGCAGTCGGCCGCCTCCACCGCAGCTTTGATCGGCTCAACGGGAAGGAAAATGAAATATCAAGCCGCAGAGTGCAGCTTTTTACACGAGTATCTGCTCTGTGGGGCGGAACTCGGTTTTCCCTTTTAGTACAAAAGCCCTGAAACAGCCAGGACGACTGGCCGGGTGGAGGTAGAAGTAACGGGAACAGAGAGCCACCACCCGACAGCTCGCCATCCCAGGAAGTGACTCCCCGCGTGGATGTGATCGCCCGGCGTTGGCTGACGTCTGTTGATGAAACATTCCCGTAGAGGTCTGTGAGAAAATGACTCTATATCTCTCCAATGTATCAATGAATCACTAGTTTCAAGTCTTCAAGTGTTCATTTGGTAAATGATGGTCCATTTAGAGTCAAATGGACCATAAAGCAGCAGATGCTTTGAACTCAAAACCAACCGGTGATCCTTTCCTTGTATACAAAGACCTCCTTTCTGTATCAAAAGATACCACACGTCTTTTTATGTACTGTATGAAAATGTGTTGAAAGGTCTTCTGCTCTGAATGTGTCTATAACAGCGAATATGTATACTTTGCTATTGCTTTATTCCTGTATGGCAGCTTGTGTTTGAATTGAATTAAAGGCTGCTGGTTTGGTAGATTTGACGTGTGTTTAATGACATTTAGGAAGAAAGAGCATCATCTCGATGAATCAGTCCCCAAACGCTGCACATCCTGGTAACGTTAACGCGGCTTCTCGGTGTCCAACGGGATCATGAAGAGATGCACACAATGTGTCTACACCGGGTGTTGAATATCATCATAATCCCATAATCCTGTAAATAACTACAATCACAACCCACAAGAACACATTGGATTTGGTCAAATGCATTGGAGGTAAAGATATGAATCCTGGATGAGAATAATACAGATCACATAATACCAGCAAACCGGGTTGGCTCCAAATAAAAAAGGACTGACGCCGACGTCTCGTGACTCGTAACCAGTGTCACCTTCTTTAATCCCCTGCACAGGTAACCTCACATGAGCAAATCGAAACCACCCAGGTGCGCCCACGTGGATCCATTATTAATGTACAGGCCAAACGTGTCCCACAACTAACGACGCCTACGGGAGGATGGAGTGCGAGCTGCGGCTAACCTGGCTAGCAGGTAGCACCCATCCACACAGCGTGACGGGAACTGCCGTTTAAATAAGCAGCAGTTTGACGTTGTCTCGCTTGACATCGGCAGTCAAACGTCGCTCACGTGACTCAACGCGTGTAGTGGATCCGCGCGGAACCGTCCTGTGGTTCGGCGTTACGATGCTCCCCAGAGCAGCCGGTGTTGTCAACAAAACTTGACGTGACAGAAAGAATGTGCGTCACTGCTCGTGAGGACCAACGTACACCGCTAAAAAAAAAAAAACCGCCTCAGGTAGCGAAGCACTCATTAAAGTGCTGACGTTACGTAGAACGTGTGTTCGTTTCTGGCCGAAAGTAATGCCGAATTAAACGAGGGATCTTTTCCACTCGAGTGAAGTTGCGTGTGTTACTTTAACGGGCTGTTTGGTTCGCCGATTGGTCGAGGAAACAACAAATTCCCGAATTTCCCAACGGGGGTTTGGGGACCGAGCTTAGCTAACGAACTAAACAATGGACACCTGAGTGAGCGACGTCGCTCACCTGCAGCTCGGCCCGCTCGACCTCCCAGTGCGCCTTGTCCACCTCGAAGCGGGCCCACTCGTGCTGGAGAAAGTGTAAAATCCCCGGGATGTTGTACTGAGCCCTGGCCGCCTCTGCGCCCTCGACGTCGCCAGCCTGCGGAGCCTTAATGTTCCCTCCGCCGGACAAGCCCGAGTTGTTGTTGTTGTTGAAGAAGACGCCGGGGCCCGCCTGCTCGTCCATGGGCCGAATCGGGGCGGTTGTGACTTCTGGTTCGGTCCCGGGAACACTTCAACCGCTTCGGCGTAATTATCCTCCCGGCGGAAACTTGATCATCGACAGTCCTTTCCGCTGGCCGCCACTGCTCCTGTCTCAACCGGCTGTCAGATGAGGAGACGACGGTCGGGCGGCCGGAATCGGCACAGACATGGGACTTCCGGTTTGGAGTTTCAGAATAAAACCCAGGTTAATGCGGACGTGCAGCAACTTGCTGTAAACGATAGTTATTTAATTAATTTTAGTGTGTATAGCCGAAAATCGCAAATGACAAATTCGCCTCAAAAGGCTTTACAGTCTGTACACATGTGACATCCTCTGTCCCGAAACCCTCCCATTAAAAACTCCCTTCTATGGAGAAAAAGGGAAGAAAGGAAGGAAGAAGAAGGTTATGAATAACTTCTTATTAAGTTTAGTTTTGAATAATTGACCGTTACATTGTGATTAATATATACCGACACATGTCAGCGAATTATTATGTGTGCCATTTCTATTTAATTATAAAATGCCCTGCACACACAACTTGACTGCAACATTACCAAATCAAACACAAATCAAATCTTGCGGCATATTTGATGATGGTTTATATTTGTATTGTCATTCTGAAAAGAATCACTCTGTATGTCGGTTATCAGTTTCCAATTATAAAATTGCAAAATGTACTCAAAGTAATTAGCAATTAATATTTTAGGAAATTTGAAAATATGAACTAATTCCATTATTAAATATGTCTATTTTAAACTAGGCCATGTCAAACAATTACATGCACACATTTCTTTCTCTATGTAACACTTTAAATCTACGGGTAGAATTTTATTTTGAAGGCACAATCCTTTCATTACCGGTATAAGTGAAGAAAACTTGACTGACACACCTGAGCGGTGACATCGATTCCGCTTAGGCCCGCCCACTACGTGCATACTCTCACGCGATTGGCTTTTCAGCTAAACGGCAAAATTATTATCTAAGGAGAGAAGAACACGTGGTGTTACTATATTTTGTCCCAATTCAAGTGCATGTTACTCATTAAAAATGTGTTTCTCTTTTGTTTTTGTAAAAACAAATTGGGCATAGTTTGAGCTTCAGAGTATTAAATGCATTTAAAATAAAAACTGAATGTAGCCATTAGTTGTTGAGCTGTTTGGAGTCATAGGAAAACAGTTATTTAGTCAATAGGACAAACAAACAGAACACAGCGCTCAACATCTAATGCGTGTTATTTTATTGATGCAATCATGTAGGAAGAGTAAGAGCACATGTTATAATGTTTATTCTCCACGTTTTTGAAAAGAAGGGTCTGCAGTGCATGTTGACCCTCTGTGTGGGCGTGTGTGTGTGTGTGTGTTTGTGTGCGCGTGAGCGTCACTAAACTGGATCAAACCAAACGCGGATGATTCGTCCATGTGCTAATCAGCCGCCTCTCCTCCTCCCTATTTAACTCGTGCTCGGCTCGCACCGCCCGGTCGACCCGCGCACCCGCTCCCCGCTGCTTCCGCCACGCACGCGCGTGCACGCACGCCCCTCACGGGTTCCAGACGCACAGCATGCCTCCGTTCGAAAAGCCCCAGCTGCAGAACAAACCGTTTAAACTGAGGAAGAGCTTCGGTAAAATAAAACTAACATAACATACAAGTGGGAAACTCTTGAGAGGAACTTTCCTTTTTTTTTTTTTTTTTTTGTGAATCTGATGTTTTCTTTTGGTTTTTCTGTGCAGCTGTAAGGAAACAAGAAGTGGCGGGGATCAGGTCGAAATTCCCCAATAAAATCCCGGTAAGTTAGCGGTGAAACCCTCGCGATTGCCCGTTAAATCGCGGTGTGTGTGTGTGTGTGTGCGTGTGTGTGTGTGTAACCGCCGCTGCTCGCAGGTCATCATCGAGCGCTACGAGAGGGAGAATTATCTTCCTCCTCTGGATAAAACCAAGTTCCTGGTGCCGCACGAGCTCACCATGACTCAGTTCGTCACCATCATCAGGTAAAGTCCATCTCTCAATCAATCGATTCCCTCTGGTTTCTGGGGTCCGACTGTCTGCTGGATGCGGTGGTGTTAAGATTTACTCTTGAGAAGGTGGAATGCAACCCGATCGCGTTCTGCTGGTTTGGTCAAATCTTCTCTCTGACGGCAGTAAGTCGCTGAGAAGCTGCTTCCCCGTGATCGCGCTGCAGAAGATCACTTGTCACGAGTCCTAAAATCCTTAAACGCCAAACAGCCAAAGATGCGTCTTATTGTTTTACTCTTCATGCAGCTTTCAGTCTTAAAAGATGATCCGCTTTTCTTAGATGTTTCTTCACGTGAGCAGAAAGTCAACAGGTTTATTTTATTTTCTTTGGTTAAGAGTCTTCTGGCCGGCCGGCTGTTCTAGGATCTGTTTTAACTCGTCGTTTGAGTAATTCCGTATAGCTGTTGATAATAATTGTGGTTCTGGATGTTTCTTGGAGCTGTTCAGTTAAAACTGCAGTGCCGCCCCCCCCCCCCCCCCCCTCATCCCCCTAATGTCTCCCCCGCCGTCCCACAGGAACAGGATGCGCTGCTCCCGTCGCAGGCCTTCTACCTGCTCATCAACAACAGCGGCATGGCCAGCATGTCCCTCACCATGGCTCAGGTGTACAAGGACCACCAGGACGAGGACGGCTTCCTCTACATGACCTACGCCTCGCAGGAGATGTTCGGACAGTGACGCCGCCGGCCGCTTTTTATTTAGTGCCAGAAGGCTGCGGGCCTCCATAACCGCTGTACATAGAAGATATTGTGAGTGTATATATTGTAATGTTTGTTGACTATGTTTGAAGATGGATTTTAATTAAAGTAGGTGGATCCAATAAATCTTGTGAGTATAGAATTGGGTGTTTACATGAACGGGACCTTTTTATTTTTTAAGTAGGATGCGTCGTCTCGTGACATGCGAGATAATGTGTATAAATCCCAGCAGAGAGGACGACACGGAGCGACGCCTGCTACTAATGTTTCCCGTTGACCTCCAGTAAAGGTTTTCCAAGCGCTCATTGGAGACTTAAGGCTCCACTTCAGAGTCGAAGGGAATAAAGTTTCTGTGTGCTGCTGAAATGTGAATTTCTGGCGTCATCTTACAGAAGATGGCTTTTTTTTTTTTTTAATTGCGAACGTTGACCGTGCAGCTAACGCGGAGTCTTTAATCTGTCGTCCGTTAACTGAGCCTTTTGAATCTGAATCCTTTCCGAATGGTGTGTATTTTAACAAAATGCACAAGTAGAATATGTGTTGCAGTGCATTGTGGGACAATAACTAAAGTGGCGATTGCTGTGCTTCAAGAAATGTTCCCTATTTTACGGCAATTTCTTTGATTTGGTGAAAAATGGACCAAACCGCCGAGTTCACTCTTCACATGCGGTGACGCTTCTCTCGGCAGCAGATGGCAGCAGAGATCTTTCTAATGTTCAGCTCTTTGATGAAATGATGTTTTGGAGAAATCTGAGCTGAATCTATAGCCAAAGGATCTGATTCTAATCGTCATATCGTTCTACATAATCCTGTTAAGTGACTCACCTGTGACCTCATTTAGGTAAACATGTTTCAGGGAAAGTTTCTTTTTTCCCCTCCAGACTTTCTCACGGAAAACCACGTTTCCACTTCTAACACCAGATGTTCAACCATGCAGCAAACTAAGCTCCTCACTCGGGATTAAATACGTCGGGGCCGACGCAAGTGCTGCTCGTGAACACCTGTACAGATGTTTGCATTGGAACCGCAAGGAGTCTCTCGTCATAATGTTCGTGAAGTCGTTACTTCCTCTAGAATCCATTAGACGTCGTCCGAAGAGGCTGCTGCTTCTCGCTCCATTAGTTGTAATTGAACAGAACTGGTCACGTGCGCTGAATGTCCACCGGCTGGCTGCCTAACGGAGGAAACGCCGACTCATCGTTCTTCCGTCCATGCTCTTTATGGAGGCCTTCCAATTATTTCACATCGGTGCAGATTTTAACATTTGGAAGAAACGACTGATAGTTACACAAAACAACTATTGGTAGAGCAGCTGTGTTACACCAGCTTTAATACACAAGTACATTCGTTCACCGCTGCAGTTCAGTGATTGAGAGAAGTTGTTTAGCTGGTTGCAGCGATCAAAATATTTAAAAAAAGCATCGTAGTTATTTTAAGATCGTTTGTTGAGCGTCACGTCATCAGCAGCAGCACAGGGACCGCGAGAGCATCGTCACACTGCAGCCGTGCACACATGCACACATTTTATTTTAGATTGTTATTGCCTTATTTTGGTTTGGTTCTAAGTCTCAAACTAACATCCTGGTCGTCGTCCATCCGCCCGGGTCAGAGGGGAGGCCGGGAAGTTGCGTTTGGAAGCAGTCGAATCTTCAAACTGCGAACGGCTGTGATGAAGAACAACGAGCAAACGTGATTTGTGAGAAACAAAAGTCCCTCCGGATTTCCCACGAGACCCGTTTTCACTACGAAACAGAAGCTGATGCAAACAGTGAATGGCTGCAGGAGGCGCTGTGGCTCCGAGCTGCTGACCTCCGACCCGACCCTCTCTGTCTGTCTGCGAGTCTGACGACGACTGACATCAGCAGCACAGCCTCTCAGGAAATACACTGTTTACGCTGAGAGGAAGTCTGGATCCCCATCAACAAGGAACCGGCTGTTCTCGGTTCTCTGTGTGCACTTCTGAGGCGTTAAACTGCACCTAAAGTCTCACATTTTGATGAATGACTCTTATTGACGATAGAGCAGCAGGTCTTACACTTAATAATTACTCCTTTGTTTACACATTTTTATATGTATTCGCTCTTTTTTTTTGTTGTTGTGCCTGTCTTAGATACTGAGCTACCAGGGCGAGCTAACCGCTAACCGCTAACAGGCCGGCCATCCGGGCTAACGTTTGTCAGGCGAAGCTTCCGCCTGTTTCCTTGGTCCCTTCTGGGAGCTGCCTGTGCTTCAACAACCCCGACCCTTCCACCTCGGTTTTTCACCCCAGGAAAGTTAATTGTACCACTTTCCTCTCCAACTAAAAATAGCTCATTCGACGTCCGCTCGCATTTAGCTTCGCCCCTGCGGCTGCAAAAAAAAAAAAAAGAGGGAACACCACAATGGCGACCGCCCCCCAAACCAAAATGACGAAACTGTGAACTCGCGGCGTTTAAACGGCGCTCACAAACCAGTGAGTTCTTCTTCCACAATGTTAAACTGCTCCTTCAGGAAAGCTAAATCACCCGCGTGTTTATGAGATTATTTCTGGAGTCGGAGCGCTTTGCAATCCGAGGAATGCACGCAGACGCATTAACAACAATGCGTTCACATCCCTCTCATCCTCTCGTGAGGTCGTGCGGGGGAAATTCTCAGATGATGAAAGCCTTTGTCCTCCTTTCCTCTCCCTCTTTCCCCGCTTCCTGTTTACACGGCCGAGAGCGGACTGCGCCCGGCGAGAGGGAAGCTGCGATGATGCAACCTGACCTCCGTGACTCTCCCTCTTTGTGACACGCTCGCTCGCTCGCCCGCTCGCACACCCCTCCTTCCTGCTCGCGTTCGACAACAAGCGCCGAGAGACAGAAGGAAACGGGGAGGTTTTTTTAATGTTTTCTGCTTCCTTCTTTTATTATTATTGTCAGTTTTGTGGTTCGACTCTGAGGCCTCAGAAAAGACATCACAAAAGAGCGCGCGCACACACACACACACACACACGCACACTCTCTCAGGTCAGGCCGTGAACTTACCGCCCCGCGGTCACGTGACTCCACACAGGCGACGTCCCAACGACCACACACGCTCACGGTTTAAAGCTGCTCCTTTTTCACAAACGCTTCCAAAGCCACTTCACGTTTTTCAGAAATTGGCTTCAAAAGGACCAGAGTTTGTATTCGAGAACAGGCTCTTTATGTGTTTACTGTGATCCGGTGCTCATTATTCAGATTCATTTCATGCGGATCAACTTGAGATTTGGGAGCACACTCAGAAACGCGTCACGCCAATCGGCCCGCTGCGTCTCCCAGAAGAGCAGAAGAAGAAGAGGAGGCTTCATCCGAAGGGCTCGGCCACTTTGATGTCTTTATCGGAGAGACGTCACGCGGGCCTTTGAAGTCTCACCCCCCCTCACCCCCCCTCACCCTCGACTTCAGCCATGTTTGCTTTACAGAGCGAGCCAGCTGAACCACTTCACCCTGCAGCCGCCGACCTCTCCTCCTCCTCCTCCTCCTCTTCCTCCTCCTCCTCTGCACGCCCTCTGTCTTCACAAAGGAAGCGACGCTGAGGCCTATTTACGATGTTCAGTCCGTGACGTTGATATCAAAGAGAGAGAAATCACCACGAGTCGAAACAGGTGAGACGGACGGGTGAGTGATCGGACACGTGATCCCCTTTACACACAACCAGATCTCAGCGAGCATCAGAAACTCAGGTCCTCGAATGCATCGTTTATCTGGTCCTGCTTTGTTTGATTGTATCGAATGTTCCCGTTATTCTCTTATCAGTTTATTCAATCAATTTAAATGGCTTGTTTTCCATGTATATATTAACACAACAATACGGTTTGAGGAGGCAAACTGACACAAACACTACTGACGTACGGGCAATAGACGAGTGTGGACGAACAGCCGAGTGTGACTGCAGGAGTCCCTCTGATCCCAAAACAATAGAAAAAACGCCCCTCCCACACGGAGGCCACACGCATCCCGGGTTTACATGGCAACACGCCGCCCCGTGTCAAATCTGGGTTGCCAGGTAACAGACGGGAGGAGAGCGTGGGTGCGTGAAGGTCGGCTGATGACGGGAGGAAGAGGAGGAGGAGGGTGGGGGGAGGAGCCACATGGCCGCAGGACACGTGACAGCCGGAGAAAATGTTTTGATCAGATACATAACGATGAATATTTCTCAATTTCAACCAAAATGACCAAAAGCACCCGGATTGTGACTTCCTGTATTGCGACGGCTGTGTGATGGAGGAGGAGCCCGCAGACTGCCGGTGTAGTGGAAGAGGAACTCAGGGTCTAAGTGGTGTGACGGGTTGGACGGAGAGAAACCAGTTCAGTGTGACGGAAACACTGCGGGTCATTCGAGCCGAGCGCACATGATTAGTTTCAGTGTCCCGCTGTGTCCACGTCACGTCGCACACACACACACACACACACACACATCCTGTTCCAGCCCTGCTGGGGGTGTGAAGTGGTAATTACATGCAGGAGGTGCACGTAGACGAAGAGCTAAATGAAGAGCAGCGGTGGACGAAGGATTCAGATCCTTTAGATCAGTTAAAGCACTGAAATGTAACTGTTCTGCATACAAAACATGTATTAAGTAAAAGTGTTACCAGCTAAATGTTTTATGCAGTAAAATGTTCCCTGGTGTACTTTTACTTTCTGGATGAATTCACTGTGATGTATTTTTATTACATCAATGCATCGTGTTCTGTGAGATCTTCACTCTCTCCTGTGAGAACCTCGTATCTGCAACAGGAAAAAACGCACAAAGGAACGTTTCCTCCGCTACCACAAACATTCAGCCTCAACACATCTGGAGAAACAAGGAAAAGATGAAAAGATGTCAAATCTGGTGGAGTAACGCGTACAATACTTCTGGGAGGAAGCAGAGCAGAGGTTTAACACCCGAGTAAAGTACTTTGAGTATCTGCTGGAGGAAGCTCGACCGGGTGGAATATTCCCCAGAGGTCAAGCGGCTGTGACCTGCAGCCTCACGGGCCCTCTGTCACACGACAGCTCGACGAGTGGCGCTTCTCTGCTTTTTCTTTTGCCGACTGTAACAATCGTGAGATGTGACGTCCGAAAACTAAAACGTGTGCCGTTAAGCTCACCTGCCCGTCCTTCCCCTCCACTCACAAGATGAAATGCTGCTCCATTAGCATTCAGGTGTGAGCA